GCAAAGTCTTGCTCCCACTCTGAACCGGACAATAAGTTCTTTGCATCTTCATTTGACTGTTGCACTAAGTCGCGAGAATGTCTTGGAACTATAGGCTATCCAAGATGCCCTCGCGCTGGGCTGAAGGTACATGACTTTTTTCAATAAGACTATCTTTTGCTGCGAATTATGACCATCTCATCAATTCTCCATCTGGCGTTTTCTGCTAGTGGATTTACATATGGATTTGACTCCTTGCACATGAAAGTAAAAGGGAAACCTTCATTTCCTTGTCACAGTACACCTTCAGGAGTTGCAAGATTAGTGCTATGGTTTTGATGAGATGTGCAAATGCCTTTTCGATAGAGACAGCCTTGCCAGTCTCGAAAGCTTGGTGGTCTTCGTTCATTATTGAGACTGCTTTCGTTTTCTTGGATTTTTGTGGGCACAACAAAGTAGAAGTGAGTCATCAAGGCAAGTGCATAAAACAGTTTAGAACAAAAGATACTCCAAGGTAAAAAGGGTTTTTTACAATGATGCAAACAAAGGGGATCTAATTAAACTTGCGATTTCCAAGCACTGAGGGTCACAGGCTCCAGAAAATTCCGTTGGTTATAATTTACGAACAAGAGGCATGGGAGACTTTAAAAGCAAATAGAAGTCCTTCCAAGATGTAACCACAAAAAGGCTGAAACCAGAATGATTTTGCATGCTAACTCGAAAGATGCAAAAGTAGTTGTTGTTGCGAAGGATACTGATGTATTTGTGCTGCTTGTTCATGCAATGCAGAAGTGGAAAGCCACAAATGAGTGGTTTATGTGCATAAACAACAAGGAAATCGTCAAGATTTGAGGCATCGCTGAAACTTTTGGTTCCAAAATTTGCCGTGTTCTCCCACAGATCCATGGAATTATGGGCTGAGACTCTCAGAAAGAGTTATCGCAGACGCAAAGACATTCACGAAACTGTAGAACATAGTGGAACACTATATTAAAGCCGCTTAGGGACAAGGATTCGTATTTATTAAATCTGAAAACAAAATCATCTGCAGCAGTTCCACAGATCCACAATTATTCAATCAGAGAAGAATTAAATTGTGTCAACTTAAAAAGGTTATTTTGGCTACAGTCTTTCGATGAAATTACTACAAGACATGTCCCAAAAGCCTGCAGTTGAAATTCAGGCGACATACTTGATCGTTTAAAGTCTAAATGATCCACAAGAAAGCAGCTTCCCCATCTCAAAAGTAGTCAAAAAGACATCCAAGATGTGAAAAGAAAGCTTTCTTTACAGCACAAGGATATGAAGATGACAAAGAATATGAATTTACCCATGAAGAAAATCATGCACCTTCATACCCAGCGCTAAAGACCTATAGTGCGAAGACATCTTGGACAGCCTATAATAGTGCGAAGACATTCTTCCAACTCAGTGCAACAGTCAATAATGACTTCCGAGGAAGAATTCGCTCACTCGTCAGATAGCACTACCCTATTCGAGCTTCCTTGGCTATTGCGGTTCGCACAAATTTACTTTAAATGATCTAAATACTAATTATTTGGATGAAAAAATTATGGAAGAAATGCTTTTGCTGACATCCAGCGTCATAAATCATGCTTAAATATACATCAATTGAAAGCTTGCAATGAGACGAGTCAAAGTATGTCATTTGCGACAAAAAATAACACTCCAGTAAAGAGCTAGCGATGATTTTGTCTGATTTTCTACCATTTAATGACGTCATCAGTCCCGTGACATCCAGGCATTTTCAAAAAAGTCATCTGGCAGATTATGAAAGCCTGGACTCCCTACTACAAAATCTGTTGAGAAAGCAAACATTAGCTTGAATGTCAGATTGTCAGGCTATGTGTCCTGTCTATAAAGAAATTGTGATTTTTCGAGAGATGTACCTGTCCAATTTCGTACTTTACCGATCCACATTTTCTTTTTCGTGCTAATCCTGTTATGAAATTCTTGTGAAATCAGTTCAGTGCGTTTTAGAATAAAGTTATAGATTAAAGTAAATATACGATATTGATTAGTTGATTAATAGATTATATTGATGTTGATTACTATGTGATCTAAAGCACTAGTGATTATCGTCCAATCAGCCCTTTCCAACATGACTAATCAACAACTTGTGCACCACGTTTTTATTCTGTCGTAACATACTACACACAGGCGACTGACGATTAGCATTAACTTCTCTTATTTTAACGTAGGAACACGCTTTCGTATTTACCAACTATTCCTTTTCTGTTTTGTAAACTTTAAGCAAACATTGTTTTCTTTACAAAACATGTTCTAACCGAATCACATATAGACTAAGAATCTTTTTGCATAAAATGTATACTTCTTAACTGAAAGCAGAGTTACAGCAGTTAAAATGATATAATTGAACTCACCCTTTTTAATCTAAATTTTCGAGCCAATATTTTAGTTTAGAGTGTTTTTGTATCACTTCACTTGTTGATAACTACTATCAGCTCGCAAGGTTTCAGTAAAACCTACAGCATTTGCTGTACTGGTGTTGTATACAATTTGAGCATATTGCAGACAATTGAATATCAAAACAATCTATGATCTTACTTCTGCTGTATTCATTTGCATTGAGTTTTTTTATTGACTTAGCTACCTTTGTTTCCTACAAATTTGTCGGGATACTTTTCGAGCAAAGAATCCAATCAATCGCAGCTGACTGTACTCATTACACAAAATTTCCATAGAGAAATCTGTAACAAAGATCTACTATTGTTTTAGTCTGGTTGTGTTTATTTTTGCCAGAATATTGCAAGTAGGCTGCCATGACAGGTCGTCTCTCCTCTGTCTTTCATCATGACGTACGTGTCAAACTGCCGTGTTCTTTTCAATAACCTTTACATGCTTAGACCCAAGGTATCAATTTGTGTTGTTTCCATATACTTTCTCGAAGCATCGAATCCACCCTGTCGAATCTACGCATGCGCTTTTTCAGAGTTCCTTGGTTACAGAGGATAGAAGACTTAGACCCCCCTCACATGAACAATTTCAGGCCGGTCTGAAACTCAGATCAGCTTGAAATTTGATGGTGCGTGCTAATTTGACTCCCGCTCACATGAACATTTTCAAACCGGTTTGAAATTTAACAGGCCTTCGTACATCCGCATTTATTGCAAATTGAGTCCAAAACAAACATGGCGCAAAGTAATTCATGTTTTATAATTTATAATGTATTGAAATTGAATTTATGTCAGTTTTCTGCTTTGCAACTTCTTTTTGTTTTGCTTCCTCAACTAATGTCTCAAAAAAGCAATCTTCTTCGGAAAATCAATCGTTCTTGCTAAAGAAGAAAAAAGTTGTGCTTTGTACAGATACTGAGAGAGTTAAAATCAATTCAATGGTCAAATGGCTCCAAAATCATCAAACATCCATCCCAGAAAGCAATTGATTTTTCTCCACGAGATTCATTTCGCCCCGATTTGAAATTCTTTTCTGCACACATGCGGATTTCAAGTCGACCTGAAATTTCAGACCGACCTGAACAACCAAAATGAACTCAGGTCGACCTGATTTTCATTTCGCCCTCTCTCATGTGAGCACCTCAAGGGCTCAGACCGCAGACTGAAATGAACTTCAGGTCGATCGAGTTCAGACCGACCTGAAATTTCTAATGTGAGGGGGGTCTTAGAATCGATTTCAATGTCCTCAACGCGCGCAAGCTATTCGAATGAAAATAAGGTCGTTGTAAATGACTGTAGCAGTTGCACGAGCGGAAAGCTTTGGTAGATGTGGGCCTTTACATCGTTTTAGATAGTAGACCTTCAAATCGTTAAATGGTGGGCTAAATTTCGGATGGCTTTACCTGAGCTTAACAATTCTTTTAATTTTCAGGATATTGGTCAAATGCTGTATCAAATGTACATATGTCTGGACAAAAGTCTAAGCATGATAGACTGTCAGCATTGCAGTCAAAGTTGTCGGCAAGAAGAGAAATTGGTTTATCACCCAATTGAAAATAACATCGTTTACTAGATGTCAACTTTTTATTTTGGCGATAATATGTTCGCATTTGATTGTTCTAGTTGGTAGAAGCAGAAAATCATTTTTGTATCTGTGGACGGGATGGGAGATGTTTGCTTGGATTGATTTGTAAACAAAAACTGATCGTCTTTTCTTATTTTGCCTGTCTTTTTAGTTGCAGGGTTGCTTTTTCGGATTGCTTATTTCGGTTAAATTTGTTTAGAAACCCAGGGCACTGACTTGTAACACTTGTACATGTTGTGATCAAAACGTGGAAATTTACATGGCTACACAGTCTGACCAATGAAAGAACGGGATTGGAACCCAGTCTGAGAAGTATCCCAAAATGCTATTTTGATTCGGTAATCCTTCCCATACCTGAAACCCGTTTATTCTCTACAACTTGGTTTGAAATCAAGTCAATAGCATGAAACTTTACATTTACATTGGTATCAAAAGTTTTTATTCTAAGATCATTTGTCTACTATATGGTCTCCCAAACGTAGCTGTAATTGTGAGCAGGATCATAGATGTTAAAACGACTATTTCCTTGATCAAATCAAGACAGCAATAAGGCTTATATAAGGCAATAAGGCAATAAGAATTTCATCCATCAGATCGCAGCGCACCCTACCTGCTAAGTCACAGAGATATTTCTTTGACATCCGGTACACCTTAGGTATTATAGCGAAAACTTTTTTGTTCAACTAGATATCATCCTTTTACTAAACTTGTTTTAAAAATAAAAGCATAGAACAAATTTGTGTATAAGTAGTAAATATTCTTCTACTGCTCAAAGTTACCTAGGCCTTCCTAACAACGCAATCGCACCGGATTTCTGTTTCGTGTTTTGGTACTTTTTTGCCCGTGTTTTGGCACGATCCAGTCAATTTTCTGTCCACTGTATCGACCACTCGAGTTATTCATGCTAAGTATACCAGACCAGAAATGACACCTACCTTCACATTTTTTGGCCTTGGAAGTAACGAAAACGTCAGAAAGTTGCTGTCACGGTCAATACTGATGCTCTGATAATTGTGACAACTAATTGTCATTGTTTGAATTTCGAAGAGATGTCCAAGAGGGTAACCTTAAACAGTCATGTACTTGGGTTTCTGATTGACCTGTCTCTATTTCTATCAGAAGATTAATAATTCTTTGGTATTGGTATATAGCTTATAACAGTCGATTATCATTTCGACCTGTTTTACCTAAAGAAAGTTCAAGTTCTTCTCAAAGTACTTGCTTTTTTCAAAGGTATTCCTAAATTTTAAACAGCCAAAAAATTTCCCAAAGACACAGTGTTGCAACGCATTCAGCCCACCTTGTATAGAAAAAGCCCATAGGAACTAAATTCACTTGCCTGTTTACTCAAGTTTTAGTGAGTTAAAAAATTAAAACCAGCACATTTATTATTCTTTTTTCTTCTCTACGATACGTTTCCTATCTCTAAAATGCATCTTTAAGCCAAATCTAATTTTTTGGCTTATATTGAAAGAATTTTCCCTTTTAAACACGCCCAGGAGTGTATTCAAGCCGTTAAGCTAGCATGCCATGTAATACGTAATATGATATTATTACCATCACAGTCAGTCTAACTACGCCATTATACCATTTCAAGGGAGGCAGAAGTGTAAGTTAATTGAAGCCACATAAATCTAGTTGGACTGCACTACAAAGAAGCAGAAACTAATTTGAACTGCTCCAAAATGTTCCAAAAAGTGACTCCAAAAAATTTAGCAATTAATCAATCATCGTAACCTGGGAAGCTAATATGCTTATGTTTTATAACTGTTCATCACTGTCACACATGAAGCATTTGAAAGTAGGTGGGTGCAGCATTGAAGATCATTTTGTAAACGGATACAGAATCCATTTTGAAACATGTACAACATCCGTTTTTAAACGAGGGGAACCTGGCCGAAATGACCCTCTACTTTATGTATTGGATAACGGATCAGAAACAATTCTATTGATTATTATAAACATCGATACTCATGTTATGGAACAGGCGGACATGGCGAATCCGGAAAGGTAACATGTTCTGCTGGATGTCACACTGGTAGGAGAGCATTCCCTGACTGTAGGTAACCTGAGATTCGTTAATACAGTCAAAAAACTGCTCAACGTGTATGACACGAGGTTAATCGGATCATCCCATCCGGATTTCCTAGGTTTGCCAAACAACAATTCCTTTAAAAGATTTCACAAGAAGGGAGGCTACCTGGCGTTAAAAAACTGATGAATCCCGTGATTAATAATTGCTTCTTTGTCAAAAGCACGGTTTAATCGAGTGTACCCTGCATAACAGCCACCGAAAGTCGAGGGCGGAATTGAACAGAGGAGCGGAGAAGCAGATGAGCTAGCTGAGAAGAAAAGAAAAGTCCCCTTTCCGGGCTCGAAATTGTGTGGCCCTTGTTAATCAAGTCAAAGGGGACACCATTTTCATGAGAGAAATTTGTTTTGCAGACCTCAGTGTTCACCTATAGAGTTTCGCCTTCATTAATTATTTATGCCACCAATCCCAAATTTATAAGTCAGCTAGGCTTATAAACTATATACCATTTCGTGATATTAGACTGATTTGAAATAAATTTATTATACGGTTGCATAATTCCAAGACTGATTCTTTGTGCTATTTTATCAGCGAATGTGCAATAGTCAATAAAAAGTTTATTAGAACGTTTCTTGATAAAGAAAGCGGAACCTTTGCTTTTATTATATAGCACAACAAACAGTAATGAAAAAAGCAAGGATTGAATAAGGAATTACCTTTGTCGATCAAGCTAGTTAAAAATTAAAGGCTACAAAATAAGTAAATGCTAGGAGTACAGTGTCTGTGTTTTTTCTTTATCGTGCAAAAGTTTAATATGTTGCTGAATTTTAATCTAAAATAATATGAATTTTTTCGAGTTGTAGTAGCTTCCCTGAGGTGCAAGTGAATTCTTCATTTGCATCAATGTTTCTGACAACATCTTGATCTTACATCAGTCTTTTACAGCAAAAAAGGGTTTGTCTTATCTCAATTTTTTAATACAAGAGTGCATTGCATAGGCCATTGTTGAGTTTTTCACTTGCTGAATGACAGAAAGCCAGGCTCTCAAACAACACCCTTTTTCATTCAGTATAACCTTTTGGAAAGCAAGTCTTTGTCTATATAAAGAGGATGATAATAGACTATGGCTTAAAGCAATGGAAAAGGCACCAGTGCTGGAGGGGTGACTGACCCCCTAGATAGCTATGTAGATAGCGAGTTGAATAAGGTCCCGCAAGAAAGTTTGTTTACAAGGTGGTAATGCAAAATTTCCCAATGAAATCGAATTTTAAAACTATTTAAACTGGCAACTTACCAACGGTCAGTGTCTAAAACTGTGGTTTTACAACTGCACCTAACATTGTACATTGGCATAATTGTAAATTTAGTTTGGCACGGAATCTTCATGCAAATTAAAAGGCTAGATCCTCTTGCACAAATTCCAAACCAAACCAAATCAATTACAAATACTTTATATTTGAACGCAGAGTGTACCTTATATGTTCTAATATCACCCTCCTTGCCATTCACACGACGAAATACAAACGACGCATAGAAAAAATCTCGTTACGTCCTTCATTTATAGAAATAAAATCTAAACTGTAAGTCTTTTATTTATATAACTACAACATGTTCACTTAGAAATTTTTGAAACCACCCAAAACAGACATATATTGCATTTTAAGCAGGAAACTCTTTTTCTCTGTTCAAAAGGGTTTATAAAGTAATGGTTAGGCCAACCAACGATAAATTCTTATAAATGCTCATTGTTGACATTATCATTAGAAACCATTTAAATGACTTGATCACAGCTCAGATTAACAGATTATCATAATTTTTCAGCGGAAAATGTATTTTCGTTTCCTTGAAATAAATGAAATATTGATCGATCCTATTGGATAAATAATGATCAAATTAAAACATACCTTTATGGCTTTTTCCAATGTCGTGTTCACCTCATCTTTATATAAAATGTGGTTCCAAGCCTTTCTGTCTCCGTTTTCCTAATGATCGAGTTCAACGCATGACTAACAATGACAATAGAGATATAATGTTATTATTTCATGGTCTACAAAAGCAATCAGATCGTAAAACTTTTACTGTGGGCAGCTGGTTGTCAGTAGTTTCTTGTAAAGTTTTTTAGTCTGTTTATTTATGTTTTGTTTAATTTAGTTGCTTTCAATAGCTAATAGAGAATATTCTCGACTTTTTTTCGTCCTGTTTAACTTAGTCGGTCAATCAAATTAATATTTCAGGTTTAGAATGCGCCTTCGACAATTCATTATTCGCCATACAGAGCCATACCTATAAATAACAGCTTTCTGTTGAAAAAAATCACAACATATGACATTACTTCTTCCAGATAACGGAAACGACGTATTTTGAAACTAAACTAAAGAACTTTAAGTTTTGTTTGTAATAAAACATTTTCAAAAGCCAGCTTTTACTCTAAACCATTTTTAGTCGAAGATAAATGTTAGCTTAGAAAGCTGAACTGTTTGTCATCCCCAAAATGCTTTGCGAGGTCTGACGATACTAGAATTTACTGCTAATTGGTACCTGTCAGTTTTAATGGTTAGTGGTGAAAATCTCTTCGTTCAAACTTTCAGTTGATCCCTACCTGAAGGTTTCTTGACAATTCTCATTGGTGTTAAATTGAGCATAACCAAAGTGACAATGTTTTCATGCCTCGTACTTAGCGCAATAGATATTCTAATGATGAATTATGGGCTTGTGAAGTATCTATGTGGTAATTTGTACATTATTAGAAAACACAGGAGGTTAGACTTCGATAGCCTCATCTTGGCGAATGTATTCATAGTGATTTTGCATCTAGCGTGACCAACCACGCGCTCAGTGGGATGGTAGTGTGCATATCATTCAGTTTCCTTTTGGTTTCTTCAACTGTGGGCAACTTTTACTGTTGCAGCTCCGAGTTCGCTCTTGTGATCATCCGGCAACACGTTTCTTTTCTTTATTTTAAGATACCAAGTGAAGTTCAAAGTATAGTTCCTGATGTTCCTCAGTGTCACGAGTACCAGTAAAATTGCAAAAGCGATCCAAAACCAAAGACAAAATATTCATAGATATAATATTCAACTCAACTTTTCGCAACCTGCTCCTCAAATACTACTCAAAAACAACTATACTTCTACTATACTATATATATACGAAGCCTAGGCTTCTAGCGGCTATTTATTTTATGACTACATAAATATCTATTAGATAATCTAATGCGAAACAATATATACTATTCAAAAGACCACAAACAACAAAAGACAAGAACAAAAAAGACAAATCGGAACATGTGTGACACTCAGTTTCAAAATTGTTTTGTTTAACTTGAAGTGACAACAGATCCTTGATAGCTTGTAATTTCATCTGTACTTTTATCAATTTAGTGTCCTGTTCAGTTCAGTTCAGTTCAGTTTTATTTTGAATTCCACTGGATACATACACTCGTTGCAAATTAGAAATAATCCAGGCTTAAAAGTATAAACAATGTTGAAGGAAGTTAACTATTATAAACATATAACAGAACAAATACAGAGTAGAGAAGAAACAAGCTTGTACAGGGGTATATTTAAAGGAGGAAACTCCCTCAGTTGTTTATAAAATAATCGAGTAGAAAGCAACCCCTAGTAAATTTGATGCGTTCTGCTTGATTTTTAGTTCAAAAGGGAAAAATCATCTGTAAGTTGCTTTGAGTCTTGCACAGAAAAATATCATCTATGTATAGACTAAGTTAAAAACCCATCATTGATTACTATTTTGTTTTGTAGAAATATCTTAAGACTTTTTCAAAAGAATATTTTGAAGGAGAATTTCTAGTTTTTACTGGTAGGTCACTCCACATTTTTGCCCCCATATCTCGAATGATGTCTGTAAAGGCAGAGAGGAAAGGAAGACCGGAAAGAATAACTTTTCCATGAAACATTTGGCATATCCACAACCCACAATTAATGCGAGTTTATTCGCAAAAGGAATAATATTTAAAATTTTCTTAAAGATTCTAAAATTTAGAAGAACCGTATAGGTCCCTAAATCAATGCCTAAATTTAATTTACTTTTTGCTTCCTTGTAGATAGCCTCTATTTCAAGCAAGCAATATCGAAAATGGCGGCCGAAGAGGAGCTGCCACCTGATTTGCGCGAAGAAATGCTGAAGTTGGAAAGCTCATTGGGAAATTTTGGTGATTTATTAAAACGACTTACGAAACAACCTTTGCTCGATACGAAAAATAAGGTAGGTTGGCTCAATTTTCATTGTTTATTGAACTATTTCTATATAGTGAAGAACTATAGCCTCAAATTTTATTTAATTTAGGCCAGGTCAGAATTGCATGCTAGGTTTATTTCTTGGCACCAAGGTTGGAAAACATATATAATTTTTGCTGCGCGTAGATGCAGGCAGCAGCACACTGTCAGCTGCAAGCAACATCATACCATCAGTTGTCAGGTTTCTCTTTCAAGTCAGAAACAGCATAGACCCCTCTTTCTCTGACCGCATAGGAGCAGGGTTGCCAGATTCTTGGAATAGTTAACGGCCAAATACTTTACGTATGACGGCCAAATTCGGCCAGCCAAACAAAATATATGAAAAATCTATATTTTTGCTAATTCCGTGAAATAACAGTGTAATCAAAAGTGGCTTTGTTTGTTTACAAAAGCTCCCACTTTCTGTCAATCTCAATTTTCTGCTATCTTTTACTTTGTTTCTTGATTTGTTATTCGTAACTTTGATATTATTTTACCAACATGTTGAATATTTTCTATGCTAATTTTTGTGGCTTTCAACTTGCGGCCAAAATTCGGCCAACCTTCGCTCTTTTGGCCAAATCATTTTTTGACGGCCAACAACATTGAAAAACGACCAGAATGGAGCAATTTGGCTGTCAAAACGGCCAAATGGCAACCATGCACAGGAGAACTAAGTTGATGTCTAAAGTTTTAAAAAGCTATGGAAAAGCTGTTTTTTGTTTTGGGCTCAGCATCAAATTCTGTGTTAGAAAAATGAAACAGAACTGCTATTCATTTTTTGCCGTTTCTGAAACAAGAACAAGCGAACAACCCAGTAACAATGTAAAACCCAGTAGCAAGAGGAACAATCCAGAAACAATGGGAACAGCCCAGTAACAAGCAGAAATGGGAATTGATTCCCTGCCTGTTTTTTGTTAACTTCTGTGGGGTGGGCGAGATAAAGTTCTTGTGGTCAAACATGTATACTATCAATAGGCCATTAATCACATCTTCCTCCTCTCTTTTGTATTTATTGCCCTAAGGCAGGTTCAACCCACTGTTAAATTGCTGTATCTGCCTCAATTTTTTGTTAATTATCCATCTTTTTAAGCTTAAAAAATATAACAATGGTTCTTTCAAGACAATAGTACCTAGTTTGAAAATATAAAGTTGTTGCACCAAGCACTTGTTTGATTTGGCCTAAAGTATGGGTAGTGACATTTGATAGCTTTGATAAAATTTATATATATCTTTACTTATAAACATACTTCACAGGCAAAGCAAAACAAAATGTGGGATAACAGGCAAAGCAAAACAGAAACTCCCTTTTTCTTCAATGTAGTATTTTCAAGTCAAAATCATATTTTGCAACTCATGATCTTCGCATGATTTATTTAAATTCAAAACATTTCAGAATCAATCATGTGTAATTTAGTCAAGTTTCTGAACTCTGTCATGTCAGCCAAAGCATCAGATAATTTTCTCCACTGATGCAGGCATTTTAGGCATTTTTGAAAAGTCAAAAACCTTTATTTTTCAAAAGCATGATGCATCTTGATTTCTTTTATATAGCTAAGTATTTGGCAATATGACCAAGAAGAAGTAATTGTGTGGCTTTTAAAGACAGCCTGTCAATTTCCCAACAGTCTCAGGCTGATATCCTCTAACTCTAGCCAAGTCGTTCCCAAGTTATTTGCCAGCAAGTTATGTATAAGTTTCCATTTATTCAAAAATTGGTATTAAAGCTATGCCTTACAAGGAATTTCCTTTCTCCTTTCAATCTTGTTCTGTAATGATATGACTAAGTTATTCATTTTGAATCTGCTCTCTCTTTTAGCTCAGTTCCATTGAAAACGCAAAGCTGGACCTTACAACAACATATGCTATAAATTCATTGTTTTGGAGTGAGTATTTAAGACCTGCTGTGTTTAAGCACAATCAGGCTTTTGTGGGAAGAACATAAAGATGTTTTAACCATCACTTTCTGAAGCTGCACAGACCATGCATTGTTTATTATTTATGTTTGTACAGGTTTATGCCCTTTTCTCTACACGTCTCCACCCTTCGGTAACAATTTTTTCTGCTAGGCAATAACTTTTGTTAATGTCAGTTAGAATGATATTACATTTTGCGTTCAACTAAAATCAGTAGTTTTTCCAGTTATAGATGACTCTTTATCTAAGGGACTATTAAGTAGATTTTGATGGGAGTGATCTCTACCTTATCACCCTTAAGGGGGTATTTTATATTTACATAATATAAAGATTTGCTTTAGTTATTTATTCATCAAATCTTTAGAATGAGGCCCTTTTTCAGGCCTTCCTGGGAATAAATTAGCACAAGTGTGGCATTTTGCACCCCTAGACTGTTTTAGGTGTGTGATGGAGTGTTATTGGTGTTCTGTTTTATTTATACAAAGGTTTAATTACATAGTATATGGAGCCTTAAAAACCCTCATTCTTAAGTCATTTCTTCAGTTTCACACAACTTTAACAATAAAAATCTCTGGTGGCATAACGATAAAGGAAAGTTTATGAATATTGCCAGGGATCTTTACTAAATTTGATGCTGAAAATATTTTAGATGCAGTTCCTGGCAATCCCTCTTGCCAACAACAATGGTGGCAGTCTTCATAAAACCCTTGAAAAATGTTAATATTTTGGCCCCAACATTCAATCGTGTCTCATCAAAAGGGACATGAAAACAGTTTTGAAAATGGCACGATTTGAAATTGGTACGATTTGAAAACGGCACAATTTGAAATTGGTACGATTTGAAAACGGCACGAAATGTATCGTACTGTTTCCAAGTGTAACCCTCAAAAATTTCATGCCTTTGTCACAACCTACTGTTTTCCAATTATTTCCATTTTCATATAAAACGAAACAACATTGAATAATTTTTGGAAGAACGGGACATCCTCGTCGGATAAATATGCCATATTGCGTAAACCCTTCTGGGGAGGGTTGTTAAGCATTGCATTGCGCTCTGCTCATTTTTAATCCATCTGGCGGTAGGAACTGGATACTGAAATCACTGGTGTAAAGCCAATAGCGCGAAGAAAGCGAATTTCCCAGCATGGGCCTTCGGCAAAGGCTTTCACATAAAAACTGCAGCTCTCTAGAATGATGCATGCCTGATGATCTGATATTTCGCACACAACTTGCACCAAATCTTTGTTACATATTGCTTATTGTCATGGGCTTAAATAGTATAGCTTAAAATGCCATTTTAGCCCCCCCCCCCAATTCAGGAATTTGGCGAGCTCCTTTCTATCCCCTTTACTTTTCTTGCTGAAGACGCCAAATTTACGAGTGTAGATCAGAAGATATATGGCACAAATCTTGTCTAAACTGGAAGCCTTTTGTTTGAAAATTCAACTTAATTTTCCATTCAAAAATGGTATTTTAGTAACATGTGCATGTTATCACAGGTCTATAATAAAAAATGTGTTCTATCCTGACTACTACTAGCCCTGGTGCTACAGTCATTTGGTCCGTGTTTGATTGCATTCAATCACAACAGCTCTTCAAATGTGTCGTCACAACAGCTCTTCAAAATGATAACGGTGACCTTGAGTACGTTGGACAAGACCGGTAAAACCAGGAGTGGCGGCATGGGGGGCAAGGGGGGGGGCTTTAGCCCCCCCTAGATTTTTGTTAGCCCCCCCGTCGGCAGCCAATCAATTTTTGCTTTCTCAATACCGTCGGCACTTGATGGATGTCACCCGGTTTACATGTTGTTTGAATGACATAAATAATCGAGGAAAAAACTGCACTGGCTGGTTTATGGTTTTCTCAATGGCTTTTCTTCGGCAATTTTACTATCATAGTGGCATTATATCCTGTCGCTTCCGTGAAAGCTGTGACTTAATTTCATGGTGCTCCTTCGCATGACCCACAATACCATCGTGCTCCTCTGGGTTGAAATCCCTGTTGCTGCTCATGCGAATGCCGATTCATGCGAAACGTGCAGAGATGCTTGATTTGGATCATGTTTTGGACCGTTTCAAGGAAATTTACCCTAACAACAGCAAAATCACGCTGTCATAAATAAAGTCTTTAATGAATTTTCTTCTTAAGGGATTCTCTTTTCGTTTCAAGACATTATTATTGCCAATGAAAACATTTCGATCATGAGCACATTTTGCGTAATAAATTTTTCAAAAAGCACTTCTTGTCCTTTTTCATCAACTATTTCTCAATAGCATTGTTCACCGCATAGCTCACGACAAACAAATGGTTTAGAGAAAACCGTCGATTAACTTCTTCCAACGTAGATAGGAAGAAATATTCAACAATAGGCAATATTTGCGCATTAAGTTTCTTACAAGGCACAAATTGCCGAGAAAATCTCGTGGACTCCGACACAGGTTGGAAAGTGGGGGCGGGGAGGGGGAATTTTGAAAGGGAGAATTTTGCACCCACAACAAACGATTTTTGAAAAATGCTCTATTGCTTGCTCGATATGCTTGCTTGCTTTTGGAAACATGCTCTATATCGGTGCCCCTTCATTGGAGGTGCTACTCAGGGGCGTCGCGACTGGGGGGTTGTCACACCCACCCCAATAGTATCTCAATAGGAAATTTCAGGTAAAATCCGCTCGGTGGAAGAAACGCTTTAGGTATTTCAGAGACCTTCCTGTCATAAAATCAATAAAGGATCAAGCAATCTTAGGTAAAATTGTGCCTCGTGTCCATTTCTTCTAAAGTTTCTCAGTAGAAGCGTCAACTGCAATTCACTATGAGCTCCAGATTTTTCTTAACATTCATAAGGCATGCTAAGATGGAGAGAGGAATCTAAATTTAAAAGTAACTGACAACCTGGTATTTTTCAAGACCACGGCGAAATTGTTGTTTTTATCTGCTGTAAAAAAGTTTTGCAAAAAGACAATAATTTTCAATAGGATTAGGAGGATTGCTTTAGTGAAATCTGCTTAAAAGAGTGCATTTTCCAGGGAACTAGAAGCATCACAATTCGAAATTTTCCTGCCCTTTCGGCGGCAACCATGGTGCCGCCTCAGGTAGTAACTATATATTTTGCCCGTCCCGATATAGAGATTTGACGAGACTATTAGAAAAGTCGGTTATTATCATACAGAGTTAGATTGATAAAATGTATTGCAGAGGTTTGTGACACCAGCTAAAAGTTTCAGGCAATAATTTTTTAATCAGGTAAATTTGCATTCCACACCCCCCCCCCCAACGAGGCTTGTCTTGCGACGGCCCTGCCTGCTATATGGGGCAAATCGAATTTTTTTTCTGTCGGCAATTTATACACATCCAGCGTCGGCAGTTACGGAGAATATAGACTTCGGCACCTTGAAGGTTTGTCTCTAGCGCCACCCCTGGGTAAAACACATCAAAATAAAAAACGCAAACGATTTCTTGTTTTTGGTCACCTTAGTTTCCAGCGCTTTGATTAAAAGACAAACGAATGATTACAAAAATAGGTGTGCGATTAAACACATCCCTCGCTGTGGGGAGCCGTGTACCAGCGCGTGCAAGTGCGACGGCACGCCTTTTCCGGGAAGGCCTGCCCTTTTTCAACTTATTTTGACTGAGGTCCAATTCACACTACTCTGTATGATGAAAATTTGTAAGCATTTTCAAGCCTATGTGTTGACATCTTTATTCGAACATCCGCTCCTTCAGTTACCTAGATTGGTTAGTCATTGTTTTTTCTCTGTTTCTACAAAATGAATATTTTTTTGACGAATTTGCTTTTCTTTTGCAGTTTATCTTGTCACACAAGGCATCAATGCAACAGATCATCAAGTAAAAGATGAACTGGTGAGTTCACCTTTGCAGACATTGATTCACCAATTCAGATTATTTTTTTCTTCTAAAAAATAGGAAATAAGTGGCTGTTTATACTTCTGGCTCTTTTGTAGAATCGAGTAAAGGCCTATATGTCCAAAATAAAAAGCACTGAGGAAAAGGAAAAGCAAGGTTTGTTTCTAATTGTTTTGCCTAATCTTGAATTTGTTTAAGATTTTGCCAAATTTTATTGATTGCAACAAAAATACATTTATCACCTGACATTACATCTATCTTTCTATTAATTTCGAAGTTCTCGGGTTTTCTACTATCTTCAATTTATTGTAAAGTTCCCTCTATTTTGTAGAAATCATCGATTTATTTACATTTCTATGTAACAAAGAATTATCTTTTTCCTTGAAGTAAAGCATGTTTGCTGTTGTTTTTCAGTTGCAAAGCTTAGGATTGACAAAGAAGCAGCAAAACGATTTGTGAAAAGTGCCTTGTGGACTGAGCAAGGTAATTTGCTATTTATTGGTAATATTCATTCAAAGTAGAAGTTTTCTCTCGTGAAAGATACTTTCGCAAACGACTCTCGTTATGAATTTTATACGTTCAAAATTGGCGACTGCCTCTTATTGGCCCGTCTAACGGAGCTGTCTGTTGAATTTGTGTTTGTACTTATTTTGACAGTTACATGCGCGTGTACCCCCAAAACAGAATTTATTTACGAGGGAAGAGGTTATGATTTTGGTGTTAATGTAATGTGAATTCATCTTCACGATGTATCTTGGATATTCTCCCCTTCATGTGCGAATTCACGAGTTCGTTTGTGAGAGATTTGCAAAATTGACGCTCTTGGTCAAAATTTTTGCATCACAGTTGCCTTTGATTTTTAATCTGAATTTTCAGTTGTTCCCAAGTACTGGATATTGTGAAGAAGAAGAGAAGCGAATATTTTGACGTCACAGTGGCAAAAAATTCGGCTACTTTCGCTTCTTTTCTTGGAATGGACAGCTTTCTAGTCTAACTACTTTTTAGTTGATTTTTGTTTTACGAAGCTGTACCTTTGACATACTAGACCATACAAGACCATGGTAAAAAGGACCATACAATAAAATGGCTGAAGAGACCTTTAATGACTCTGAAGGGAATTTTAGGTGTTTTTATTGGATTTCCAAACTTAAGAACCAACCAAAAGATATAGTTTTGTCAATATAGGTATTTTTTTAGTTTTGACCTAGACATTGTCTAGTTTCTCACAGGTTTTTTTCTTTTTATGCTATGTTGCTTTACCCAATTTCTGTTGCTATTGAAATTGTTCTTTATGTTTTACATTCAATGAAAAGAAAAACCAGAAGCAGAAAGCAAAAGTAATTCACCACCAGCTGATGTAGAGGAGAAAAAAGATAGTTCAAAAAGGAAAAAAGAGGGAGAACCGAAAAAGAAGAAGAAAAAGAAGAAGCTAAAGCAAGATTAAAACGAGCCATTTGGAAAGATTGGTTTTAACTTCTATGGTTCTTTCTCGCTATTCATGGAAACCACCTTTTATCGAATGGCCTAGTACCATCATTGTCATGGTCGTCTTGACAGCGAACTACGTGGATTTCCGTAAACTTGTATTCAAGTCAGTTGTTTCCAGCCTTGGATTGCTCGTATTTCAATGTTATCTTGCATTGTAAGTTTTATAAGTGGAGCAATATTATATATCTTTGCCTTTGATTTATCAGACTTCCTTTCCAGCTTCGTCGGGCTAAATTGTTTCAGAATTGTGTTTCTGAGATAAATTTCTTCTAAGGATGTCTAAGATGACTAAGATGATAGGCTATTCTCATAAAGGAGAGTTGACGAGGTTTCTTGTCTCAGAAAGAATAATCAAACTGATTCATATCTAAGCAATTTTAAAGCGAAATCCACCTGTCTGTATGATAGCTATTTTTGGGCTAATGTAAACACGTTGTAGGCAGATAATATGCGTTTGTTGACTGTGTGCTCCACAAAGGTGATTATTAAACTAGTATTTCAAATGGCCTGATTAGGTTTAAGCATGTTTTGGTACCTTTTTCTATAAATGTTTTATAAAAAGGAGTTACGATTATATTGAGGAACGTTTTAGTTCGGTAAACTGGACTAAAATTTCACTCCGCTTAGTGGCTTTGAACCTTCAGTTCGTCTTCGTCAAAAATAATCACAAAAATTGAACGAGACTGAAATTGCAAAAGTCTGTGAATGACATAGCCATTTCCGCGCTTGTGGTGTTTTCTGCGTAGACAGGGTTATGATGACATATAATAATCAGTCAGAAGTTCAGGCTGGCAAAAATTAAAGACGAGCTGGCATGTCTTTCAACCCGGCCCTGATTCAGCCATTTCAATGCAAAATAATTTTGTTTTGTTGCTATTCCCCGTTCTGGGATGACGTCATTGATTTTGTATCTCGCTATCTGTGGACTTCGTATTTTGTATTTTGTATTTCGTGATTTTGTATCTCGCTTCTCAAAATGGACTTCGGAATTGAAATCTTAATCTTTAAATTAGTTTATACTGAAATAATAATGTCGTTTGGACCGTTCGGTCGCAAGCTACTTTGTTTTGAATATTGAGATATTTCTTTAGATTTGACCAGATTTCACTGCTGCAGTGAAGAAAATTCACTACAGCAACAAATTCCATTGAGATGTACAGGGAAAGCTGAATCTTGAAAATGGGTTAATTCGCTGTCTGACAGCCGAAACAACTTCAACATGAAGATTCTATGATCCATTTTTGCCAAATGTGAAAATAAAAATTGCCCGGATCAGAGAAAAGGGGACAAATTAACAGCTCAGTTCACTTCAATATGTGGTATTGTTAATGTTTAATATGGTTTCGGTTAAGTTTACTTTCTGCTTTCTTAAAGTACAGTTAGCATTAATCGTAGGAACACTATGAGTCCCCTTTAGCAAGTTTTTAAAGATTATTTGTTCGATTCTCTTTAAGGCCAAACTAGAATTTAAAACTTGAAAACAATAGCAATTAATTATCTGTGGTCCTGTATACCGGGGCGAAATATACCGCAAATAAACGCCGGGTGCTGTTTATGCGAAGAAAGCAACCGAAGCACAGAACCTATTTCTATTCTGTGACCGAAGTGAAGGTGGGAACGAGGCCAGTTTTCATCCGTGGAAGGCCTAAGGCCACGAGGTATCGAAGTATCCTGTGATTGCTTATTTTGGGAAGGAATTCAACAGATTTTTAGTTGCTTTAGGTGAAACTCAATTGTTGAACTTCTAGGTTTTTAATATTTCCAAGAAATTTGGCGAAGACAGGAAGATTTTTTAATAAGGAGAAGGAATGAAGCTCTAGAACTAAAGTCGTAAGTCAAATACTTTCCTTGTATGTAACATTTGTATTTTTCACAAACGCTTTTCGCAAATAGAATGAAATTTCTTATAAAGTATAAAGTACAATACACAGCGGTAATGAAACAGTCGAGGCAACTGCCGTCCCGCCGAGCGCTTTATCTCAAAAAATATTTTTGACTTACACTCGACACTTTGAAAATTTTGAATTCGTTTTGTTTTTGGACTGCTCTGATATTTTCTTTTTCTCTGCAGTAAATGATTATGTGCGCTTCGTTGACCAGTATTTGGTCCGAAAGGGAGTACGAAAATAGGAAATGCTTTATTTAATCATATAAACCTTTTATAGAAAAAAAAATTTACTACTTTATTGAATTCAATAGGTTGTTTATAAATTCAACATGACCTCACACCTCTTCCTCCACTTTCTGAGAACCCGGGCCCAAGGCCAGACTCAATCTTTAGTTTATGGAGTTCATGCTTATTAGTGTATGTGTATGAGGCAGCGTGTGTGGACTAGGGAACTTGCTAATGCTTTATTGCCAAACTGTGTTTTATTAATTTTTTCTCTCCACCTTATTTTGGTTTCATTCATTTGTAAAAAGTTGATTATTCGCTGTTATGCTAAGATAATTCTAAAACTTTGACCCTTTCTTTAAATGTCAACATTAGAATAGATAAAGCTATGGAACCGTTAGCTTTTCTCCCATCAAATTCTATTTTACGTGCAGTTTTTGGCCATCCCTAGATAATTATAACCTAAAATTTTTCTTGCTGCCAACCATTGTGGTGGCCTTTTTTAATGTTAACACAATCATTTAATTTTTGCCCCACTTTGAAATACGTTTTGCTGTCCCTGGATCCAAAATTCAAATGTATTAAGTCAAACCGAATGTCGTAACCTAAAAATAGCACAACTGTCTTCTGATTCAACCTGGTAAAAGAAATGCATGCTGAAAACTTTTGTGTAAATCATTCTTTTGGCTCTATATACTTTGTTACAGTTTGAAGCTTTTAGTCCCCCTCCTCCAGAAAGTTATCCCTGGCCTTGGGCATGTAAATTTGTTGGGTATTGCACATCGAGCCAATCCCTCTAACTAAGTGGTCCCCAGAGAAAATCCACATGTTTTTCTGGCCCAAGTATGCTAGAGTAAAACCCCTGGGCTAGAGTATGCCCACCCTGCACATTCATGCCTATCAGATCTTTAGATACCAATACATTGATGCTTACTTGATGAAAAATCTTTCTCACAACAAGGCTTAATTCTCTATTAGAACTGGGCCTGGGTAAAGGCGGTAAAGACATTTAAGGTCCAATCTTCGTTAGGGAAACAAAACTTCACCTTTGGCACAATTAGCAAAAGTTGTCTCTGTCTGCTTTGGAGATTTAAACAATATTCTCCTCCCTTTGCCTCTGTCACTTCAAAGATGGTCTATGACTAGACATTCTATATGAATAAAATACTTTCAAAATAAAAATGCTATAAATTTTCACACATTTTCAAATGTTGATTGCAACAAAATATATTTTGATGTTGCTTTAAGCCACCAAACTGTCAGGTGTGGTAATAAAAATTTTCAGAGGAGTACCCTCAAACCCCTTCCTTTTTACATGGCTCATCTCCCTCACCTACATCTTCACGCCTTTGATAAAATTCTGCTCTATTTGCCCCTTTCATACTTCTGGCATCCGTGAACTAACTCTCTGGAGGAACAGTGGCTCAAACTGAACATGTGTACCATTGAAAATTATCAAATGGAATGGAAATGACACATTTTAAAATCCATGAAAATTCTTTTTATCATCTGTTTCACCAAGATGAAATAAGATAACACTGTAGAGAACTACACAGATAAAAAAGCTCTCTTTATTTTGTCTTGATTTCACCAAAAGGTCCCTTCAATCTTTTTCAACTGCTGGTCATCAGTCCCCTTTATAATTCCAGAAGCACAGCAGGCACTTCCTTTAATCAACCTTTGCCGTAACAACCTTCAAATATTCATTCACCCTGATGAAGCCCTGTATGCTGGGGTAATATTAGTATTCGTCCTATTTAATTTATTTTGAAAATTTCTCTCCTTAAGATTCTTGTCACTGTTTTGTTTTGTTCCTGAATTTTATCTTCTAATATTTGCTTTTGTTAATTCCAAATTTTTTCGCAGCTCTTGATTTCCATGTGTCAAAACATTTTCTATTACTTTTAGTCTGAGACCAACAGGATAGATAGGGATAGGATGTGGTTTGAGGCAAAGAGATTTTTCATATAAGACACACCCTCAAAAAAATCTGCCCCAGTTTTACCTGCAAGTTAGTTTTGCAACTCATTAACACAAATGTTTTTTAACTAATTTATTCAATTTTATACGCTCAATTATTGGGAAAAACATCTTTGAAAATTGTAGCTGTTCAAATTCATCATGTGAAATATGCTTTATTTCTAAATAGGACTATGCTACAGTAAAACATCATGAATAGTGGAAAGAGGTATTTCAATGCACAAGGAAGCTTTTCAAGTAAACGAAAACCACAGCAACCTTATATGGTCGATAAAAGACTGACACCAAGAGTAAAAGAGGTATTGAAAATTTGAGTCTCTTCTGCTACCTTTTTTAAAGAAACCAGGTGTTCATTAATAGATGCAGAAGTTTGAGTCGTTTCAGTTAGAAATTTGCTAAAATGGCCAGAAACTTTGACTTTGTTCATGTTTTGTGCAAAAATTTGAGGCCCCAGGAAAATTGACCATTAATAAATATTATGTAGAGTCTCATCTTAATGAAAGATGTCTTCATTTTTCTGTGCTTTTTACTCAGATTAGTTTTTTTGTGTATAGTGTTAAGGGAAGTCTAATATTTGGGTTTTACTGTAAATGCTTAAACCCACTTAATGGGCTGAACTGAGTATAGGTGTTGCCAACATATCATTTATCATTTTGTTGTCAGTGATCATGTGTTTACTTCTTTGTCTGAAATGAGGGTTATTGTTCTGTCCAATTTGTTTCTTTTTTCTTCCAGTTCATTGAAAGCTATACCCCAGACAGCCCACCTGATGTGGATGAAGTTGTTGACTATCTACAAATGACCTTTCAGTAAGCTTGGCTAATGTTTTTTTCAATTTACTAAACCATATTCTAGTTAGAGTGTTGCTTCAACTGATTACTTATTTTGCAATTGTTCATTAGTGACAAAAAACGGAAACAAAACTTTTCATTTGAGATGAAAAGAAAGCTTAGCAAGAAAAAAAATACAGGTACAATCATTAAAAGCAAATGCAAAAATCTCTCATAATTTGGAATATATGGATGAATCTGAATTTCTTGATTTTTCTTGTTTAGCATTTGCAGCATTCAGTTTAGATTTTTCTAAAGGGAAGCATTTTTCTAAAGCCTTTAAAATTTAAGAAGCTTAACAATTTATATTTTTTTAAAGATTAAGTAGAATACGCTAATAACAAAATCTTGGGACTCTGCCCACCCACTCTGCCCACTTTGGGACTCTGCCACTTTCCTAAAAATTTTGCCCCTGTTTTTAGTCACTTAAACATTTTTTGTGAATTTAGAGAATATGGCAGGAAGAAAAGAGGTGCTCTCAGACAGTCTGTGGTCAAAGTCCTTAGCTCATCACCAGGTGTTCCAGACAAACGAATCAAGATTCAGAGTGGAGCTTTCAACCGGAGCAGGTAAGAATGTCATTTTGGCTTTGCAAATCATGTCATTTCTTAAAATGTTTTTTATCTAGAGAAGATTCCCCGAAGATGTTTGTTTTGCTGTTATTTAAAGCAGTTCAATCATTCACAATAAGGTGCTGAAATTTACCCTCATATTTGATTTTCACCTCCTTTCATGCATTTCCATGCTCCTCTATCTATTAACCGATATAATTCCATTTTAAAAAATCATTTAGTAAGACTCTGCTTTCCACCCATACATCATGGTTCTTTACACATACACCATACCAATACACATTGATACTTTGATATTGATTCATTTTTCCTACAGTGATGGCAGGTACAGCCATGGAAAGCTTTCACCAATAGATTTGGTTAATGATGAAAGCGAATCAAGTTCAAGTGAAGATGTAGAAGAAATCATTGAAGCAAAGGTGTCTGTTTTAAATGGAATTGTCTTATTGATTTTTCTTATGAAATTGCTTGCATATTATTACTTCTGCTGTGGCGTGAATTTAAATTACCATTTTATCAAATTTAAGAATATCAATAAGGTTAACTTGTAATTTCAAATACAAAATATTGTTTTCACCTCATACCGTTGTAGTTTTTTGGATGCACCTTTTGACACTATGTCCATGTTCAAAGTAGTTTTCCAATGTAAAACTTTGTAATTAAGGAGCAAACAACATGATTTATGGGATAAATTAATTCACAACTGTTTCAAAAGAAAGCATTTTGTTAACAGTTCTTTGCAGTATTTGCCAAAATGATATTTTGAATGGTAAAAATTATAGACCTCTTAAGTGTTTGTTAACTTTTAGTAAACTCATAATGCTTGTGTTTTAATTTCTAAACAGGATACGAACATGATAAACAATTCAATGCAAATGTTGTATTCCAAAAACGTTAAAGACAGTCCAGTTGCAGCCCGACCTCAATATAATGATGAAGAAATGACCCCAGCCAAGCACTTTGATATTCCAGTTGGTCAGTAGATTTGTGTTGAAATTCATTTTTGAGTTTTTTCTTTTTTGAAGGCATCATGAAAAAGCGAGAATATAAATTGCTAAAGTTTTTTTTCGTCTGAAACTTCTCAGAGTTTATAGACTTAAGGACATGACCAATACAATAGTAAGCAGTAAATTTTTTTTCTGGTTCGGGTCGAAAGTAATGTTAGAGGAATGTTTGTCGAAAGCACTGTAATATGTTCTGTTTACACTTTTCGTTGTTATCTTCCTGAAGTTTAGCTAGTTTTCTTTTTCTTAAATGATGCTATTCCTGGAACAACATAGATTGTAATTCCGTATATGCCAAATTTCGTGCAAATATTTCTAGATTTAACCACAGCCTTCTTTGAAATCGTATGGCTCTATGCACAATGTCTTATTGTTTGTGCCTTATTAAACAAGAAAAGCAATATTAAACACTTTACGCTGGAAATTGTGAGTGAATGGAGTAGCTGAAGTGCGCTTAATGGCATGACAGTGCCCATGTTTCCTTTATAATAGTATGAAGAAGTATTGATATCAATCGAGATTATAGTTTGTAAATACATTTCTTCTAAATATTTTAGCCATGTCTATGTCGAATACAATGAGTGAAAATCCAAGTGAGCCAATTGACAGCAAGAAAAAGGTTTGCTTCTCGAAGTTACATTCATTCTTTAATGTGTTCTTCTAGCTGTTGCCATGGTTAAACACAAACGTTTCCAAAGACATCATTAACATTTGTTACCTGCAGAGCCACGTGGAAAAGTTATCTCTTAGTCAAACCAGTGCCCTAGCTGACCTGAAATTTGCAAAGTTTGAGCCGATTTTTTTAAATATTCTTCATTCTTTTTAGTCAGTAAGTAGTTAAGGTAGATCAGGCTAAAACATCAAGTAGCTCTGAGGATGTCCCGCATTCCGGGGCAAAATATTTAAATATTAGAATGCTTATTCGGTGCATTGTGGTGTTCCTTACACTCGTTTATTTATCTACTTCGACCATTTGCTATTGATTCAAAGCTACTTTTCGGACAGAAAACAGCGCGTGAAGTTTGGATCAGAGTATAGTGAATGACTAGAGATCAAATCTGGTGTACTACAGGGATCAGTCCATGGCCCACTATTCTTGAATGTCTTCATTCATGATCTACTTATTGCAGTTAAAGAATCTGAAGTTTGTAACTTTGCAGATGACACAACAATTTACACGCTTGAAAAAGATGTTAAAAGGGTGGCACTGAGTCTTGAGGAAAACCTGTCCAAGCAATGTTTTTATGGCTTGAGGAAAAACCAAAAATTGTCCTTGCGAATAACAACAAATCAGTAATTTCATTCATCATTCGGTCAGACTTCGTAAAGAGGACCTTTTCATAGATTATTTAGCAGAATAACTTTCAAGCTACTTTGACTTCCTGTGGTGCGTTACAAGCTGTTGTCTATGTGCTATCTCATCCAACAGGTTTTTGACATTATGTGAAATTGTTTTGATAAATAGGTCAATCATTTATATTGCCTTTCTCCAGGAGGCAGTTTCAAATTTAATACTCTTTTTTTCTTCCATTTGCTACAAATTAATATACAATAAATTAATATGATATATTTTGGGTGACTTAAGGTAAGCCAATTTTTCAGACTACTCTTAACAACCAACACTTTGCTGCTCTAGCAACCAAGCTAGACGTTCATTTCACCATCCTTTGAAATTTTCTGATAATGCAAAAAAGTATTTCATTTGTTTATAGTTCATTCGTATTATTTTTTTTGCAACGATTAATTATGCAAAATTTTGCTTGATTAATTAAATTTTTTTTTGACTCGGCCTTTCAAAACAATTTTCTCAACAAATCAGACTTGATAATCTTGCTATATTAACAATGATTCAAATGTGGAATAAAGAAGTTGGTTAAGCTTATTTGTGATTTTCTGTGAATGGTATTCTTCGTTTTTGTTTAAGCAATGGAAACAAAGAGTTGTCAAAATCGACAACTGCAGATAAGATAAAATTGTTGTTTCTGTTGCAAAGCTTACAGTTGATCAGTTTTTTATAACTTTGTAGAGAAGATTTATTTGTAAATTGATTAAAAATATAGCCTTAGCTGGACTGAAGTTTGCCTTTCACCTCATTATTCCATTACGGCGCTTAACTTTCTCTTAATGCAGTTTTATAAATAAATTCGCATGACTTTGGCGGAAGCGAATCGGCAAATCATCGAACGCGACCTGTCGCTTAGCAGTTCATCAGAGTTGAATTATGGAGCGAATGGAAGCGTATTTGCAGCAACATATGAAGTTGAACTTTGCGCATTCTCAAAAATGAAAACCCTCAATCGCACGACTAGGGCGAATCAATTAAAATCCTGGCTTTTATGCAAATTGCATGGCTGTTTTGTTGTTGTAGTAACTTCAAATGAAACACGTTGGGAATGAGCGCTATGTGTTTGTTTTGAGCTTTCCCCTCTTGCTAACAGTATATTGCTATTTCAACAAGCCTACGAGTATTACTGTTTTTTAAATTCAGTGATATGTGTTATATGTGACAGCGATGTGAAACCGCTTTAAACAATTTGCAGTTTTTCAATACTAGCCGCGTCCTCAAATGATATACTGATTGGAGCACATAATCTCTGTATTCCTTTTGCAATTGCAACTACTTCTTTCTATTTAGGTAATCGATCAGATAAAAGCTGATAATGCATCAACACCACTGCCGTCGCCGAGTCGAAACAAGGGTGGAAAATCTGACACTGAGCGGACGAAGCAGTCCAGAAACAGAAAACGAGAAGAAACTGAAATTAAGGCGAAAAAGCATGGTGATTCCAATTTTTGATAATCGCGTTGATTTTGTTTTTAATGCCAACGTATTTTATCTTGTATTAAAGTTGAGAATTACTTTCCACGCTTGGAAATGCATACGGCAAGATCTTATTTGTCGTTGTAATGAAGAATGTAGTGCTGATGACGTCAGTCATATTTTTATGGAGCAAAATTTGAAAAAAGCTTTGAAAAAGCAAACATTTCGAATCATACTAAGGCTTTTCGTCTGACACTCTTTAGAGTATAAAGCGTCAGAACGTAGATCGAATTGTCTACGCAAGGAAAAATTTATACCAAGTTGTGGGTCGAAGTAGGTATGTATATTTCCTAATGTAGAGTGTTTGATTTATGTTTGGACGTTTTGTATCTGAAGAGTGTCAGACAAAAAGCATAAGTGTGTTTTGTAATGTCTTTTCAAAGCCATACTGCTCACTTTGTTGATAATAGCAACTTCAGTTATTGCTTCGAGATTGTGATCATGATGACAATGATTATTTCTCACATTTCATAATATTTATTTCTTCTTGCAACTATAAAACCGCCATAACCAAATGAAATCCCATTCTGCTACGATATGTGCAGCCGAAAACAACCCTGTTCGCCTTTTATGCGACAAAGATAAAGGTGTGACACATTGAAGGGTTTTATTATTGTACCACACCGAGTATATGGTGAAAAGAGGGCATTTACGAAAAATTCATTAGGAATATTTTCTGAAAAGCAACAAATTTTGTTATTTGATTCTTAGGTACCCGAACGAAAATTCCTTAGGATGCAAGCAATGTTGTTTTTTCAAGATATGGATATATTGCTTCTTGTTGTGTTTTAGATTATGAACCACGTGTACTAAGTCTGGTTTCAACTATCGTAATATTGAATATTTGTTAACTAATTGAAAATGTTTTTCCATTTTACAGCAATCAACCCAACAGAATCGAAATTGAAACTCGCAGATATCGGAGGCTATGAGAATGCTCTTGAAGTAAGTTGAAGTATGAAATGCATATGCAAATAGCTTAACAGAGGCCTAGTCACCAATTCCTGACAGTGACAAAGAGTTTCATTACAGTGTCCAATCTAGTTACAGTATCTAATCTAATCTAGTACTGTATATGGTGACGTCACCAGGAAAGCTCGCCCTCTCATGGTATCTGTATCTTTGCCCATTTATGCCGCTTCCTTTGTTTAACACTTTTCAAAAGTAACACAGTTTTTATTTCATTCTGCAATGAAACACTTGCTGGAAGTTTCGAGACCTGTAGCCGTTTCCTTACGGTTATCGACAATTTTCCGCCATAATTTGCGGCAGTATTTGTAAAACTTGAATAAAATATTGTTTGTTTTAGCAGAATAACAACTTTTATCAGACAGTAGGCGGTTGTTAATAACCTGTTTAGACTAGTAACTTGTTACGTGAATAACGAGAATAATTTTCGGATTATAGATGCATACAAACCGTGAGATTAAGATAAACCAGCTTGATTACTGTGCTATCCGCATCAAGAATTGAAATAATTATCGGTCGAATCGCTGTTCACAAACGTGGGGTTTTTGAACGATAATCAAACTTGAAAGGACTTTTTGCATCAGCTCTCTATTTTATTCTCAAATCAAATACGTAAATTCATAGTTCTTCTTTCCATGCAGGAGGTGATGAAATTGCTCTTTCATCTCAAACATCCTGAAGTGTTCCAGCGCCTTGGTGTAAAACCCCCTCGCGGATTTTTGCTTCACGGGCCCCCTGGTTGCGGAAAAACACTATTGGCAAATGCTATCGCTGGAGTAAGGCGCTCTTTCTTTCCTTCTAGAATTTATTTCTTTATCAGGGATGTTTATGTGATCTCTATTCGCTCTGGATAAGGGTATTTATGCATTGATAAAAATGTAGGTATATTTTTACAGACAACAAATGACTTATCAGTCCCATAACGAGTCTCGTATACGATCCATACATGAGAGAAGTGCCTGTTAGCAAGGGTACTTGTCCTGGACTTACCCTGCATGGTGAGACAGGGTGGTCAGTTCCTTTCCTTGTTACCCCTAGCTCCCCTAGTGTTGTCCCTATGTATCCATTTTTGGGCAGGAGGAGATATCCAAGTCATGCACCAATCATGGGCTTTACTCGACAGCTCTACCTTTCCCCTTTTTTCACTGACTTGAGGGTTTCCGACTCCTATACTAAATGCAAAATCTTCAGCTTGACAAACTCTCAGATTATAAACCGGGGGGGAAACCAAAGCGAAGTAACAACGTAACAGATATTCCGTTAGCATAAAAATATCTTTTTCAGGGTAATGAAAGTATCAGGCTAATCTAAACAAAATGACATGTTGAGTGTCGAAAATTTCATTATCGGCATCCATACCAAGGCAAAAAGTTCTTCGATAAAGAGATCTTGCATGGTATTATGCAGTATTTTCAAAAATGACTGTTTCAAGAATCGAAGTATTATCTCCTGACAATATCTTGCCGAAATTTATTGCTCGATTTGTTTGTTTTATTCAAGCTTTCTTGGTTTGTAATCAATTTTAATATGAGCAAATCTATCCATAGGAGAATTATGAATTTTTCGTTCAAGCGTTTAGAAGAATTTCCTTTCCTTCCAAATTAATTTCTGTATTGTCCTTATCTGAAGGAGTTGCAGTTGCCCTATTACAAACTGGCAGCAACGGAAATCATTTCTGGTGTGTCTGGAGAGTCAGAAGAAAAGCTTCGAGAGCTTTTTGCTGTAGCACAGGTTTTGCCTTTGTTCGAAAATTCATTACCAAGATCAAATTGTAGTTATCCCTTAGCATAACTTTGTAATTATCATAACTTTGCTAAGATCTTTTTTAATTTTACAAACATTCATTTACCCCTTAAAATTGACTCGCATACATCATCATTGCATGAAATCATAACCACGAAATGAATAAAATGATTTTGTTTTGGTGCGAGTTTAGTATTCTCTTAAGATTTCGGAGCTATTAGGACCTCATTTTCCAAATAGCTAGGCCCATATGAGAGATAAACATCTAATTTTAGTTACATTTACAAATCAACATGACACTCATCATTTCCTTGCAGTCATCTTCGCCAAGTATAATATTCCTCGACGAGGTTGATGCAATCGCCCCGAACAGAGAAAGCGCATCGAAGGAGATGGAGAGAAGAATCGTATCCCAGCTTCTTGTCTGCATGGATGGTAATAACATGTTGTGTTTCAATATTCTGTCTCAATTTCGATTCCCAAGAAAAACTTTGATCGTTGTCTTTTTCTGACATTTGAGAGACGCATTTCGTTGTCAACAGTGCTACAGCAAATAATAATTGATAGTCTTGCTTCTATCATAGATCTTGATCAGGCTGACAGCGATGTTATGCTAATTGGAGCAACCAACAGACCGGATTCTCTGGACCCTGCTTTAAGGCGAGCAGGACGTTTTGACAGGGAAATATGTCTGGGCATCCCTGATAAGGCTGCGCGGAAAAAGTAAGTTGCAACAAGCGGTTACTATCTTGTTTCCCTTCTTAGCTACATTTTTACTGCCTTAATTGATTATTAAGTCAGAAATCAAAGCCAAAACAACGAATGTAATTGCAGTAAAGAGAAACGCTATCAATCTATACAGCTGAGCTTCACTGAGCCTTGTTTTGTCCGCTTTCTTCTTTTTATTACATAGAAAATGCAAATAATGAATATACAAAGCAATGACCAATTTAAAACTTCAGAAAATTGATGTGTTGTTTATGCAGAGAACCCCTTAAAAAGCCCTCTCCTTCAATTATCAATTAGTGGGGGCACCCCTCCCCTCTTAAGCTTTTACCTTCAAAATCGAAAAATGCCAATATCTCAGGCCAGTCACCTAGAGTTTCATTTTGTAGTAATCTTGCTTTGCAATTCAAGTTAGCGAAGCAAAGTTAAGCTACTTTAGAATGCTTCCTTATATTCAGGGATAGTAATCATTTATCACTGAAGCACAGTAAAGCAACCATGTTTAATTAATACGTGAAAATCTAATATCGCCATTAAACGCGCTGCCTTTTTACTTCAGGATTTTGGAAGTTGTTTGCAACGGACTGCGGTTATCGGCTTCCTTTGATTACGAAAATATTGCTTCACTAACACCCGGCTTTGTTGGAGCAGATCTCGTCTCGTTGACCAGGGAAGCAGCCATGTTTGCTGTGCAAAGGTCTTTGTGCGAATTTGTTTGCTTCATATACCGTTATATGTATAACATTAATTAAGAAACTGTTCATTGCAGCTTGTGATGGGATTTAGTATCTTGTTCAGTATGTTTAATCTTTATTTTTATCTATTAAGCTGATAGCTTGTTTTTTATAAATTTAGATATCTTACGCTGTTATTATGCATATTTTTCGGTTAACTTTTTAATTTTTTATTTTTGGCTGTTTTTGCAAGAGCATCTAAGTCATCGATATTTGCTGACAAACACCACTTTTACACAAAAATATCAACTTTCGTAACATCACAAATACTGATCTACTAAAAAACCTAAATTTCACTAATTTAAACAAAAAGGGCAAAATATTTTGAACCACTGAAACTCTTCCTTTTAACTCGTATACGAGACGCCTCAACTCGTAGACTCTTCAACTCGTATACGAGAAAACACAATTTGCTGTTTGCTATGCCGTTTGTGAAGAATGCTTTGCAGCAAATGCTCTTCATTCGCAGGATTTTCGAGAAGATAGAACGAAAAATGACGTCATCCATTACAAACGCTGATGCCTCGCAAACGGAAAGAGAACTTCCAATTGACGAGGTAACTCATCAGAAACAAAATTATTTTTCTTTGTTTCTATCATCATCATTTTAACTAACGGATCATGGAGTGAAATTTTTTGACACATATGCAAAAGTTTCAGATCTTAAACAATTTTTGTCGTTATCTCACCTACTAGATGATTTGATGTTTTGCTTAAAAGCCAGACCAAATTTTGTTCTGTATATTACGGCTGCAAGAGGAAGCCCTTAAAGTTTGTCAGCCAGATATCATTGCTAGCTAAAAGAGTGCATCCCTGAAATTGTTATATTTTCGCTTCTCTAATGTATGATTTGTATTGCAACAGGCTGCAACTTCAACGACTGAAGAGACGAGGAAACTGAACGGTACGTTCTTTTGAAAAAGTTAGATCAACCTAGGACTGTCTTTTCTGCTTTCTTTTACAGTTCTGCAGTGTTTTCTGCTGTATTTTTGCATCTTTTTTACTTTCGATTTCAGCATTAGCCTGGCTCAGGGGCGATTCTACCATAACAATGGAGGAGCTGGAAAATTTTTTCATTGAATCGCACGATTTCAAGGTAACTGAAAGACGATTTAAAGTTTTCAACGTTTTTTGTTACACAATGCCTGAGATAGCTAGCAGCTTTAAGACATCAGTATAGGTACCAAACTGCCTTTAAGAATAGAGACACTTCCAAATAATGGTACGTTAAAGTTATTCAATGTGCCTGAGAATATACGGACTTAGTTTGAAAGAAATGTCACCCCGCATCCTGAAAGGATCGTTTCGCTTAGAAATATTTGAAGAACTTTAGATAATAAATATATTTTATTTGAAAATTCCAGAAACTGGAAAATGTTCTTAAACCTGATTGCCATTGTCGGTTTCTGTTCATTTAAAGCTTTTCAAGTGAAATCTCTGTGTTTGCCATATTGAAGCCTCCTCATTTTTCTAATTTCTGCGTCTATACTGCAGCGTGCTCTAGGCACTGTGCAACCATCGGCGAAACGAGAGGGCTTTGCAACTGTCCCAGATGTGACCTGGAATGACATTGGGGCTTTAGAAGACATTAGAGATGAATTAACGCTGGCTATTCTGGTATGAACCAATCACATTGAATTAGACAATCATCTAAATACTTTTTCATTCAATATTATGGTTAGAAAATAACATGGTATTGTTGAAAAACGGAACTGAAGCTTTTTTCTCAGCCGCTATATTTCAGACTACATATTGTGCCAGCAGCTGAATGGAAATTTCTATCAAGATGTTGATCAATAGAATGGGGGTATTTGATTGGTTCTTTGTTTTCAACCAATCAGCAACCACTATTGCTAAGCTATTTCTATCTGTAAAGGGTAACAAAAAAGCAAGAAACCGAGAAAGTAGCCTTGTTGCATCCCACTGCCTCTGCACGTATTATACTCAGACATTCTTCGCATTCAATAATCAGGGTCTGTAGCTTCAGCTTGAGCCGTCTTAGATGCCAGTGAAAAAAATAGACCAAAATTGTGATAAGCCTTCCTATTACCATGTTTTTCATTCTAGGCACCTGTCAGGCATTACGATAAGTTTGCATCGCTTGGTATCGTGAGCCCTCCAGGCATTCTTCTGGCAGGACCTCCAGGCTGTGGCAAGACTTTATTAGCTAAGGTGAATGGTAAACGTCTTTGTTTCCACATGACTACATGAAATGATTACGATCGTGATTTACTACTTTTGTCAAGGTAACTTAAATTGGTCGGTTCTCTTGGCTATGAAAAGGCTTGTACGTGTCACTTTGAAAACACAGTAAAAACCTGAATTTTGAAACTTGCTGTCTCTTAAAGATCAATTGTCGTATAATTTCATGCTTTGTAAACTTTTTGCAGAGATCTTAACTTTGTCATCTACTGACTTAAAATACCTAGAGGTCTCAATGAATAAAAACTTTCAACAGCACATTTTCATCTATGCAACCAGTGTGTTCTTTTTTACAGGCTATAGCAAATGAAGCTGGAATTAACTTCATTTCAGTCAAAGGACCAGAGTTGCTGAACATGGTAACTTCTACAAGCAATATTGCTTTTTTTAAGAATTATAATTTGTCTTACGTTGCTAATGCTTCTGTCACGCTTTAGCAATTGGTGATATACATATATTTGCAGACAGATAAACACACTATTGAAATTAAGGTTTCAGTTTGTTTGTGTTTATTTTGCTACAGTAGAGGTCTCTGATATTTAATCAAAATTCTACAATTTTCAATTGGATGCATTAATACCAAGCCAATTGTATCTTTTTTAGTACGTTGGAGAGAGTGAGCGAGCTGTGCGTCAAGTATTCCAAAGGGCGCGAAACTCAGCACCTTGCGTAATTTTCTTTGATGAAATCGATGCGCTTTGTCCCAAAAGGTCAGGTACAAGCGAGGTTCGTGGTAGCTTGATTTTCTGCATTCTATCAAGATATTTCACACATTTATTTCATTCAAGCAGATTATGTGAGTATTTCTTGCTTTATCAAAGACTGAATTTTGCTCAGAGCAGTTTTCTCCCTTCTTGACCACTCCACAAACGGTCTGCTGTTGTGCCTTAGATGCTGCTATGGCTTCCTTGCAAGTCTGTACGCATGAAGTACCTTCTTGTGCCTGGAGAATCCTATGTTTTTCAGTTCTGTTGAATTGCTTTAAAGTTATTTCGATTTGCAGTTCTCTGGACCATCTGGCCCTTGCAGGCCTGAAATTGTTTCCTTATTTATAACTTCCTAAAAATTTTATTCCCAGAAACTGCAAATGCCTCTAACTTAATAATTTGTGTTTTCGTATGGACGTGGCCAAATCCACTTTTAACCAGTATCATAGTAGCGTAAAACAGTAGCCATAGTCATTGATCATTCTCTACTTTGTAACCTTAGTCTAGTGCGAGCTCAAGGGTTGTCAATCAACTTCTCACTGAAATGGACGGGCTTGTTGCAAGGAAGCAGGTATTTCTAATGGGAGCAACCAACAGGCCTGGTATGTTTTTGTCATCTAGAGTTGATGTAACATTTCGTGGTTGATGATACGTGAAATGAAATATTGCCAATATTCAATCCCATCAAATGGATGTATTCCCTAAAACATAAATGTGATATTTGCTATTTGTGATAAAAACATTAGTGCGAGACTAATAGATGCTTAATCTTAACATTTTTAAACCAGATTTTGATAGATTTTTCCATTGATAAAAGCTATTGGCTATATGATGTTGATTTTTGTTTCTGGAATACGGGAAAGGTTGACATGATTACACAATAACATTCTTTTGGAACAGTAATCAATTATGAAAATGGTCTCAAAACGCTAAATTAGTCTGCGTGTATTTACGATCTTTTTCAGATATTATCGATCCTGCCATTCTTCGCCCTGGTCGTCTTGATAAAATACTTTATGTTGGTCTCCCAACTCCAGAGGATCGTCTCAAGATTTTGCACACAGTCACCAAAGTATGTATTCGTTTTTTGCAATTTGAAAATTTATTTGTACCAAACGAATTTTTCAAGCCATCAGCAACTGTAGGAGCCTCTGCCCTTCCTGATTTTTCAAGTTTTGTTCGCCCTGTTGACTTTGCTCCCAGCTCAACTCTCTGCATTGTGCGTTGCCTTCAGCTTGAGATTCCAAAACCCTAAACCAACCTAAAATTCTCTAGTCACCAATGATGTTTTAAAAAGTTCCATCTGATAAACAAACTGCACTATATTTTCTCCATCGACACGGTCTGTTTAATCAAGAATGCTGTTGACTGTTTAGATAAAAATATGTCAAAAAGCAGATTATGTGTAGGTTCAATGCCGATTGGCAAATTGCTTGCCAGAGTTCGAAGTTAAAGATTACTGTCTGTAGGCTTGACATTTTAACGTAATTGAACTGACAGGCAACATAGGAATGAATCCGATATTGTAAAGCAAATTGTTTTGTTTCTAAATGAAACGCATACTACGTTAGAGATTAGGGGGTGATGGTCAGAGGAGCTTCACATTTTTAAAAATGCTGATCGAGTGAAAGAAATAACTATGAATCATCAAAAATTACCGCAATAACAGATCAGACAGAAGTTTAAAATAGGTTCTTAGAAAAAGGAATTGCCTTTTGTTCTAAAGATTGTCTAAAGTTTTAAAGTTTTATTTTGTTTTAGTTGGGCACCCATCCAAAGTTATCAGAGGATGTTAATCTGGAAAACATTGCCCATGATCCTCGGGGTGAAAGATACAGGTAGTATTTATTTTGTGCTTAATAACTATTGAATTGTTTCTAGCAATAACAAAAACTGCTGTTGGTAGAGCTATAATTATTTTTTGACCTGCGGAAATTCATGAGATCTTGGTTTTATTCTCTTGTTTAAGAGTTTTTACTTGGGTTATCTTGTTTAACCTTGCAAGAACAAAATACGTGATATTTTCGCACTCTTATTAAAAATGCTTCATATGGTATTTCCCCTATTGTCCGCATTTGTCACACATGGCCATAGAAATTACCTATGAGTGACCTTTTGGTTGAACAAGCCAATCAGGGTGGAGGGTTCTGCACGTTAATGGTTATTGAGTAAAATCACATTAAATGCATTTGAGTAAAAGCAGCAAAGTCGTGCAGACATACTGCCTCTGAATGTGTACGCACATGTAGGTAAAAGGAAGAGCAGTTGAAATGGTAATCGAAAATAGTCGATCCGTGGTTTGTTTTAATCACGAAGCTATTTCATGAAAAATTCCTGATTAGGTATAAATTTCATCCAAGTTAGAAGGAAGACTTTTTCTCTATGATGAATTGAATAATCCATAGTTTCTTTGGCTTCACACTTGCATTGCGATTTTTGAGGTTGGCTATATTATTGCACAAGGACCCACATCATTTAATTGCAAGAATCTTTTTTAAGGAAAGGATAGAAGAAGAACAACATTTATTGGTAGAGCCCATGTAACAGTTTTGGAATTTATCTACATAAACACGAATAACCGCTATTGTGTAGACAGTAGGATTTTTTTTTCACCTTAAGACTCCATTGGTAAGATATTCAATAGGCAAGCGGCACTGATTGGGCAAACTCAACAGTCATGCGCTTGCGTTTCTGATTGGCCTATTTCGATCCACAACTGGATATTATATTTCCTAGCGTAGAGTTTTCGATCTATGTTCTGACGTTTTAAACTCTGAAGAGTGTCAGATGAAGAGCTTATGTGTGACTGAAAATGTTTGCTTTTTTAAAGACATTTTTATAAGTTGAATTTCCTTTTTCACGAAGTGGAGCTGATATTGCAGCCTTGGTTCGAGAGGCATCTGTCCAAGCTTTAAAGGAGCATATGAGAAATGAAGATTCGGTCAGAGAAAATCCTGGACCCATTGAAGTAAATAAATGTCATTTTGAAGCTGCATTCAATAAACTACGGCCATCCATTACACTAGAGGTAGGAAAAGTTTGTCTTTACTTACTGTAAGATCGTTAAAATATCCAGCAAACAGAGTTAAAGATTGATAAACTGTTTTCAGTGGTTCTGTATCAATATATGCTGCAGTCGCCTTGTAAAACTGCGATGTACACTTCCTACGAGAGTAGACAGAAACGGAAAATATTTTTGAAGATGCAATGTATTTTTAGTCCAATCGGTAAGGCGTATTCCCTGGACTGCAACTATTATTACATATTTTCGTGAAATTCTCTTCTCCACATTTCGTTTGGTTTCCTATGAAACTGGCATTAGTTTTTGATCAAATTAATACTTTCCATAGTCTTATGAAACGTAGCAATTGGTTATTTGTCCATATTTCTCACTTCCCCAACGTATTTTCTTCGCAGAGCCAAAGTTGGTATCAGAAGTTAAAGGCAAAATATGGAGTGTGATGTGCGACATTATTGGCGCAAAATGTTTTGTTTCTTGCTGTTTTGTGGATTTTTAATGGACGGTCGAGTAAACTGATACAACGAACATCAGCTGTCTATCAGTCAAACTGGTTTAGGAAATTTTTAAACCTAAACGTGTTTAACAGACATAGAGGATAGCAATGAAAAATTTATTATTTGGTTAAAGAATTTCGTATGCTTCAGAAATGATTTTTTTGATGGTATACTTGTCTTTTTCTGATTACCTTCACTAATGATGAATTATATGTAATTTGCGTTACTCAGAAATTCTCGTATTATCACATTATTACCAACTCAACTACAATGCCTGCCAAAAGTTGAGTTGGTAATAATGTGAACACTGGCATCAATTTCCAAGGTCAAAACCAATCATCCCCCTCTCCCCCACGGAACAATTTTGGTTTTCTATCAAACGGATTAGGATTTTAGGAAGCACTTTCTTTTGCGCTTCTTTTATGATATTTCTCTAAATCATCAACATTGTTTGAGGGGGAAGGGGGCGGAAGTAGCAAATTTTTTTCATGAAAGGAATGAAAGATATCAAATGCAGCGTAAATTGGTGGGTGTTCCAAGTACTTTTGGCAGGCATTGTAGATTTTAAGCGAATAGCATCTTCAGTCGATGTAGACTCAAAATTATTATGAACAATAAGTTAATTGATGGGACTCATTTTCACCTTGTGCTTTGAAGACTGTCAAAAATCTCTGACATCCTTGCGCCAATTTATTTATCTGTAGGTGCAAACCGTTGATGTTTCTAGCTATAAACTTGAAATGGGATAGAAAAGGACATCAGACTTTGCTGTCTTTAGAAAAAGGGAGTTATAAAGACAGATAAGCGTAGGGAGTGGACAGTAATGCCGTACTTTAAATAAAATGCCAGAAGTTCTAGATAGCTTTTTACAAAGCTCAGCTGTGTGGTGCTTCCAAGAAAGGTGCTCATCCATTAGTACTTCACATATTCTGTCTTTTATGTTGGATATCATGCTTACCAATTTTAAGCCTGACGTCCCCTGTCAATTTCTTTAAGGGGGAAATGAAACAGTAAAAAATTTGTTTTTCTATGTAAAGAGCAAGTTTGTTCGTGTTTGATGTTTCTAGCCATAAGCTGGTAATAAGATAAAAATTACATCGTACTTTGACTGTCTGTAATAGTAGAAGAAATTTTAGGGATGAAGTCAGTCCAGTATGTATTCTTCGTAGATTCCAAAAATGCATTTGCCGCTGTAAGTCTCACTTTATTGATTAAAATTTTACTTGATTAATTTCTTCTAAGTTTCAGGTAAATTTCATAAGATAATTTCAACACTACATTTTAAAATGAAATTGTGCACAAAATAAATGCTGGGTTTACAGGTCTTTCCGCTTGCAACCGTGGTGTAAGACAAGGTTGTATTCTAAGCCTTATGCGTTTTGCAAAGTTTTTGAAGGAATCAAATGAGTTAATTTGTCTGAATGCAAAGAATGTCCAATTAGGAAGAAGCGTCTTTCATACTATGATGTATTCTGACGATGCTAATTTTTTTTCTGAAACTACGGAGGATATCTAGACCCAAATGTGCTAAACTAATGATATTTAAGAAAAAACTAACAAAGATCTAAGATTGCACTAAAATTTTATGTGATGATAATGCCCTTTTAAAATTTGACTAGAAGCAGTCCTTTGGATTGATTGGTCCATCGTTTTTAAATGATAATGAGATAAAGATTAAAATGAAACAATGAAAAGATCCCTAGCATCTCCTATGAAAGAAATTATATGTAAAAAGGAATTATCTGCATTGCTTACTATAGCTTTTTGATAGAAATATGAGGTTTCGACGAGTGGCCCATCCTTAGACGTTTACATCTTTCTGCTTGTGAATGCATACTTGGGATTAAATCCTTTGATATTATCGAGAGATTAAATAAATCCGGTAAAAAGACACACCCTTGTCGTACTCATCTTGGAATGTTAGTAAACTTACTAACCTCTCCATCAATTTTTACAGCAGCCGTCTGTACCCAGCGAAGGATTTAATTAGTTTTAGATCTTTTCCATCAATACCTAGATGTTCCAACATATCCATTAGGTCTTCATGTCTAACTTTGTCGAATGCTTTCGTAAAGCCGACGAAACAAACGTGTAGCTTTCCCTGCATTTCAATGGCGCGCTCACTTAGCATTCTTAAGATGAAATTCCTTGTGCATCTCCACAAATCCCTATTGTTCTGCACTTTTTTCGGATTTTATACTTTATCTTGCTCTTTGCATTTAAACACGTAGTATTATTTTCAGAACTTGACTCATCAAACTGATTTTACGATGGAATTCACATTCAGTTGCTGCTGGCTTTTTTTAATGCTATGAATCAGGGCCGTAAATCTGTCATGTCAATTGGGGGGGTCAGCAGAGCGAATGAATATAAAGTGTACAGTGAGTTTGTTAATGAAACAGTTTGGGTGGCAAACGACTTAAAAAACCAAAAAAGATTTTTAGATTTACTACGGTTTTTTCTGCCCCATAGAAGGTATTTACGTTGACTTTTTTTATAGTTGAGTTGATAACATTTTTCAGAGACAGCTTGAATAGATTAAACCTGGGGGGCTGAGAATAACATTAAGTGATGTAGGAGACCCACCATGGTTGGGGCCGATGTGAAAGGAAATTTTTGAAATCATACCTTCTAAATAGCTAGAAAAGCATCTCCCAGATGAATATTTCAGTATTTCGCTAGTGTCACATATAATATTTGTGATGCTCGTTTAACGTTGAGTGCCAAAATCTTCTAGCGCTTCCATCATTTCTTCTACGATGTCGTCCGGGCCAGCGGCTTTTGTTCTGTTTAATTTTCTTAACTGCTGCGACTCTTATTTCCGATTCTAATATTTTGGGACCAACCATGTTTTTGGATTTGGCCCTCTTTCGTCTGTGAATGGATCTTTGTGGTATTCAGACCAGCTATATTTATAATCATAATGGTTGTTTGTTCGGTATAGGTAAATGTTTTGTTCTATTTCTGAACACATGTTTTCTAGCCATGCTTCTTCTGCTTTTCTACATTTTTGTTGTAGAAAAATTTGTGTCTATCTCTGTATCTTCGGCACTTAAAAGAAAAGAGAACTTTCAATGGAAAGAAACAAAAATATGTTGAAATAATGGCTATGATAAAAACTAAAACTTCCGTTATTCGTATAAGTTCAATTTTATTGTATAAGACGTGTGTGGGTATAAAAGCTTAAGCACATGTTGCAAAATTTTTGCTTTTTCAAAGTTATTTCCTACTTTTAATTTTTGGAACCTTGCTTGTCTTGAACCCAATGCAATTTATATTGCTCGTCTCCCTGTGAAGAAATCATTTGTGGAGAAGCCAAAGATGACAAGATGGCGGATACATTCACAAACATTTGCTCCGTTGGGCAGCAAGCGGGCTCGGTTGGTGGCCCTGTCCAAAGGTCGACGAAAGCTGAGCAGTGTAATTATGATTTATTAATGTACCTTATTAGATCTCCGTTAGGTTTTCTGAAGAAATTAATTTATGTAACTCCAAGAAAGGCGATTATGATATAGTTCTACTGGACAGAAATTGATGCTCCTCCCATCCTTTCGACTAAAGCTGGTCCTTCAACCCTCCCAACAAAACAACAGATCCTCTAGTTGACAGAGTATATTTCCATAGTGAAGAGGTCAATCAGTGTATAATTTTAAATACGGCTCCGGTGGGGTATATAATGCAGCAGTTCTGCACCTTTAAAAATTGTTTATGAAAACATTTCAAACATATCTTTGAACATAGAATGTGCCAGGTAGATCAACATGGTGAAGAGAGATGTTAGATCCATAAAAACCTTTCAATTTGAACTTCAATTTTATTGATTCTTCCCAAAATAATTTCAGTGCCACCAATGTTGGCTTGCATATGTTCGATATTTCAGTCAAGGAATTAACAATGTCTTCAATTCAAAACGTTTTAATATTCATATTTGGTATTCATATTTGATGCTTTGTTGGACTGGTGGGATATTTGTCCTAATGGGCCCTTTTTCTGGTCCCAGTGGACCTATTTGAATTCTCACTATTTGAAAATTGACAGAGTATATTCAAACATTTGAATATCCTTAAAAATTAGCATGAAGACTATGTTTGGCTTGAAATTTGTGAGCAGTGCCAAAATGCACACATATTTCAATGAGCTTCTTAAAGTCATTAGATTTTGAGTTATGTGTGTTACTTATGAGATCTTTACGGCAGCCTTGGTGCAATCTGAAATTTCAGAAACAAGTTTTGAAGCCTTTTTGAAGCTGAGTTGTTTCTGGTCATATAAATAACAATAATAGAATGTCCTTCTGCCCTCAAGATCACAGTATGTTCAGAGGAGTTCCAAGCGATGTAAATGGTCGTCAAAAAAACTTTTTGTTCTTTTGTGAGGTCAGATACAATTTAGCATCGAATTTGGACACCCCAAGGTGCTCTTTTTGCAGTCCCTACCCCTTGCAGCACCATGAAGCTCCTGGTGCCTCTGCTTCTAATTAGTGCCAGGATGGCTCAGTGGTTAAGGCTGCAGACTACAGATCCAAGGGTCACAAGTTGTGGTCACATCAAGAGGAAGGAACAGGACACCGCTCAATAGCATAGCTTCTCAATGTCCTTAAAAACTACCTTTGAATGCTAGGTAGATACATATGCAAAAAGTACCTAAATATACAAATTGTACTTTTCAAGGAAAACTGAGCAAAAACTTGAATCATTGCTGCAGTATATAACCTCAATTGTTTTTATGCTTTCATGTCATCTTTAGATTGTCTACAGGCTCTATGACTCTCTCTACGACAACTTTCTAACAATCAGATTTTAAGATTTTGTCTTTACAGTCATTGGAAATCCTGTTGTATCTTTGAGAGAAATCTCAAATAATCTTCATGAATGTGGCATCACTCTCTCTTAGTCATCATGTAGCGTTGTAGCAGCCATATCAAACAAGCAAAGCAGTTTAGTGTGGAATAGAAACTATCAATTAACTCTCTGACATCATCACAGACAGTTGCAGATGAGGTGTTTTCATCACCTTTTTACATCACAGATAGTTGATCCAGAAAGTCAAATTTTTTTTATTATTGTTAGACAGCAGCAGTAATGGTCTATGATGATGATCGCCGAAAATGAAAAGCTGACCTTTTTTCATTTGGTGCAATTGGCCTGTGATGATCACAGACATTGTTCTGCGATGATCACCTTATAATTAAACCACATGAAAACCAGCCTTTACTAAATCTATTTGCTAACAAATATCATTTTGTAACTTATGTTAGTTTGCTGATCAAGCACATTTTAGTACATTTAAAAGTCTCATGTCATATTGGTTTTTTTTTATTTTTGCATATGAAGACATTTAATATGTGATTTGTTATGTGAAGATATGTAATTCATAAGAACAAAGACATACCAAGAAACTTTTGTTGCTGACATCTGTATTGGGAAAGGTAGAGCAACATCTGCAATCTTGGCAAAATTCCGAGACACTTGCAAAAAAGAAGCTACTTACAAATCACTTACCCCCCTTCCCCTTAAAGCAATGTTGTGGTTGGATTGGTAACCAATGCAGTAATCCCCACTTATTCCGAAACCATCTTAACCAACATTGATCCCAGGTGGAAGGGGTTTTAGGACACCAGCACATATAATATGAAGATATACCATATAATACATAAATTTCTTCCTTCGTTCAAATGTCTCAGCTATTTTTTGCCAAGATTGTCTGATATGGTTGTCAAAATGTATCAAAACACTTGGGGTTTTTGAAAACTCCAAGCATAAATAAAAATCATGAAAACCAAAAATTTGAAAAGCATATTACTCCATATTTTCTTACTTTATGGTGATGTTTTTAATATTTAAAGAAAGAGGATAATTTGTCATGATTACAAAGTAAGATCTATGGTGCAATGCTCTCAACAGAGACCCTTAGTAACTTTCCAGAGAGCAGTAAAGTTAACTTCTTTTTAGTTCTACTCATTGAAACTTCCAGAAATCATTTTCTCCTTCCCCCAAAAACAGCAGGCAAGTTTGAAAAAACAAAAAAAAACAAAATGCAGTATTTTGATATTTATAACTGACATTTCTGAATTCAAAAATGTAAAAAATTTCCTCCCTTCTTTGGCGATGTGACTTTTTTAGCTATCTGTCTGATTCCTTCATGCATTTAAATTTTGCCATAATTAAAGCTTGCTGATATTTATATTTGTTTCCATGTCATGGTTTAATCATGTCATCTTTTTTTGCTTTGCCTTAAGTTTATGGAAAGATGAAAGTTTTCAATGATCAGATCCGAAGAATTATTGACCATGATGAAAGAATGCCTTCTGGAACTGATGTATCAAATGTATTGAAATACTTTCAGCATACTCTGCTTGGGTAAGGTGCTTTGAGTCTGTGCTGTTGTTTCATTGTAGATTTAAGGCTCCATTCCACAGAATTTAGCAATTTTGTCAAGTATTAATTATTTTGTATGTTTGTATGGTCATGGCAGGAGTAGTGCTTGACTCAAGTTTAAAATAGATATCTGTTACAATCTATCAATTTTGTTGTGATTTATTTTGATTCTGTAGATGGATAAAAGAAAGTCAAAATTACTTTGATGAAGACTCAAGGCAATTTAGCAGGCTTGAGCATCCATCTGTTGACTATGATGTGTTGTGTGCAATGCTGTTGCAATCACTCAAGGAAGCAAAAGAAATAGCTGTCGAAAAACAAGGTATGAAGCTAATTTTCGTTTTTCAGTTGCATGTCATATTAATGATTGGTAGATAAGTATTGATAGCTTACTTTTGCAGTTTATCAGGGCAGGGCTTGAATATTAAAGCAATTGGGTCACATTGCATAATTTGAAAATGCGAGTGAATGGAGAATGGGATCCAAAGTTTGAAATGCATCTAAAAGAATATCTTATCATGAAAAAATACATGAAAGGGTTTAATTGAAGGTATTAGAAATAATTTTATAACTTATACAAGAAAGATACATAATTAATATATATTTTAAAGTGTTTTACCCATGTTTGATTTTGTATAACTTCATTTGCTTTCTTAGAATATGAAAAAGAATTGTGACAGAGTTTTTTTAAGAAAAAATTGCACCATACACATCCAACCATGCTTAATTCATTCTTTCTTTATTTTGAGCATTGTTTTGGTGACATTGACAATGTAGTATCTTATTATTAGGCAGGCAGTCAGTTGCGTTACATTGCTGCCTCCCAACCTGCTTGAGCTGAACTATTAACTGCCTAATCTTAAAGAAACATCCCATCAACTGCCTATTCATTGTTTAAACTCAAGACACTCTATTTCACACCTTTATTTATAATATTTCACACCATTGCAAAATGTTGTAAAGCAACAGTAGAAACTGGCTTCTTTTTGCATCAAGAATGGGGATTGATTCACCATAGTACCACATCCCTAGGCCTTGGGTATAATATTATGTTGTATTTCTTTGTATACAGCATCATCTGAACGATATCTAAACACATACGTTTCAAATGTTTGTGATTTTTTCTTAGCCGAATCAAACCTTTTACGTCCAAACAGAAACAATGTATTTTCAAATATCATTACGTGTTAGAACGATTGAACTCGCAAATTGTTTTTCTACCTTTGTATTTTCTCTGCCAGGAATACAACGTTTTAATTTGAAAATGAGTTTTTGTGGACGTAGTCTTGGAAGGTAACAGGGTTTGAAATCGAGTATAAAATTTCATCAAATTTACATTTTCAGGCGGTCATTAGGTTGCTCTCCGTGGTTGTTTTAAGGTGCGCTTTAGGCGCTCGACCTTATAATGGTAAAATGATCACTATTAATTAAGGATTATACAGCTAATACTGATTATTAACATTACAAGCAAGTTAATTTAAAGTGATGCTTAAGATGGCCAAATATCAGAGAATATAAGTGTTTCAAAAGGCTAGAGAAAAAAGCAATTCTTCGATAGAAGACTAAAGGCAGAAATGGACACTAGAAAACACTGAACTAAATGCTAGAAATCATCATTAACGATGTCCTTTGATGGTTGCTGCTTCAGTCCTTGGGATGTTATTTAGACCCAATTTGACCTTTCCCAATGTCACTGCTTATGCTTTATCTCAAATAATTTTGTCAGTGAAGGTACATTTCATATTGCCTTAGATATTTGTTGAAAATTGAAAGTTTTGTAAATCTCAAAAGTCTAATGAAGCTGCAATGTCAAAAATGATTTAACTTTAATTTGTTGTAGAAAAGCCGAAGAACTGTTTACAAGCATTTTAAATTATAAAGAGAAAATCGAAATTAAATTTGAGATAGTATGCTCGTATTTCTAATAGATGCACAATGATTTAAAGTTGATTTATTTTGCAGTTTATGTTGAAGCCATTTTGACTACGCTAGCATGCTTGGTGCCATTTTTATCACATAATGAGCTACTTGGCTTACCCACAAAGATCTCATCTGCAATAAAAGGCATACCGATTTCGTGTCATCCGAAAGCTGTCTCCCTAATTTGCGGATACCTGTTACCTCTTCTTTTAGGTATGTTCATTTTCTTATATTTTTCTCAAAGGTTCTTCTGATTGACTGTCCAAAATGTCACCTGTCCAAAATTTCACTAAAAATCAGCTTATTATCTACACTTGTAGTATTTATTAACCGAGCTGTTCCTTCCATGTGTACAATGTTTTTCAAAACATTCTAACATTTCTTTGCCATTTAGATGTCTGCAAGACTTTAAAATAAAAAGCTTTCGATTTTCGGAACGGAACTAGTATTCCATTTGAATTGTTTCTTTGTAAGCAGAGCCCTCGAGCCTTCTTCCTATGCTGGGACTCAAACCCACCATCGATGTTTTTCTATCATTACTCCATAGCGAAATTGAATCTTGCCACAATGAAGTTTTTTACATCAAAGTTATTATGTTATCGTTTAAATCTTTTTACTTGATGTTCTTTTCAATTGGATAAAGCTGCTCTTGTCGACAGAATCTCTTTGTTTATGATAGGTGCAGTGCCTACAGATGGCAGTAAAGAGCGTAGCAAAGTCAGTTTGTCCTCACCAGGTCTTCTTCTAACAATTTTCCAGTCGTGCACAGATCAGTCGTTATTTCTAAGAATAGTCGAGACTCTGATGGCCTACAAGAAGAACGTCTGTGGTGATTTATTGTATGTAATGGCATATGGCACACAGGAAGTATTGGAGCCGGCAATTCACATGCTCAATAGATATTTTCCAGCTGTTGAAATCGGTATTTCATTTATAATCACTCGAGTAAATTGTGTTTTACTATGCAAAAAATTTTGCATTTCCAACGATAAAAGCTAGAGTTTTCAAGTAGCTTGATGCAATACTTTGTAGTGCTTTTCAATAGAAAAGCAATGAAAATGTTTCAGTTTTTGTTCTATACAATGCAATGAAAATGCCCCACTTTATTTTTCCAATGTGGTTCAGTGTTGCTTTGTAAACGTGCCCTAATCCTGTTTCGAACATCTACTACAAAGCCAAGGCATGCTGCAACTTTGCTGCTATCAATCAAATTTTTATATTGCACCTTAGCACAATGCCTACTTCCTTCTACTCAAAGCAGTTTAAATTATATGTTTATAGAACTAAAATGAATGATTTGGCCTAATTTAAGGTACGGTAATGGAATACAGATCGGTTAAAGAAGATGAGCTCGTTTTGCAGAGGTGTGAAAATCAGTCATGCGCTGAAAACAACAGTGAGGGGTTCATTCGTACTGCTGAGCTGGTTTGCCTCGACCCTTCGATATGTTCCTCGGTGCTGGGATGCTCACCGCCTATTTTTTTGTGTACATCATGCGCTGAATTGTTGAACAGCAAGTGCAGTTCATTATTCGTCGAAGTTGTGCGTTCAATTGGTAATATCTCAGATTTATGTGAAAATCAAGATTGCCAATCGAAACCAAAGGCTGGCAAGCATTTCTGCTTCTCGTCGGAGTGCACGCGTAGAAACAAAAGGAAACCAATGCGAATTTGCAACACATGCAACGAAAGGTCAGCCTCTTTTCGATCATCATAACGGATTCGTTGCTCGCCCTACCAACTCTTATTCTGCCCATCTGCAGATTAAATTTACAGTTGACCTTTTTATACTTTTTCAAAACTCTGCAAAAATTTCTAAAAACTTTTCTATGCTCCTTGTTTTTCTTTTATCCGCAATCTAAGGTATAGTAAAATTAAGTATGTTTTACCCAGAGGTTAATTAGAATTGTGCTTAAACTCATTAGATTTAAAACAACTGTTGAACAGACCAGACGTTTAGACGTTCAAAATATACATAAGTCGTTTTGCTGATCGAAGTGGCGTCTCAAAATTTACTAGTTGGTGATTTGCGAAGTATGCCAACTGCAAATGTGTCTAAAAATGCGCATATTTTTTAAAAGCTTTTGTGCAGCGTATTTGTCGTTTTGTTTTTGTATTTCGAACATCATTTTACAAGAATATATTTTGTCCTCCTGCAGCTTGCATGCAAAAGGCAGCCCTTTCGAGGATCATACTGTCCATAGCAGTTTGACAAATCTTTGGTCGATGACTAAGCCTACTCAGACATATTTGCTTGATACCGTGTCACGATTGCTGAAACAGGTGCATCCGCCATTCGGCCAAAGATGTGTTGAGATGGGGTACGTTCATTTGTTCCCTTTTTCATACCTTTTTAGTATCCCGCTAAGATTTTTCCTTAAACCAATTTATGACTTGTTTGCATGCAGATAGGCAATCAAATGAACGATGTTCGGTGAACACTAAAGCATTAGTACTTGTTTAATAAAATAGATTTATGCGAAACTACGTCATACTGTTTTGATAAGACGGTAGGATAGAAAATAAGAAATTGTGAAGTGGCATCACATGGATAAGGTTAATTGGAAAATGACATTTGATCTGCATCACTTTTATCTGCCTCTCGAACCAAGGTCAACTGAGAGTTGCAACACAGGATCGTCTGTTCAACACACCCTAGCATCGTCTGCTACTAACGCACTAGTGGTTTTTGTAAACTTGAGTTGTAAAATATGTTGATAGCATAGTAATAGCCAATGTGTTCTATCAGAGCCTACAAAAGGCCCGTTTTTGATCGAAATGATACCTTTTTTTTCATAGAATTGACCTTGAAACTATATCATCTCTGACATTATCTGACAAGAGAGACGCAAACTATTACAAAAAAATAACCCGAAGCCTGCATGGTCTGAGTTTGCTGAAGGCCTTGTCTCCCATACCACCTACAATTTATAGTTACGAGCAGATCAATCGGCTGTTATCAATGTTGTTTGCATGGCTGGAGACGGTCGCTTCCAAGGCGCACATTCACGTGAAGATCGTAGAGATCGTGGAACGGTATCAAGCCCAGGCTATTGAATGGATTCAAAAGGTTGAGAGTTATGACTTTCACCTCTACTGCGACTGTTTGCTGCCTGTGCCGCCTGTTGAAGCGAGGATTGGCCTCGCTTGGGAATCTCTCATGAGCGAAAATCGCCAGCTTCTAGAAGGATTGCAAAGAATTTCAACACTCGCGAAATTCGGTCTTTTGCCTGAAAAGGTATTTCATTCATAGATTGAGTTGATGGTTGACAATTACACCTTCATATTTAAGGTTCAGTTTTAACCTGCCCTTTTTTCCCACCAATGAACAAATCTGGTTGCCACTTCTTCATCTCCTCGCCAAGAGCGAGTTTTTTTTTAACAGAAGCTATTTTTCTTTTAAGAAATTTCCCTTTCGTTAAATATGTTTTCGTTTCTCTAGGTGTGGGAGAGGGTTCTACCTGATTGGATACAAGAGATTAAAGAAAAGGTCTCTCCTGATGAGCTAATAAAGTACAAAGCTATTTTAAAGTAAGCAGATGCCGATTTTCGATTTTTGTCCGTCTATGTACGTGCTTAGTGAGTGAGATATTTTTTACGCACTACCATTGGAATTTTTTATGAAGCTTATACTAAAGGAGTGACTGCAAATTGAACCAGTGGCTATGAAGCTCAAGCTGAATCTTTCATTGTACTTTTGTACTTTTTTTGATTGATATTTTTAACTTTCATGTGTTTGTTTTTCTTCTTTGAGGGCCTGTACTTTCTTGATTTCCTTGACGTTTTCCTTTTAGGAGGCTTTTTGATATCAAATCTGAGGTTAGGCCATCGTACTCACTCAATTTTATTGACAGAAAACTTCAGAATATTTCCAATAGCCAAAGACAAGAAAGTCTAGCATGGCTGCAGGTATGTCCGTATTTCTTCAAAATTTCTGTTGAATTATTTGATTTCAAGTTATAATTTGAGCAATCTTGAAAAGTGATGCTAATTTTTTACTAATCAATTAGAACCTTCCCCAAAAACGGGCAAATGGACGCACTCTTCAAATAAGTTTTATTAATGATACCCATTATTATTATTACTATTATTTTAACATTATTTACAGTTGGTAAGAATAATGATAGTTCTAACTTTAGTTAATTAAGACCAACTATTTACACAAAAAGAAATACTAATTACAATAAATACAATAAATATAGACATCCTGGGTCTGTTAACTTTGCCCTTGAAGGGATTATCATAGCTGAGATATCATAGCTGCCTTAGGAAGAGGTAGTGAGACTAGCTGTTTCAGGGGAAAGAATTTAAAAATTTCAAAACAAGACTCGGCCTTTCAGCTTTTCTTAATAGTTTTGGTAGGAATTTGAAGCAAGCGTCGGTAATATAAGGTTGCAACGATAGCCATCACCAATGATATTTAGGAAATAAGACCATTGCATTCTTTTTCTGTTGGCGATTGTTTATAACAATACCAAAGGATTCATTTGCATGCCAGAAAATGCGTCATTCTGTGGCTGACAAACGAATAATCGATCTGAAAATGATTTTTACCATATTTAAAGGTTGAAAGTTCATAAACAGAGCAACAACAGTTAAGCAATTAAATAATGACGTTCTAAAATATATTCTAGTTTTTTTAGTTGGCCTATTTAAGATTGAAAAATGCTATAGAATAGCTCTAAACATTTAAAACCATCAAAATTCTCAAATAATAGCTGAAAGATGACTACTGGAAAATTAAAGTTCACAAAAAGATGAGTGTTGCAGTGGCTTAAATTACCTAAAAAGGAAGAAAGGTTCTTATAGAATACGGGTTTACTTGATATGGAAATTCCTGACGGGAATCGTCGTACTCTTGACGAAAGTCTTTTGCTCTGATATTCCAAGCTAGGTCTTAATATTGGAGCATTCTATTACTGACTTCTGAGTTGCATAGAATGCAACAATTAGACAAAACCTACCTATGGTCTATACTGCTTATGACGGTAAATGCTTTTAGGTGCTCTCTGCTGTAGATGTCTGCCTTGATGTGGGCACACTAATTTCCATGTTCATTGACGCTGCAAAGCAGGCAGAACGTTCAGAGGACGAGGAAACACAGACCATGTTCCAATTTCCCGACCCACAGTCTTACAGCGACGTTCCTCTGTCACCTGCGCGGTCTTCTACCTCTCCAGGGTCTTCCCCGTTTGTATTTCCATCAGTCAGTGTATTGGATAGTGGTGTCACATACTATATCCTGATGATGGATATTCTCATAAAACAGGTAAGAATCTCTGAAAATTTTGCTATGTCTATTGTTTACAAAATAATATATTTGTCCTCGTCACTGTTCTAGAGAAAGGATCTTTTGTACTCATTTGTTTAGTTGCCACATAACACCTTTTTAGTACGAGTCTCGTTCTGCTCTTGTGAAAAGTTTTGAAAAATGTGTCTCCTTTCAAAAATTCAAAGTTTTTGGAAGATTTCTTGCTTGCTTGCTTGCTTGCTTGCTTGCTTGCTTGCCTTCTTGTTTGCTTGTTTGTTTGCTTGCTTGCTTGCTTGCTTGCTTGCTTGCTTGCTTGCTTGCTTGCTTGCTTGCTTGCTTGCTTGCTTGCTTGCTTGCTTGCTTGCTTGCTTGCTTGCTTGCTTGCTTGCTTGCTTGCTTGCTTGCTTGCTTGCTTGCTTGCTTGCTTGCTTGCTTGCTTGCTTGCTTGCTTGCTTGCTTGCTTGCTTGCTTGCTTGCTTGCTTGCTTGGTCTTTTGCTTGCTTGCTTGTTTGATGTTACAATTGTGATATGAAACTTTGTAGATATCATTGCGGAAAACCAGCAACAGTATACAGTTGAACACCCAGGAATCGTTCTCTCTTGCCAAGTTGCTAGTATCCATTGTCCATAACCAGAAGGATGCTCAGCGATGCTTGCATTCAGGACAAACTGCGTGCCAGTATTGTCAATTGAAGGGAATCTTCTATTACCAAATCACAATTTTACTTGACTTTGTTCTACCCACGTACACTGATGTTGAATTAAAGTCAAAAATTGACAAAACTAGCAAGTCAGTTCGATCAGGTCAGTAAACGGCACTTGCTTAACAATTATTATAAATTATTATAATTATAAGAAATTTAAAGCAAACATTGCAGTTTTTGCAGCTTTTAGTTAATCACTGTTTGTTAGGTCAATCAGAGAATCATAGTATAATCAGCCAATCAAAGATTCTCAACATTACATGAAATTAATCGAATTTGCATAGAAGAGTGAACATGCACACTAAAGCCGGAATTATCTGTTCAATAGTCACCCAATAATCAACTGATCACTACAAAATAAGAGTCATTTACAATGAAAATCTTTTATTTTGTTTTATTAATGCTTGTATTTCCTCTATTATTGGTTGTTATACTTTTTCTTATTAATTGCTCTTCAATGAAAGTTTTTCTTGTTATTATGCATCTGAGAAACTTTGCTTTGTTTCTAGAATCCTTGAAATCCTCCATACGCTCACACGTATCTAGTAACGCAAGTTTTGCAGAGACCCGTTCCGTCCAAAGAACTGAATCAGCTGACAGCGATCAGGACTTTGACGAAGCAGCCGCCAGCTTCACTGGTTACGTCAGCAGTGCCGGTGTCGATGAATCAGACAGCGAACTTTCTGCTATTGCTTCGGTTACTTCCGAAGACAGTGAACAGGACAGTCTCATCGCATGGAGGAACAAGATCAAAGGCATATCAGAAGGCTCTATTTTGTATTCAAGGGGGAATTCTATTGGCGCAGAGCAAAGCAATTGGTCCCTTATTTACAGGGACAACCCAGATATTGAAATCACCGTTCTCCTGTTGCAGGTTTGAATTTACTAATAGACTTGTGTTGCTGCCAGAGAGTGTGTTGTTGCGTTGAAATTCTTTTTTGTTGGAAACCAGCAATTTTTGCAGCTGTAAGGAGCCAATAGCTTTTGACTATAAGTTATACGTGATGTTCCTGCCTAAGATGGAATTTACATTATTGCCTGATCCTCTGTGTTTTAGTACTATGGTATCTTCAAGAGTCGTGTAGTACACATTTCTCGTACAGCTTGTGTCAGTAACATTGTAATTTTGTTGGATACCTGCAAGTCGGTTTGCCTGCAAGTCGGCAAGTCGGCTACTCTACCTGCAAGAGAAATGTACAATTAAGCCGAATGAGTTATACAAGGCTGTTGTATAAATTTAGCTGTTCGATGGTTCGTAAGAAGAAAGGCTGAAATTGCTGGAAGATAAATCAGAATTGTTGGTCTTTAAATGAATACACAGTAGTGGTCAATAAATACAGTGAATGGATCGGGGAGTAGCTAATGATCAATTATAATGAGAATAAGCCCTGTGATAGGTTTGTGAAGCGAAGAATGAAGCCGGTTGGGTAAGATGATATAAGGGGAAAGAGCCGTCTTCGATAAGTCATGAGGCTCTAGATTATGGCTAGCGATAAAGTTCACTAAAAGCTGTTTCTACCTACCCAAAAAACGCTGCGATATGGGTAGAGCAGGCTTGTATTTGTCTTAGACAGATTATGTATCTATACCATTAAACATGTTATTTCAACAGCACCTTCTCAAGCACACAGACCCAATCGTGCTAGGTCATGTTTTGAAGTGCATCAGCATGACATGTATTCGTGGTGAATGTCTTCGCGTATCGGCAAGAGAGGACATGGATCTAACCCATTACCTACAGACTGTCCTTTTTATTCCCAGGTATGCAGTGACTCTACTTACTCTGTACATAAAGATTCCTTAACTGTTTTTTCACATCCACATTTTCGTTTTATTTTAGATTTCATACTCAATTTGACCAGAAGCTTAAAGCCATTTGTACCTTCTTCATCTCCATGCATGTATTATAAACCTGTAGCCTTCGAATATAGAAAGTTCGTAGAAACAAGAATGCAATACTAGTTTCATTACCAACTAAAATTTGCCTTGTTGAATAAGTATCGTTTCTTTAAAGTGGTCCTAGGCCCTTCAGCACAGCTAGAAAATTCTTCGGATGTTTTACCTGATCGAGAAAAGATTCTCCTGTTATGCCATTTGTAGTATTCTGGTAGTGCCATGACTTAGGATGCTGGGAATTACTGTGTACCTCGTTTGTTTAGGATCATAAAAGAAAATGCAATGATTTGATTCATAAAAGAAAATGTTGTAAGTAGCCATGGAAAATTTGCAGATAGCTATATCTTTCTTCTTGAAAAGAAAATTTGCTGAATCATTGTTTCAATTCGAAAACATTGTTTCGGAAACGCCCGGTACCTTTTTTCCTCAAAGTGGGCATGCAAATTTCGAAATTACAAACGCACTGCCTATGACAGACGGTCACAAGTTTTTCCAGCTCTGCCCTCCAGTAGTTTTCCGGAGTTGTTTGAAATTTGTATATAATTCAATGGAGATCGTTTGATTATTTATAGCAGTGTATCAATTTTGAATGGTTGCTATTGTTTGTTGTAGTTTATGGGAAATGCTGCAATCGAACAACTCCTGCCTCGCTCAGCAAGCAGTACCACTTCTTCTTCATTGCATCTGCATGCCGTATGGAGCAGCAAGACTTTGTGATGAAATCGAGAGTGTTTTTAATAATGAAGACTGGATTAAGCGCTTTTCTGCAGGTTAGTGAAATTACTTGCTGTGTCAAATCGATAACTGAGTGTTACACCCTACCCAGGGGTTAGGATATTCCCTTGTTATTGCTGAAAAGCAACTCTTTCTTATTCTTGCTATTGAGAATGTTGTTGAGAGGATCCTCTTTTCAAAGCACTACACCACTGATACACCCGTAGAGAAAGCGAGGTTACAGTTGAATGCTACCAATATTTAACTGTGTGAATCTCATGAAAGCATATCGTTTCACCAAATCGATATTCTAAAGATATGGTCATATCTTTTACGACCCAAGTCCTTTCTGTACCCCCAATTACTTCTCCGTTGCAGTTGAGAAAGTTTCGCTGCTGTGCGACTTTATCGATGTTGATAGAATCCGCGACTCGTCTTTGGCCAAGTCTACACTGGTGCATGCGTTGATCTATCTGATATCTGCGATTGATGACGTCAATGATGCTGTTGCAACCAAGGCTAGGGCGCTTGTGGCTTCAATTAACAGATCATCACTATTGGTATAAAATTATTTGGTTTACCCATATATGCGTGAATATTTGTTTGATCCTGCTCTTTTCCATTCATTACAACCTTTTGTTTATGGTATAATGTAAAAGGCAGAAGATTTCCTTTGCCAAGAATATATATATTTATAGGTAAACAATTGTCCCTACCTCCTTCCAGTTTTCTTGTATTGATGATATAAAAACTCGTATAAGTCCTTTTCAAGTATGATTTTGTTTCAGTAAGTATATATATATATATTTTATTCTTTGCTAGCATCTGTATTGCTATATGGAAGAGCACTTCAGAGATGAAAGTGAGGATCGTCTGGCGCTCTTATATTCTTGGAGAACACTGAGCTTGATAGTTGAGGACAGCTCTCCGTTTTCTGCAAAGTTTTTCACGAGTCTTTTGGTCTATGTAATTACAAAGGCTAAAACATCTGCAGTAAGCTCCAGCCGTGGCAGCTCCTTTTCAAGCACGGTATCAGATGAGATGTTTCTAGCAAGTACGTTTTCGTCATTAACAAATTCCTTTGACGGTACCTCTGCAAATTGACCACCATTTCTTGCTTTCCCTTGCAGACCATAGGGTTTTTCCATGATTCGATGATTCACTTTAATTTTTCAATGGGTGAGAAAATTTTGTAAGAGTGCCTGTAAGCAAACTGTTTGAAAAGCATTTTTCTGGCGTCATGATATAAATCTAGAAAAGAACCAACATGATTAACTGGTACCGAGATTTAGTTTTTTTCCTTGCAGAGAGGGAGGGAATGGTAAATGAACCGTTGCTCATTCCAAACTTCATCAGTTGGAAGACTGGAAAGCTAAACTGATATACCCTGTGGGAATATATGTAAATACAGACAACTTGTGTTTCTAACACAAGCAATTCAGAATTAATGCGCTTTAGTGGTGTTGTTTTTCATTTTGACTAAATAGATGTTCAACTTTGCGAGTTTTATTTAAAGGACTTAGTTAAAGTCAGAGGGAGGGAGGCTTTTTAGGATGGGAATATTTCTGACGCAGCTGTTGCCGTACTTGCAAGAATGCAATACTCTGAAACAACAATAGACAACCCCGTCACAATCCAGTATATACAGGCTCAGGTATTGTAATTATTTGATGCCTATAGCTGCCATTGTCTCTCCTTTCTAGATTCGCACATGCCAATGTGGTCAAGAGCTTTGTCAAGCCCGGGACGTGCCACCGGCATTGCTAACTGGGTCAGCAGTGGCAGCATGGTCCCTAACAGGCCTCGCTCTGCCTCAGCTCCGTTTGTTCTTTACAAGCAAAAGTTCACCCTCCAGTTCGATCGACAATCGTCTCTTCTTTCTCAAATGATGGACGAAGCAACAGCTGAGGATGAAAGTGAGGTTTTTCTACCGCATAATCTCTTTTTAGAGTTTCCTTATAAGGTTCGAGAAAGAAGGCTCAATTTTACATAACCATATTTGGATAATTCCCAACCAGTTCAATGCCATAAACTAAGCATCACAAAGTAATACGTATTGTCTATTTTAAAAATGACGTCAGCGCTGCTGGCTCTAGCCTTTGCGGGAGCACGCCATTTAGCTCTGGCATCTCTGTTAGTTTTATTCGTTTTGGTCCTCAAAATGTAACGAATTGCTCGACACCCAGAGGTGAAAACTTTTTTCTTGAGTGCAGCAAGGAGGCCAACTGAACATCTTTGTTATCTGTCTCGTGTTGTTTTTGTTGTCATCAAACAACTTATTGCTCGTGTCGTTTTTTTGTCATCAAAGAACTTATTGACTACCAAGTCTTCATCGTTAGGTACGAACTCCCGTCGGCGACGAAGGCAATGGTCTCCAACCAACGACCCATTCAGCAGAGGTCATCAGGACCCATCTTTGACGAACGGTTATGGTGAAACGTTTCGCGAAGAGGACGAAGAGGGAGGGACAAGGAAAAGAAAAGAATCTGCTGAATCAAGTGGGACCTCGAGCAGTAAATCATCGTATTTACAGCAAATTGACAATGTGGTGCTTCACTATCTTGTTACGCTATCGATGGAGCATTTTTCAAATGCAAAAGCCGTCAATCAGCAGACTTGCTCGGTTGAAGATATAAGTGAATTTAAGACAATGATAGTGAGATGTTTAATTGTATTGACAGCTGCTAGCGATGACCAAGAGCCGGTTTTTAAAGCATCTGAACTCAGGTAAAAATGAGTTTCTACAATCTCGTAACGTTGTAATCCTTTAACTGCTATCCGCAATGTGCGAGTAGCGGATGCTTAACGTTTAGAGGAAGGGGGGGGGGGGCTTAGTATTAGCATGGATCTTGCCCGAAGATTATTGCTTTAATGAGACACAACTGCCCGACTGGAGCCTAAAATGCGTTGAACTGTGCCTCTAAGAAGAACGTGCGACTCGTGCGTGAGGCTAGCGATTGACTGGTCTTAACAGATAAGAACTATACGACTTATAGACATATCATTGTGAGGTTGAACTATTACGAGGTTACAGTTACGTGAAGCCTTCTAGAAGGGGGGGGGGTCTACAGCTCATGTCTCCTAGGCCTGTGATCCGCAATATTGGATTTTTAGATCAGCCAATTTCAGTGACAAGCACGTGGCCAATAAGATTATTTGTACAAAAGGCATTTATGCAGTGGTGGTGCCAGCTAGCGAGAGTGGGAGTGTAGTGGGTGTGGCTAGAGAGGTCACGCCCCTTTTGTCTCGTTCAGTGCCTTGCACCAGGTTTTTTTCCTATAAGTTTATGATCAAACACTACCTAGCGCGTTTTAGTCAATTTTTAAAAAAAATATGTGGACCATGTTTTGACAAATTTGGGGGAGGGGGTAATTACCACTCTCCGTACCCCCCTTGGTGTTGCCACTGCATTTATGTATATGAAAATAATAATTAATATTTTAGTTTAATGGTCCTATTTTCTAAGTTCCTATTTTGCTGATATTTGAATATTTTCTGTTGATTTTTGGATAAAGAAACCCATGATATAAACATCTTAATATAAATGTTACAAACGATTGTTCACTTGTTTTTAATTATTTGACCAAAAACCTTGCCTTGTGAGATTTTCTTTGCAAGAGTGGTGTAGAATTATCTCCGCACATGGTAGGAAAATTCATATAAAGATTTGATGACGCTTGCTTAGCTCTGCTGAGAATATATTTTGACACAAAAGAGTGACTGCCTTGCTTAAGGTTTGACAGTGTTGATCCCTTCAATCAAAGCTTTTGCCTGCTATTTGCTTTTGTTTGCTCCTGAATTTCTAATCGCTAAAGCAGGGACGAATGCAGCTATTCTTTCAGCTCTTACGGAAGACAGTCAAGTTAATAAGGTTAAATTAAGGCACCGCCCAGACCCCAGCCAAATGTAAGGCAGTCAGTAACTTGTTCTGGACCCGCCCCTGGTTAAAGCAATTCTTTTTATCAGGAGCTGTCCTGTTTTCATGGCTTTAATGATGAATGTCACGGCAGTGCTTGACTCCAATCCATACGCAGGCAAGGAGCTCTTACCTTTTGTGCTGAACCTTATGCGACGCTGCATCGCTGACCCTAACAACGAAAGTTCGCCCCCTGATACACAGCTTGATGTCCTAGATCCTTTGTTACAACACTGTTGGCTAATGAACCTCATTATCACACTTTATAAGGTAATTCGTCTTTGATTATGTTCAGTTAAGAAATACATTTCTTATTTATAGTACGAATATACTTTCTTCCTTGTTCAGATATCTAAATTGATCATCCCCTTTCATCAACAATTTTTTAAAGAATGACTTAAGATAATTACTAATTAATATTTCACTAATCATTGCACTATTGATTATGAATGATTAAACTCGTTAATTGAAATATACGTTGTTTCGTTTTCCACGTTTTTACAAAGTGCAATATCTGCTCTCTGAAAAAAACCTGGCTAGGCCATAATAGTTAAAGTGTTTAACTTCTTTTCATTTTGATCCATTCTTCGAAATCGTTTGGATTCATTCGTTATACCATTTCTGAATCTTCTATTTCGTTTTATTTCAGTATAAATTTGGAGAATTGAAGTCGGCATTGATGCCTTTGATTTCTTTCGTCATAAACACAATAAACTCACACGAGCATTACCTTTGCATCGAGGCACGAAGAGTAGATTTGAATGTGAAGCGAGACGGGAACAAGTCATTTCCTAGACGGGTCAGACCTAGAAAGGGTTCCAGGGCTCCATTTGGTACAGCAAAAATGCGAATGAAATTAGGCAAAATCTCTAGCCCAAAGGTTTTTGAAGAAGAAAATACCAAGAATATGAATGAGGATCAAGTTGAAATGACAAGACTTGATTCGAAAATTGATGCAAAAAGAGCAGAAACGTCTTTTGTCGAATCTAGTTCGGTAAGTGTTCTCTTTCTAAGCTCATCCAAACACCATTGATTATATGACTAGAACACTTTTACGACCCCCATCACTAGAGCACTTTTAGCAAATGACACTCCCCTCGAAGAAACCCCCGTTTTGAGGATCCATTCATCCTTCTCCATCCTCTCCATGGTGTTTTCCTTTGTTAAATTATTTTGACAACTCCAAAAATTTACTATACAGTTATATAGGCCCCCTTGAGTATGTCGCCCCTTTTCTCGAATAGGCCCCCACCCAAAAATGTATTTTCCTAAGAACCCGAGGGGCCTACTCGAGGATTTTCGACAGACATTTCTATTGTTAGCATAATGGCTAATTTTTCTTCTCTATTTGCATTAAGAGTGGATCGCCGATGTCACAAGAAGGGCCTATGACGATAGGGGACAGCGAATCCACTTCATTATGTGGCGAAGAGTTGACTTTGATGGATATTGTCAACAGTCAGAAATGTCCTGATTGCCAAAGCTGCGTGAGAGACTATGACCAAGAAACGGTTAATTTATGCATTGTTGTCTTGTCGACTTTTATTCATCGTGATCCAGAAATGGCGGCACCGTTGCTAATGGAGATGCTTGGTGTTGTTAGCAGGTTTGTTGAAATGATTAGAAAATTGGTTTATTTCCGTATTATTTTCTAAAAACTTAATATATATATAGTGAGAAATACCTATACTAACTGAAAAGAATTCTATGTCAATATATTTTCTGTCTGAATTTCTTGCAGAAAGATCCTAGCCAATGGAACATCATTCATAGATGCTTGGTGAGTGGAGTTTTTCTTTTCGTAAGATATTGTATTCGCAAAAACCCAATTAAACCGAATCTCATTCAACAAGATAGGCCTATTTCAATGGGTGAATTGGGGATAAGGAGGAGGGCTATTCGAAGCATATGTGTTTTTCTAGAAGACGCTAGTAATAATAACGATAAGTATATATGCAATTGCATGGTCATTTGATCATCAGATTTAAAAATGTTTTTAAGCGTCACTATCACATGTTTGCTCTTACTTATTCGTACCTCAGTACACGTGGGTCCAGATACCTGTACTGCGGCTATTCAACCCATTTTGTATGGTTCAGCTTTGTCAGTGGTGATCGGTCACTGTCAGTCTCTTTTCTGCTTCTTTTAGCAATTCACATAAACCTCGTTCAGCTGCAAGTCTTGCCAAGCAGTTCATAAGATGTGTTTTTGTCCAGCTATCCCCAAACGGACTTTTCCCTGAGCTTATTCGCTGTGATATATTTGGTATGTGGTTTTACCCTTATACTTTCAATTTTCCGATTCCCTTTTCAATCTACCATTATTGAAAACTCTCGTAGTTTGAGTCGTCTGTTTTTCAATCGCTAATTCTTTTAGTTAAGTAATAGAATATTCTTTCCAACAGATGAAGATTTCTTTAAAGCCATTACTGCTTCTCTCCTTGGTTTCGACAAACTCGATGAAATGAAGCCTCTCAAGAGTATTTTACAGGTGAGTGCCTTTGCGAATAAGCATGATACTTCGTGTAGACATTATCAATGTGCGATCCTGTATTGCCTCAACCATCTTAGTCTACAAGTCGATGTATTGAAATGGCAGCTGCTTTTATCTCCTTTGTCTGAGTGTATGGAGTTCTCAAGTGTGAAGTCACAAAAAACCTATTTTTAGAAGTTTCGAATTTTGACCACATAAGAGAAAAGAACACCATAAAATAATCCCATATATGCAAAATCAGCTAAATTTGTCAAAAATCGGATGAGATATGGCTAATGAAAGATTTGAAGTTTGCTAACAGATTACTGTTATTTGGGCTAAGTTCATAAAGTTAGAGGTTTGATGTCAGTTAGAAAGAAGTCAGAGCTTGTGTACATCTAGTCATATCTCAGCCAATTTGTGATACCTTTTACTGATTTTGCAGATTTAGAGGTATTTCATGATGCTCTTTCAGGTTATGGGAACAGTTTTCAAAAATTCTAAAAATAGATTTTTGTGACGTCATTACTTGACAATTCTATTGAGCAGCTCCATGGCCGTTACATCATAGTAAATGCATAAAGTAACAGACGAAAATCTATAGAGCAAGCGAGACGAGGTCTTTGTAATTTAGGAAAGAGTTGAGCTCATGAACAAGCTTATTCTTGTCGTATTTACCTAGTGTAGCAGTTTGCTTCAGATATAGGTCTTTGAAAAGTTTTATGAACAAATTCTGTAAAAAGAAATTCTAAAGCAAGGTTTTTGTTTAGTTTTCCGACAATAACTCGATATTTTTTTATCTGCGTTGGTTTCTTTTTAAGAACTTACTGTATTGAAATGCCGTGACAAACACAGGGTTGCTGCAGTTTGTTGTGATTAACATGTTAAACTAGATTTTGAATTACTTCGAATGTAAACGTTAGTAGTATCTAAGCGCACTGTAAAATTGCACATTTAAGCTGCATTGCCTGAAATCTTTCCTTCGTTTTTACAGGATTTCCCCTCGCGTTCAAACAGAGAAGATCGTGTTGGCATCCTTCTACAAAACCTGAATGTTTATCTTCAGTTTGTTCCCAAAGATGACCTAATCGCCTGGGAACACCTTTTGCATGATTTTGAAGGTTTCTTCAAAGCCTTGCTCCCTGTTTTGCCTGCACCGGTGTGTATGAGGCTTGTGAATCACAAGTTGCGATAACATCCAAATGATTACTTGTTGTCTAATATAATTTGCTCTCAAGCTGAAAAATTTTGAATTGTAACGTTTGTCAAGTTAGAAACCGTTTTTATCGGACAATTTTTCGTTATTGAAAATATTTACTGCTTACACTGCTAACTGTTTTGTTAGCTTTTTTGTCAGATTGAATATTTCAGTTTATGCTTGAAAAGAGCTGATTCTGCAACATTTATGTTTGAATTTCAGTTTGAGGCGAGCTCCTTGCTACAGATAATGAAGTGTCTTTTGAGTATTGGTAAACACTACGCTAAGGTGCGTTGCTTTTATTCGATTTCTTTCAGTTGACTAGATATGGAATGATTACTGCTGTATTTTTATAGTTTCTTGGCAGAAAGAAAGAATGTTTGACATTTATGTATCGATTGTTTGCGCGATCTTGAATCAGAATGATGGCAATGATTATAAGATTATAGAAGTTGCAATCTAGCCCTCAAATGCAGTCTGAAATTCTATTCTTTTTTTCTTGAAGTCACATCTTCTGACTTCTTAAACTTAAGAACGCACGCTCGAAAAGCTTATCTTTATCAAATTACTGCAAGCCATCAACCCAAACAGCTTTATTCTTACAAATGTCTTATTTTGAGTTATATTGTGTCCTTTAAAAAGTTTTTTGTAAGACATCAAGTTTTCAAAAACCTGCTGCTGCTCTTTTTGCAGGGTCTTCTTCCAAGTTTTGGCAATGTGCTGTCCCATGTTGTAAGAAAATGCGACTTTAAGATCGACGTCTTACAAACACTGTGCTTGGCATGTAAATGTGCTTTTTCAAAGGTAATGAAATTTGATCCTAGCAGGAAAATTGTTTTCACGTGAATTTATCCTGGCTTTTATGAGCTCTTCAGCCTTTATGTATGTATGCATAAATAGCTTTAACGATGTTTATGTGTAAAGAAATATGATTTGCGTGTCAGAAAATCTTGTAGTATTTATCTTTTCTAACATTTTTGGTACTTTCAGGCCTCTGTTACTCCTTTTAGACATAATTCGTTACTGAGTTTTTAGACACTATAATTTTCCAATCTGCTTTAAGTCCCCTTCTTCATTAACATTTTCCCTCCCCTACCGGCCTGAACGATATTTCATGTCATTTCGTTCGCTTGGTATTTCGTCATCGAGTATACGTTTTCATATATTGTTCAGGAACAAGCTCTGGTTAACATAACTAATCAATGAACACTAGACTAGAAAAGCTTGTTAACAGAGTATCAACCATGTTATCGTCGTCCTTCATCCAAAATAATTGTTTGTTATTGATAACGTTTTGGTTGATCTTTTGCAAGGAAAGAGAAAAGCACTTCCTGGCAAGGTCAATTTTGCAAGACCTCTCCTTGACTTTAAAGAACAAAATATCAATGCACGAGAGAAACGCCAAGAAGATTATGCAGGTACCACCCTTTTTCCAGCATTGTCACTACTTTTTCTGCCGAACTTTATATTGGCAGCTCTTCAATTTAAAGAAGTGTATAACAGGTTTTAACAAAAATTATTCTTTCGTGATGGGTTCAAAATGATTTCCATAGTAGCTTCAGATCGCTTTAGAATTTTATCTCGGTACTACTTCTCTATTAAGGCTTTGTCTCTAATGACCAACATATAGCTTTTCCCTTTGAAAAAACTGTTAAAATAGGTGCTGAAACACATGATGGGTAAAATTTGATCGTTGTCTGCCCAATATTGTAGGCTGTCTTTTAAATGTAGGAAATAAGAAACACCGCATTGCGCCGAGAATAAACAACAATAAATACACGTTAATTAGTAAGTATTTATTGTTATTCATTTTCGTCGTATTGTGGTGTTTCTTATTTGCTACATTTTCGTCGATTTTTCGCCGCAAGGACTCCTTGGAACCCGTCGAGCAGCCTGCTACCGTGGCCTTTTCTTCATTCACATATCTTTTAAAATCCTGATCAGATTAAAGCACTTCTTTGGATATTGCAAACTAATCTCGATTCTTCATAGCAAGCTCGAAAATATCTTGGTTTTCTTATTGTTTGTGTTTATTGTAGTTCGGAGTTGTGTTTACAGCTCATGCAGTATATCCATCTCTTGATTTTCTTGTAGCTTATTTACCTTGAAGGGGACAGCTGGTTTTCTTTTGAACACGGAGACAGCGAAATCAGAAGAAGTATAGGCAAGGTAATCGCCTATATACTTCGCAATATGTTTGCTATACTGTTGAATTGAAGCTCAAAGTGACAAGGTTCTGCAGGAATCTTTATAAAGGAAACCAGGTTTTTGGTAGCAGTTTGGTTAGATATGTGATAAACGGTCAATCAAGATACACCTGTTAAATTGAAGCTGAATGCTACATGTCATGTTGAGCAATGCAAGACTTAAGACTTTATTGCCAGCCAGAATAAAACAGGCGGTAACTTAACATGTACACAATCACGTTAGGTATATAGTGTCTAATGTTGAAAACCTATATGCCTAATATTGGTAGTGGCAGCAATAATTATTTTCAATGCTTTTGATACTTATTTTCATAGATATTTTGTAAAACATATTTTGTATATATTTGTAAATGGCCTAAACGCAGTGTACGATAAACAGGCTCTTTAGAACGTTTTTAGCTCAAATTTGTGATCTTCGTTCTGATAGCAAGACATTGGTATGATCACATGTATACAAAGCTACCAGCCAGAACTCTTTGACTGCATCAAGCATTGGGATTACAGGATCAAAGTGGGTGTCACTTTTTACATGCTTACTGCTGCTAACTACTGCTTAGTACAACTTACCACTGCTAACTACTGCTTACGACTGCTTAACACAATGTTGCATGACAAATGTTAAAATTTGTTTCCAAAAACTCTTATTCTCTCCCATTACTGAATTGTCTATTATTCTAGAAAGATGATATTAATTATTGAATTTTTTTGGGAATTAAGCGGTTGCACAGTTATATGATTTTCTGAAAAATCCATTGATAGGCAGGAATTAGTTGGTAAGATTTTTAGAGTCTGTATTGTTCGTTTTGAAATGCAGGTTTATTTCAGAGCAACAAGACGCTTAACAGCAGCAGCCACATAAGGGAAAATAAGCAGCCAAAGAAGGAATAATTATATAAAGTGCGAATGTAAACAGAGCACGAATTATGTACTATTCGAATTATTAGAGAGCGAGGGTCACATATGATCCCATAAGAAGACTGGATCTGGCCTTTAGAACTGACAAACGAACTCTGCTTCTTGAATTCAAATGAATCCTGCAGACTATTTGTAGAATCCTGCAGACCATTTCTCGGATGATTTATTGCCTAACGGGAGCATTTAGCTACCCTTTTCTCCTCTATTTCTTTTAGCCCATTGTTAATCAGCTCTTTTTATAATAGTTGTATTTTATTTATTTTGTAGAATCCATCCTACTTCTTTGCCCACCATATTAAATAGCATTTCTTTTTAGGATATCAAAGAGTTTGATGAGGACTCCATTGACGAAAATTATTTCCCAGTCCAACTAAAAGCTAGCTTGTCCCAAATCATCGCAATGTTTTTGAAACGGGATAAGTCGGCCAAAGTATCTCAGAGGATATTGTCATGGCTACGCAACCCTCCGTCGCAGCTAGGGTAAGTTGCTTCAGATAAAGTCTCTGTTACTCAAAAGGAAACTTTTTTATGATGTTACTCAACTACAAGACGCTATTTTCGCGAAAAAGACTGATATTTTTATGGGTTATGGGTATGAATTACATAGGTCAAGTCTCGGGGCCTTTTGAAAAACTGATTGAGCCCCTCTACATCCCTAGTTTGATATAAAATGCCCAAATTGCCCATTCTAGTCAGGAAAATGTACCCTCACCGGTCGTCTCCAGGATGAGTCTCCGTAAATAATCTGATAACAACTTAATCGAAAACTTCGCAGGTTTCCCGTCACCATTTTTAAGATGCTTTTCTAATACCTCGTTTATTGAGTCAAAAGCATTCTAGCTACAGGTTATTCTAAAAAGATGACTTAAGATGAGATTTTTCGTCGATCTTTGAGGGTCTGATGAAACTACTTTCTTTTGCTGACAGGCGAGTTGAATTGATCTTGGATTCAGTTGCAAACCTGCGCTTCCTCTCATGGCTGTTACTTGGAGCAATCAATCACGTGGTTGATCACCCAATGGCCCATGACATTTTCCACGTGATTTCGCTTTCGGAGAACGGTTCTTTAACAGACTACATAAAGATTGTACTGCAAAGCATCTTGCGATATGACAATGTGAGTTTAAAACTGTCTGATATTCTATGACATCATTCATAAAATAACTGCTGATTTCTCCACTGGTATCTACAATAAAAAGAAATACACATTATTTTAGCTTCATGTTTTTTCACTTTCACTAAGAAGATGCATCGACAGACGTTTTGATTTGCCCCTTTAATTTCTCCTTTCACTCTGGCCAACCCTTAAAGGCGGGTATTACAAGCCTCTTAACGATTCAAGCCTCTTAACGGGCTGGTCTGTCTAGGATGAGTAATCGAAAGGATGAATTGGTTTTTGTTTATTCTGAAGAGGGAGCTTCGATCCTGAGAGCGCTTGTAAAACCTCAGTAGGTAGAATAAAACCTTTCCTTGTAAATGCTCCAACCAGCATGCTAGGCAGAAATGCCACAGAATGTGCAAGTGGAAATTCATCATATATGATAATCATGTATGATTATATGATAAACAGTTCCATAGATTGACCCTGCAAGCGCAAAAACCTTTGTTGTTAGTTTTGTACCTGCATTAAACTTTGCATTTGATTAAAAATGCTAAAATAAATTCACTTGCAACGAGAACTGAATTTTCCCATTTATTTCTTGTAGGAGAAGAATTTCAGACTTTTGCGACCTGCACTTTATGTTATATTTATTACCTGCCAGTTATGGACAATTTATTGCGAATGCCACCTGATTTTTCACATGAACCCGGAGAGCGACCCGCTTAGCAATATAATGGAATTTTGGACACAGGTCACTTTTTGCATGGTTCAACTTCTAAGTGCAAACGATAAGGTGTGTTATAATGCGTAATAATGGAGGCCATGCTGCTTGCATACAATCTTGTATTCGAATAGGGTCTTGATCTTGTATTCGAATATTCATACGTTTTATTTTTGCACGGGTCTTGAATGTTTCGATTTTATTTGTGTTCGGCACCAGGCGGTCCTCTCCTTCACTAATTAGCTTATTTAAGTTTCATTTCATTTTTCTTTTCATTTGTTTCATTTTTCATTTTAAAATTAATCAAAAGAACTGACTTTCAGGTGACCGTGCAATTTTTGATTCCATATATTTGTTTCCATAGTGATGCACGAGTGAAATTTATTAATGATAATAAATATTTATTTAAATTTTCAAAATAAACTGAACTTGAATAGACTTAATTAACTGACTGAAGATTAGATGGTTTTCACTGTCTTAGTGGCTGACCCAAGTTTACAGTTCCCTCAGTATTCGTTTAATCTATCGTTGAATAACCTTTTTCCAAACAATGCGTTTATTTAAAGTTTGGTTTTCTTTTCCCTCCAGTTAATGCTTGATATGCTTCTCCCTTTCCTAAAAATCACGGATGGAGTTGCAAGTTGTGCTGGATACTCTTTTCCAAGGGTGAGCCATTAAGTTCTTCGATTTCCTGAAAAACAATTGTACTAGACAACAGGAGCGTAGCAATTTCCTTTTTGTGTTATCTTCCAGTTTTGTTTTTTGCATGTAAGCGTTGGTTTGTAGGATTTACCAATAGAGACATTTTGTTCGTTGCAGTCGCGATAAAACCTGTTTACAGTCTCTACGATATCTTTTTTCAGCTATCAACGTTGTGGTGCCCTCTTGTGCAGTACTACAAAAATGAGGTGATTTTTATTCTTTTGTTTTTACCACCGCGAGCAAGTCAGTTTTTATACAAATTTCATCGGTTAGTTTAGAAGCAGAATTCGCAATAGATGCCGTCAAAATATTTCACGTAGCTAGAAAAGCAAAGAAGAGACAAGAAAAGAAAACTGCTATATTGTTCAGGTCGATGGTTTCAGATTTATGCGTCATGTCTTCCTCAGCAGAATGGTGTTAAGAGGATTGATAACAAAGTATTTAGTCAATTAAAAACCCAAATTTCAAACTATTATTTTTTCATCCCTTATAATAAAGTCTGCATCACGTACCAAAGTTGATCATCTCTTATCTGACACTGCTTCTCCTCAACTCTTGTCAGCGTTAAACTACTGAATGATGCACTGATGCAACCTATTGTGAAAAACCTATTATAAATTCAGGAATTTTTTATTCAGATTCCAGAAGACGTATTCCTTCGTTTTAAGCAGCTTCAGACTTCTAGAGTGAAATCGGAGGATCCGAAAAACGAGCTTCAAGATTTGGTGAGATACACGCGAACGAGGCTGGCGAAACTAGAGAAAACTGGGAACAAGTTTGATCATGCAGTCGTCGTTTAGCCTCAGTTCAATGAAGCAGTAACCTTGTACATAATAATGTAATTATACAAATTTAGTTTCATGCCTTTAGATTCGGCAGCAGCCTTTCAAGCCCTCCTCTAAAATGCTGTGCCCAAAGAGATAACTAGTATTCAATGGAATCTAGCATCCAGTCATATTTTCCAGATAAAGTGTAGAATTTACAAATTCCAGAGCAGGTCATTAGAGACTATCCTATCTTTAAGGTTGGTTCATTTGCTATCTTTCCTAGATCTCTTTCTATCGGAAGATTTTTTGAAAGAGAAGTTTAAAGGCAGTTTCTGTTAAAAACATGCGTTTTGTAGATTTTATAAAATGAAAGATTTTGAACAGTTATCTTATTACTGGTTTCAAGCAAAAGGGCACAATAGATATTGTGGCCTTGAAAGTGTTATGAATGTGACATAGGATTTTGACCGACATATTTCCTCCGTAAATTTTCCGCTTTATTGGACACTGTTGGACACATTTTTTGTTAAGAAGGGCTTTTATCTTTGACTAAAAATCTGCTTTTTAGACCTGTCTAAAAGGATGGTAAAATAGTTATTTTATATTCTCATTTTTTGCTGAAAGGATGGGTTTTCGGGACTTTGTCCTTGTGTAATTTTAAATTGCGTTACTTTACAGTGTTTTATATTATTTAGAAATTGAATTCATATCACTCACGAGCTTGTAAATAAGTAAATATTATTGTTTTTGTATCGCTATCATGTATTTTATTGTATCATATTATATCGTATTGTATTGTATTTCATTATGTTGTGTTGTATTGTATACTGTTGCATTGTATTTATCCTATTGGCTCGCATGGTATTGCAATTGCAATACAGAACTGCCTTCATTTTTAAAACAATTGAAGCAAGACTTAATTGTATTCTGTAATTACGATGCTTTATCTAACTTATTTACAGCTAGGTGCGTCTTCTTCAATTACCGACACTTTCTTCGAGACTTCTTCAGTGTCTTCACAAGATACCCAGACTTTTTAAATTGATTCAGCTCTGGAAGTTGGTGTAATCTTGTATACGTTACAAGAATTTGTAAAGCGTTTTCTATACCTCCCAGCGTACGATGATTCCCGTTTTATTGCTAGTAAAGAAATCCCGTAGCATGCCAACACAGTTTTCCTTTTTTCTCCCAGTATGGAATCATTGCCTGGAGTCTTGCTACAAATATATTTTCGATAAACGTAAATTCTAGAGCCGTACCTTATATAGCCTTCTCTTAGGCATATTATACGCCGAATTTCATTGATTATATCCTTCCCTCTGTCTGTACCCTTCTTCACGCCAGCAGTTTTCTTGCTACTCTTATCGGATCAGTGTCCTGCCTTCTTACTTTATTTTCAAACCACATAACCTTAACCTTCTTTTACTTTTTCTTCTCCAGCAAACCTTTTTCTTCTTTTTGAATCTCTTCCCATAGTCTCAAACGAGAGGTATTCAGATATTTTTATCAGCCTCTCTCATACGCGTCTTAACTACATTCTATTAGTTCGTTTCCAGTCCATTACTTTTCAGTCCTGTATTTTCTAAGCTTGTATGTTATGTATGTATGTATGTATTTCTAAGCTATCATCGTTCCCTAAGAATAAACCATCTGATGGCTTCCATCTTTTATGATGGGTCTTAGATTTTTAATCAGCATGCCAACCACCACAGCAAATTGGACTGGGCTGACCCTTGCTGCAATCATAAATTGAATCTGACCATTCTGTCTGGCACTCCTTTTTATCAAGCATCAATAACAATGCGTCCTTTAAATCCAAGAAAAAGATATAGTTTTTGGCTGCCTTCTGAAGCTTTTTCTTTTAGTTGCCTTAAAACGAAAACAGTATAAAATGTACTCTTAGTTTTGATAAACCCAAACTGTACCCTATTATTTTTTACATCTTCCTAAGCCTCACAGCTAACAGTTTGTTTTTTCAAAGCTTATTTGGTACGCAGGTTTAAAATTATCTTCATAGTGTTTTCGTGAGATACGCAGGACCAAACCTAGAACGAAATTCCCCCTTTTAGCAAACAATCTTCTTTATTGTAAATTTATGTTATATTTATTCTTAACCAAACAATAGCTAAAACTCTACCGCGGCCAAAGATAAAATTAGGTCGTGATCGCATTTCGAATGATTCCCACTTGGTCAAAGCTATATTTTTCAAACATCATTTGAAATAAAAAAATTGCGGCTTTTAAAAAGGTAAGCCGTTGTTGGCATTTCGACAGGAAATATTCTGTGTCCAACCAGAGGTGTGATTCTGTGAAATGTGAAGGAGCGTTGTTGTCATTGTGTTTAGAACGAGCAAGGAAACATAGAAAATGGCGTTTCTTGGTGACCTCAGCAATATTGACTTACCAAGATTAAGCAACTTCGAGCTATTAACAGAGGTACCGTGAAAAATTTTTACATATATCTGAATCAGTTTTTAATCTTTTGCTGCTCAGGCTATTGTGTTTGATAATAAAATTAACGAATTTATTTCTCCAAGTCATATTGGTTGTAGGCCCTTGGCTTGGCCTATATTCATATCGCATATGATCGCAGCAAATGAAGTTTGTAACAAGTAAAAATACAATTATAAAAAAAAGCTGCAATCAAGACAATGACTTGTTACTACTTACTATTATTACTTTTCTTTTCTATTATTATTACTACTTTCTATTATTATTACATATTACTACTTTCGACAACTTTGTGTTGCGTTTCATTCAGAGAAGTCGATAAAGTACTCACTTAGATTTCACTGAGGCTCGATTTTGTTTTAAGGTCAACTTTTATACACAGGTTGTTTACAAATAACTCTATTCCCCTGTGTGCGTGTAAATCAAGTATAGGGCTTTATAACGTTTATTACATTAACACAGCACTTTGTAGCTCAAAATGACACAAGTTCTTTGGGGCCAAAGGCCTAGTCAGCTTAGCTACACGTCCGTTAGTCAATAGCTACTCAGTGAAAGGGTGTATTCATTGATTCACCTAGGTTAGATATGCTTGGGGTATTATTTTGATTTTCTACCTTTTTGCAACTCTTTTTGGGGGTGAACATTAGTTTCAATAGTGAGAAAGCCAGTACAGTTACAGTTTGAAACATAATCAAGCAAATGAATTTAGCCTTGATAATGTGTATATCCTTGTAAAGTTGGACAGAATACTGTGGCAAAATTGAGTATGCTTTGTTGAGATGCAAGTGGTTTGTTATTGGCATCAGCCAGTCAAATTACAAATAAGTTAATCTTGGTTTTAATGAGCTGAGTGTAGCTTGTGCCCAGACTGTAAAGTTTGGTTTTATATTTGGCACACAATGTTCCACCATTTGAACTTCTGACTTCTGATAACAAGAAACAACAAATAAAGGGTCTCTTCAAAAGCCTTTGCTTAAAATTCTGTGCAGGATTTGGTTGGAAACATTGGTTAGCTGCAAATTTAAAAACTTTTGTTCTGGCAATCTAGTTGCAGAAAAAATGCTTTGAAGTCTTGGCTTGTGCTGTCTCTAACAACTCTACATGAACTAGGTTGACCTGGGTCCTCCAAAATAACATTTTGCAATGATGACTAAGTTGCCTTGCCCTCCCAATCTGAGCAACGTTGGTAACGTTTCCCCCAGTATAGGGTGCCCCAGTATACGGTCAAGCCCCAGTATAGGGATTGTCAATCAAAATTATGTTCTAAAGTGCCGCCAAAGCCGTTTCGGTGCGTTGTTGTCGCGATGATAGATAAAGTTTTTTCAAGACACAGCGGCTTCTCTGCCAGTATATTTTCAGCCATACATTCAGCAAGCGGCCATGTTGTAACAGCCGTACATGAAAGACATTACAACATGGCCGCTTGCTGAATGTATGGCTGTAAATATACTGGCCGAGAAGCCGCTGTGTCTTGAAAAAACTTCTATCTATCATCGCGACAACAACGCACCGAAACGGCTTTGGCGGCACTTTAGAACATAATTTTAATTGACAATCCCTATACTGGGGCTTGACCGTATACTGGGGCGCCTTATACTGGGGGAAACGTTACCAATATGGTTGCCCAATCTCACCAAGCCAGTTGGTACTTTTTAGTCAATATCATAATTGAAATCTCACTTTATATTGTAATGGTTGATTGAAAAAATTGACTTTGTAAAGGAAACAACATTTAAAGGCTTCAGTTGCATTTTTATCTTGAAAATCTTGAAAAAATACAATGCAGTGCAATACAATACAATACAATACAATACAATGCAATACAATTTAATAAAATACAATAAAATAAAATTCAATACAATTCAGTATGAAATAATTCAAAACCTCTTCCTTTTTCCAGCATTCACCTAATCTTGGATAAGAAAATTTCTCGTAAAAATTGTATCCAGGTCAGAAATCATAAGCTTATCAGGACAAGGGTGCAAAAGCCAAGAAGTTTAGCCTGTGCCTCAGTCCACACATGCTGTTACATTTATGTGGATTACATTCCCTCTGAATGATACATGCAATATGGCAATCTGCTATTGCCAGTCTGTTTGATGTAATATCACTGTTTGCAGTCATTTATAATTTGGACCCAAATGCAAAATACTGTGAAAATATAGCTCTGTTTAAAGTCACACTTTGCTAACTGAGCAGCAGCTGGTATACTATAACTGGAGTCCGTGGTATTAACCTTAAGTTGTTAACAAGTCTAGTTAGCTCCTTTAGGCAGAGGTGTACCTGCTTCAGTGTGTAGAAAAGGACACTCACTGCAACCATCAGACAGGTAGGTTTCATACTGTGATTCATAGGATGTGATTCATATTGGATTAGATCAGGAGTGGGCAACCTTTTTGGAATGTAGGCTAGAACCTTGACACCTTTCCTTTTAGCGGGCCAAAGGTAATAAGAAAAGCAAAATTGATAGTTGTAATATAATGATAATAACAATGAAAATATTTTTTAAATTAAATAACACTTCAATTACAAACATCTCTATTACATAGGTAGTTTACAGCCATCAATAAAACTGTACAACTATAAGTGCAAAAGGAAAACTAAAATACAACCAAAATTAGTAAAATAGACCAAATTCGGGGTATGGAGAAATCATCCTAGGAAGGACAAAATAGGGACAACCGTGATCCCTGCTCAACAGCTATGAGTGCCCCCTGCAAAATTCATTTTTTGCTGCATTTGTTAACTTTCGTCCAGTCCCTCGATGAATCTGCTGCCCTTTCTTCAAGCAGAATGAATTCGTGACAACAGATAGTGAACAAATCTTTCCATGATTTCCAGGTTTTATGAAGATTTTTGATAATCTAATTTTGAATAGATTATTTTCATTCAATGTTTGCAACCCTTCAGGAAATTATCCTTGCCAACCAAAAAAGTTATAACATGATATTTTTCATCTTCTGGGCCACGAAAAATCTCTTCCTGGGCCATAAGTTGCCCACCCCTGGATTAGATGATCAGAAAGTAACCAATCCCTAAGGTTTTGATCAAGTTGCAGTATGGACATAGTTACATGTTATCCATGTTACATTCTTGAGGTGCATGCCTAGTATAATGGTACTTATTCGTGAAGGTCCAATTTGATAAGTGGAATTTGAGCATTTTGTCTTCATTATGAAGACATATGTTAGAAATATTAAGCTATCACATGATCTATGTTAAGGTCCGCATATTCTTATTCATTGATTTTTGTTTTAACAATAAACTTAAATTTTTAGAGAGATGAGCACTGCACATTTTTCAGAAGTAAATAATTCTCTCTGTTCATTAAAGGCAGTGATTCATTCTGTGCGTTGAAACTTTCAGAACTTTAATTTTTTCCTCCATAATCTTCATTCTCCATTTTAATCTCTGTCCAACTTTTGAGAAATTCTTTTTTTTTGTAAATCATTATTCATTCAAAAATTCCTTCATTCATTCAATTCATTGCTTTTGTAAGCTTTGGTTTGTATGTTATAAATGTTATATATCAGTCACTGTACTATAAACCTCTGTTGCAACTACCACCAATTTGGTTCTGGCTGATTTATGTTCTCTTGGAAGGACGCAGATAAAATAGGTTAGGGAAGTTAACAGAACAAAACTTTAATTATTTGTCACAGCAAATCAATGAATGTAACTGGATAAGTGGATAAGGAGAGAATGTGTAGCATGATCAAGAAACTTATTGTCATTGCCGTTGGTTACCATTTATATCAGTTCAGAATTTTCAGAAGACCCAACTCTTTTACATAACTTAAGTTTTAGGTCACAGTGGCACCAGCCCACAAGGGAGTGGCTGGAACGAGGCTAGGAGGCTTGATGAACATAACAAAATTTTTACGGCAACGCCCTTTGAAACAACGTAAAACACCCCTTTCAGAAAATACTTGCTTCTTTCAGTCCTTATTCATAAACATACCGATTCAGAGAAGATTTCAATTAATATAAAAAAACAAAAAATTCTTGACCACACAAGATAAAGCACAATGAAAAAGAACAAAAACGGGTTCCCAGCAGAACTGCTACTAATGGGTTCGTTAGCATAAACTTTCAAAACATTTTCTAATCTATTATTGCAAAAAAATAGGGAGGATTGTTATGTAACATTCCCAATTAAATGTTCCTCGCAGCAGGGCCGTCGCTAGGGTACGTTTTTGCATAACCAAAATTGTCATGCGTTTGTGTACCCGGACCGAAATGCCTAAGGTTACCGAAACGCATATGACACCGGCAGCCGGGATCTAGAACCTAGCAGACAACTGTCGGTTCTAGATCTTAGGTTCTAGAGCTTATCCAAAGCCACGCAATTTCCACCTAAAGTTTAAGGAAAAGTCAAAGTTTATGAAAAACTCTGAAAGCTGATCCTGGAGGTATTGGAAGCCCCTGTGAGCAGGACCGTCGAGAGGAGGAGCAAAGAGGCAAATTGCCCCAGGTCCTTGAGGTCTAGGGGGCCTCGTAAAAAATAATGAATTCAATTTTAAGAATGGAATTAATGAAACATAGGAAAAAGTATGCCTAAAAATGGCAAAACGTTCTAAACGGTGAAATGTTCCTAATTCTATCTTAGACGTTATGATTATAATTTTATGCTGCACTGTTAAGAACATGCACTATTTACAAATCCACACTTTCTACAATTACAGTTCCACAATTTTAATTTACAACTCCACAAAGTGAGTCAGATCCACACTTATTTTAGGCCCTGGTGCAAACTATGGATTAGATGAAGAACAAATAATCTGGTTTCATATGTTAATAGAAAGTGGTGACAGGACTGATCCTAAACGTAGGCAGAAAGTAGCATCAGTACATTAGCAATCAATCTAACTGGTTAGCTCTGAAATATTTCTTTCACTATAACAATAATCAGAAGATAACTTGCATGGTTCTTGCTCTTTCTACGCCGCCGAAGACGTGTAAAAGGGTTATAGATTGTGTAGAGCGAAAATGTACAATGTACTCGAGGTCTTCATCCTTCAGCACAAACTGTAGCTCTGGTCAGCATCTGATTTTGTGAGAGTTTATACAGATTTGTTTTTGTTTGCCGTTGTCTGTGATCACCGCTGGCAAAATCCATCATGGAATACCCTGAATAATTAATAAACTGCAACGTGATCTCAACCATAGTCTATGTCTGAACTCATTGTTGTAATTGGAAAGTCAGTATTCGCAATATGATGGAAACTGAAGACGTTAATGGTTCGAAGTCGTTTTGGGATGCTGTTGAGATGGTATAGAGTTTATGATTTGACATCTTCTCTAACAAATGATTATTTGTAGATTCTCATCGCTGCAGCCTTGTTGCAGTATGTTGTACATATTGTAAGGATCTTTTTGTTTATATTTTGTCTTGTAGCTAGGCTGTTAGCCAGGGAAATAGCAAATAAGTGGACTAAGTGCTACTTATCACCACGCTTTCGTCGATTCCAACGAAAAATCATTTTGCATCAAAGAAACCAACTCGGGCCCTTGTTTGGTGAATTTGAAATTCAAAAATCTGAATCAACTTTTCTGTAAAGAAGTTGGATCGTTTTGAAATGATGGCTAATCTTGCAGTTGACTTGAGTAGCAAATATCCATCTCATCGTGTTCAACTGGTCTTAGTTTGTAGAATGTAGCAGCTTTAAAACACAACATCGCATATTACTTTGTGATTAATTAGCTCCACAAGTTAGCTCCAAAAACTTTTGTAGTTACGGTGTGCCAGCAAAATAGCAGCAACATAATGCAAGTAGAAACTGAAGTCGGGCTCGTGTCGAGTTAGATAGTTCTTTCCTGCAGTTGGAGATATGGAGAATAGATAAAATTGCTGTTGCATTTACTGTTACATGGTTCGCGAAGTCACCTTTACTCCGTCCCTGACATTATTTTTGAAGTATTTTGAACGTCGACTGCAAAATGCCGACGGTTAGCGCGAAACTGAGCCGTTTTTCGCGAAACTTTACCGTTTTTCACGAAAGTGAGCCAAGCAGAAGAACATTGCTCACTTGATTAATAACTGACCTGTAATGACCGTGGTTAGTAAATTTAATACAAGTATTGGGTCCATCAGCTTCCCATTTGATTGTGTTCAAATTGTTAAGCATCAGTGAGACCTCGTCATCTTCATAACAAAGATTTTACAGCTGGTTTTTAACTACCTGCTTTTGAAAAAAATAAGGAGTCCTATCGTAACCTTATTAATATTAAAAAATTTAGAGAATCCCCTTTATCCCTTTAATCTCAACCAAGTTGATAAGGATGTCACCTGACCGGGCCTAAATTCCTTCAACATGTGTTGCTAAACCTCTTTTCTGCGTACAAGATGTAAAATTGTCAACTCGCGTCATTTTTTGGCTGTATTTGATGAACATGCTGTTATAGAGTTGGTTAGCAATAAATTGTCAACAGAATTATACCTTGAAAATTTTGCATTCATCACGGTGCTAAGGACGTCATGACATTAAGTCCGCTGGAGTAGGAAAATTGGAAAAGGGGTGGCAGTAAACTAAGGTAATTAAGAATGGTTAATGAGCTTAAACAACATTATGTATATCTTGGTCACGCCATTTCTTATGTGAATCTTGGCAAAATCCTTGACACGAATGCTGAAATTTTTACCGCATTTTGGTAAAAATTGTTTCTTAACGAGTTTTTCAACACGAAAAACATATTTCACCAAATGAACCACCCCTAGCTGCTATATAAAGCCTTAGCATTGTTAATGTCAACATCAAATAAACTATGAAAATCAATTAAGACATTAAAAGTTTGATAGCACAGCATAAAATTTCGTTTAAGTTTGTTTACCCTGACAAGAGTCTACACAAATTTCTTAAGACTTAGAAATTTTGGATCTAGGGTTTTTATAAAGGGTTACTTGAATGCATTAATGGGTTTGATTTAAGTGAAAACTTCTAGTGGTAACCTCCACTTGGTTCTTTTCTTGGCAACTTTTCACAAGCAATTACACTTACCTTGTTTGTTTACAACAGTGCTGCTTTTTATTTCAGATAGCAACACTTGGGTTTGTAACTGGAAGTGAACTTGGTAAAGACGCCTTAGAATGCCTGAGTGGAGTGAAAATCCTCCACGAGATTTACAAAAGGATGAATCAAGATGAAGACAAATTAGCAGCTTTAAGGGTATGTTCTTAAATATTTTACAAGAAATATCATGTACGTTCAAAGGTTTTTTAGGTTAATATGTGATATATAGTGTCTGTTTTGCATTGTAAACAATACAGGTATCTACTTCATGCAATCTGCCAAATAAGACTGCCAGTTTTTTCTTTTAGTCGTTAGCTTTTTTTAGTTTTGTTGTTGTTTATTTCTTTAGTTTTGTTTTGGTTTAGGCGAGCACCATTTTGAGGATAGCTGAGTATGTTAAAAAAAACCCAGGGGCCAACGATGACCAAATTGCACGTCAGGTGCAGAAAGAAATTGACCAATTTACAAAAACTGCAGCTGAAATCGTTGGAAAATGACGTCATCACATCAGAATATAAGAACCAGTTGCAAGTGATTACTAACATACTTTGCACGACACACGTAACAAGCACTCAACCAATATTTTAACAATTTATAATACACTTAGCCATACTTAATATGTATATTCTTTGCTGTATTGTTGCATATTTTTCATGATGTATTGATAAAACATACTGTATAATTAGAGCCAGTCAGTCATTTTGGTTTACCAGAATTTATCGGCCTTATTATTTGAATTTATCGACCCTGTGTTCACTCAAAAAGGCACCTCTTTATCCGTCTGTATGGCTACTTTTGAAACACGTTTGCTTATCTTGAACACATCAATCATTATAATTTTGTCCAATGAACATCAGATTGTCCTAGATGCCAAAGCATTACCAGGGCTATCTTCGTAAGAATATCTGAACAGGGTTCACCGGCAATGTTTCCATCTAGCAACAAGTTGAGTTACATATGGCAATTGTTATTTAGATGATAGCGTCACATGATGATTTCCGAGACTAAATCATGGAGACTGTGACATCAAGGGTGGATGTCACCAAAACTTGCAGAATATTTTTAAATGAATCCTAACGCTAGGATGGGATAGGAATGGCCTAAAAGGAAAAAATCAGCAAACAGCTAAATCAGCTAACGCCTCTATTAAAAATGGCACTTGTTTCTCTTCTCGTCCACTTGGTCCAAAAATGATTGAAATGTGCAGTTGGCATATTTTATGACATTCTGAGGGATATTTCATGAAGCGCTATGTTCTTTAAATGCCTACACATTTTGCCTACACTACGAATGGAATTTGGGGAAAGTTCATTTTGAAAACTCATTTTTCAGACGTTTCATCATTTCTACCTCAAAATATCGGTGAATTTCAATTTCCAGAAACTCTTGAAAATTTAGTTGTTACTAATCCTGTTCCGAAGAATGCTTCTGTAGAAAATCTTCTCAGAAGAAAACACGCCCACAGCATTTTATGAAAATAAGTTAATTTCATTGATAAAAACAAGGAACCCAGTAGGCCTTATAAGAATGCCTCTTTATTGTATTTAAAAATATTCATTGCTTTGAAAATAGCAAACATTTTGAGTCACTCTTCAGAGTATAAAACGTCATAACATAAATCAAAACACTAGGATAGGAAATATAAATATATATATATAGATGCTCAATAAAAAAACAACTTGGTTGACATTTCGCTATAAGATATATATATATACCCAGTTGTGGATCAAAATTGGCCAATCAGAAATGCGATCACATGACTGTTGAGGTTGCCCAATCAGTGCTGCTTGCCTATTATGATCAACAACTGGGTATATATATTTCCTAGCGTAGTATTTTGATCTATGTTCTGACGTCTTCTACTCTGAAGCGTGTCAGGCAAAAAGCTATAGTATGACTCAAAATGTTTGCTTTTTTCAAAGCCATTTTTAAACTTTGTACCACAAAAAGATTGTTAATATAAACATGTTAATTATGACTGAGACATTTCTAAATTTCTATTTTAAAATATGTGCCTATTAAATCTTGTATAAGAATGAATTCATTCACGCAAATAATGAAAAATGTACGATTGACTAAATTTAAAGTCTTAGATTTAGTAATAACAATGAAATTGCGTCTCTCAAGTCAGCAAATTCATCTTCTCGTAAGCAAAATTTGTTCAGGGTTTCAATAACATCAACTTCATTCAAACTTTCAAATTCTTCTTCATCTGCAAAAAAAGTAAATCAATCATATAGCAATTAAATTTATAAATATATGGTTCTTTCAGAACCTTAAAGCTCACGCGTGTGTTTTAAGGTTTCGTCATTTTCTCATGTTTTTGTAGCACTTTTCTTTAGAGTTTTTGATAGGTTTAAAAAGCTGCCTCAATCAAACCCATGCCATTAATTCTAGTCAGTATTGAAAGTAAGCAAAATGATATAACAACTACTGCATCAAATGTAACAGAATGTATGTGCCAAGAAGCATTTCGTATTTCTATACCTTTCATTGGTAAATATCCTGCAAGTTCCACTGTCGCAGCATTGAATGCGAACTCGGTTATGGCTGAAACAAAGCATTTTTATTTGATATACCTGTAGACACTAATAAACAACAGTGATGTGGAATGGCGTACCTTTAAGCAACAAATAACCAGCTAAATCATAGCAGCAACTGTTCATATATCTAGTATCTTTGATTCCTGAAGAAAAGGGAACACGCTGTAACATCACATATTCCCAACCAACCTTTCTCAGTGTCTATACCTATTTCAAACTAAATATTACAGTTCTGAGAAATTTTTCATAATATAAATCTAATTAAATTCAATTTAATAATAAACAAAATCTTGAATCCATTGATGAATTGATTTTAAAACCTCGAACTATATATTTAACTTGCAACTCGTTTCACATTTAATGCGATCATCGGGCATCGAATATTGATATCAGACGGGTAAAAGAGTAACCTTCATAAAAACAGTAACATTAAAAAATTGCAAGATAATAGTCAAATACCTGGGGCAGATAATTTTGGAAATATAAAAACCCTAACAGTGCTTTCAGCTTCTGGGTCATTGTTATCCTGTGCATTCTTCAAAGGCAAAGCTTTCTGTCGGCATATGAACAAATTATGGGCGATTTCATTCTCGTATAAGTAAGACGTGATTGCTGTTACCCTCCTGAATGAAAATGAATCAATATTGAGAAAAGATATGATTATAAAAAGCTGGTCTAATCATTACAGTAATCTATAAGTCTGATGAAAAAGTAGACAAGCTACAGAATTCCAACAAACTTCAGGGTTAAAATGCAATCATTGATAGAAGTCTCCACTGAGAGACGAGAGAATGAGAATCACACTCGCGAATGATTCAGCAATTACCTCGCAAGCTTTTCAATATCTCGATTTTCAATTTGCAATGCAAAACCGTGAACAGCATAATCAGCTATTTCGTATAAACCATTGCAGATTTCTGAAACACTCTAAAAGCAGAAGAAATTAATCAACGTTACGCAAAATGAGGCTCGAACAACATGGTACCAGTAACGCATTAGTAGGGTGAAGTCGAAACGACGTGGCTGCCTTCACGAAAAGCGTCATGCAACCTCAATGGCGCGAGGAAAGGAAGGAATGGGTCGAGCAATACACCTTCACTTTCTGAATATTTTAGATTTCTGAACAATATACAGCAGAAGGTGGACGTACTTTGTTATCCAGAATTGTACACTTCGCATTAATTTAAAGAATTGAATCGGAAAGACAAAACCATAAAATTCTTGTGTTTACATTTCTTACTACAAAATTTTACGGAGTTAAAAAACTTTTATACTCTATTATGAATTAAATTTTAAACAATGTACTTACAACTTTGTCAATCGGTAGAACATAATTTACATAAATTATGTGAAGATGTAAATGATTGACTGAAGCAAATGCACATAAACTATTGAAACCAATCCTAAGGCCCCTGCAAAAAGATACACACGAAAATATAAACAGTTGCCGTAGAGGGCAGGGGGCTGTGCTCTCTAAAGATTATTAAAATAAGTTACCTTAGAAATAAGTTTAAGGTTCCATGTATGTACCCCCGTAAATCCTTTTGTTTCTAGAGCCCTGTCCTGCTTTATAAATTGAAATCAGCCTATAGTTAATACAAAGTGGCAATTTAAATGGATATAGAGCAAAATTTCTTTTCGGTAAGCAGCTCTAGAATTATACTAAATTTTGCACTAAAGTTGTTTTTTTATATTGCATTTGAAGGCGACTTTAAAGATGTGCAAGCAGAGAAACATGAAGTAATTTTTCATGAAGTAATTCTAAATAAAACAAAATGAAATATAATTGATTCTTTTCCAACATCTGCAGTCAGTAAATGAAATTGGACATTTAAGACATGAAATTTTTACGCTGCCTGCAGACTCCTTTGTAAAGCGGATGTCATTTGGGTTTTCACCTCAAAATAGACGCGCATCTATTTTATTTTTCTCTTGAATAGTCAAGTCACAAATCTTTACTTGAAACCCCACTATCCCCAATCGACAGGCTGCATATGCAATTTAATGCCATACATCTGGTAACGTTCTGCAGAACCTTCAACACGCAATCAGCACTTTTTGCCAAAAAATATAAATTCTGCATACAAAAAATTTCAAACCTGTGAGTGCTAAGAAGACAGACGTCGATTGACAACTTCACAGCGTCATATGTTAGAGCCTTATGAAAAGGATCGCAAAAATATGTTAAAATAGGAGAGAACACCGAGTCCTACAACTGTTTGTTCGTTGAAACGTGTTGCTTCTAGCAAAACCTTTCTGTGTGAAAGTTCATCACTAACAGTGGCGTATCCAGGGCTGCAGCAGTAGGGGGGTTTAGGGCGGAGCCCCCAGAATTTTTTTGGACCACGCCCTTCAGACACTCGCAAATGTGGGGAAACGCGCTTTTTGCTAAATTTCCCCCCATCTTTTGATTAATGCTAGCTACGGTAAATAGCAAAGTATTTTACAATTGTTATTGACACAAGCAATTGTTATATACTACACCCCCCCCCCCCCAATGAGTTTTACATCATTTTTGGACAAATCTCGAGGACCATATTTTAGAAAAGTGGGGGGGGGTCCGGACCCCCCTATTCCTCCCCTTAGGTACGCCACTGATCACTAAACTTTTGGATCAAGCAAGCACTCAGGTTGCTTCCATGTTTATTTTCTGATAATGACTAAGACACGAAGCAAAGAAACAAATATCAGGATAAGCATATTTCTTTCTGGGATGCCCCAATTTTTCATTAGGTTTATACTGTAGATTCCGATTCCGGTCACATCAAATATTGCTTGAAAAGCTGCGACAGTAAGCGAAATGTGACTATACATGGAGCCAAATTGAAGCATTTGGCATGTTCGGGGTTAAATTTTATGAGACTGTAACCAGTAGTGTGACATTAACCAGAGTGTTTACCCGTAACCCGTAAACATATTTAAGAGTAATTCTTTTTTAAGAAGCGCCCTTCGGGTCTTAATGATTCCCAGTTCAAATGCTTTTGTACTGCAACCGACTTAGGCTCTGGTTGGTAATATTTGGTAACAGAGCGAGCTGCATGCCTTAAACCATCACTGCTTTTTATTTTAATTCGCGTGTACAGGGTAACCAAAAATTTGCAAGAATATTCTAGCTTTGGATAAACCATCGTTAAATAAATCCCGCTGAAGCAAGGTATAAGTTCTTTTCTATAGAGCTAATGTTGGCAATTTTTGGTGGTACAAAACTTAAAAATGGCTTTAAAAAAGCAAAAATTTGAGTATACTGCTAACAGAGCTCTACTGTATTCAAAGCCTAAATGAGTAGTTTGACCTCGTGTGAAGCTTTCTCAATATTGGGATCTGTTGTTTGTTTAGACAAATCCCATCATTCCCAGAATCCTGTGATATGTTCCTTTGCAATTAATGGTGTTAGTTGGATTTGGAGCTTGTTGCAATACAAAACAATGGGTTTGTCATCTTTGGGAATAAAAACAGGTCAACTTTCATTGAAAATTATAAAACCTCTCATGCTTTTTTATAATGATAGCAGCCAAAAACAATCATAAAAATATTAAGATAGCAATAATGTTGCCCATAAATATTAATAGCTATGATGATAGCAATAAGACAAAAACATTGACATTATACAAAGAAATGGTAACAATGCACAATCCACATCAATCCACATTGATTAAAATCATTTGGGTACCTGTGAATGCAGGGCAGTGGCATCTGGAACAAGCAGCACATGACCATAATCAATTGGGCTAATATTGACGATAACCAGGTTTTCCTCTACCTTGAAAAATATCAAAATTTATTGGAAACTAAACTTTCATAAAAATACTTTTGAAAAGATTATATTTCCTGGAAAAATGGGCTATTAAAATGGGCATTGTTTATATTAAAACACGAAATCAAAACTCATTAGCGTGAAAAACCTTAAAAAATTGAAGTGTCTTCTACTAATTTCCCTTTTCTCAATAAAAAACACCCTTTAAAGCTGCTATGTTCTTAAAATGTAAGGGCATACAAGAGAAAACTTCATTATAAGATATTTTCAAATATTGACAATTAGATGCAGTATCTCTAAAAGCATACTAACCTTTTTGCTCTCCTTGGTTTTGTATTCTGCTGATTTCATTTTAAACAAAATCTGAAAAAAGATCCATAAAACTGTCATTGCATGATAGAGCTTCTCACATGGAATTTTAATCATTGCATTTCTAAGTGACAATTTAAACATGTACAAAACCCGGATATAGAAAACCTTCCAACCATATGAACAAAGCAAAAAGCTCTGGATGTCCCCAGAGACACATATAAGGAAGGCTCGAGCATGCTTCTTACTAGGTTTTCTCTGTTTTTACTTGTTTCAGTTTCCAAAAATGTAGTAATCCCCTTTCAAAAAGAAATGCTGCAAAGCAGTGGCAGTGCTTATTTTTCTGCAAAGAAAATATAATACTGCCATCTGTGTGCATTGTAAAATGATTTATCACCAGTCTACACACATCTAGTTCTTCTTTGCTTTTAGTGTATTTCCAAGCTCCTTTTGCAAAAATGAGTGATGAAAACCCAGGGCAAGAGCAGATTCATTGGATCCGTTATCACTTAAAATGAAATATGAATGGGTGGGTCTGACTACAAACTTTTTAATCTTTTGCTTTTTGAATAGTTCATAGTCCTCAAATTGTAAACAAAGCATTGGGGACAAAGAGAAATTTCAATGCTGAAGAAATATCGCAATGCTTATGATTAAAAGTTTTATTAGCCGCTTGGCCCTAATTTCGTTTGACGCGAGCAATCACTCGCGATCGCGTCAGTACTTGCGCAAGCCCAACCACGCGACCGTTTCATCGCTCACGCAAAACGGTGAATTGTGAGGAATAAATGTCTAATCAGTTTTTGTGACACATTTCCAGTCATATTTTGTGACCCAAGCAAGTGACATAGACGATACAAAGCTGGTATATCAAAACACAGAAAACATAAGTAAGCTGAAGCAACCACATCCAGAGGCGGATCTAGGGGGGTGCTATGGGTGCTTGAGCACCGGTCAGAATTTTCGGAGATATAACATTCAATGCATTTTCTCTAATCTCTGAAAAAAGTTTTGAATCCTTTTAGATGATGTAAATGCATTTTCCAGTAAACTGATGACATACGGTCATGCGTTAGTTAGCATAACCTGTATCTGCTTTAAACTATAAATAGCTAGAAATTTCATGTTGAGCTGCCCTGGAACCAATTTTTTTACTTGTCCATCAAACCACACTCTCGGCCAATGAGCTACTTCAATTCTACGGGTGCTTGAGCACCCCTATCAATCAACCTCTAAGGTCAAAGTTGCAACTGAGCCAATCACATCACGCTCTGATATGTTTTTCCGCAATGTCGAGCACCCCTATCAATCAAAACAAGGCTTCAACCAATCCGTTTGCGAAATTTCGGCTCATCTGAGCACCCCTATCAATCATTTAATAAACAATGGTGCATACCGTCACTGAAACGACTAAACCTATTCGTGTAGCAGCAATGGCGGACATAAAGTCGTTGCTGTTGCAGGTGTTCTCGACTATTGGTTGCCAGTCGACTGAAGAAATTGAAACGGAAAACGAGCTTTTGAGTATTCAGTCAATCGTGAGAGAGGTTTTTGATAAGAGCGTGGTGGATGGTGTCGTGACTTGTGGAAATACACAGATCGATGAGTTCGCTGAACTGCAAATGCCAAAGGTTCAAGTACTGTCCCGTGGAAGTTCTGACCTTCGGCCTTTCAGGTTGGTAGTTTCCTTTACCAGGCTTTAAATGCACAACGTTTTAACAGAATATTTCTTGGATTAATTCAACAAAAATATCGAATTTTACAGAGAAAAATGCGCACCCCCAAAAAAGTGGTGCCAAGGATTTTTGGTTGTTGGGGTGGTATGGTAATTACTACCAGAATGAATTCGATACCCATTTCTTGCCAAATGCAGATGACCCCAAAAATGTACTACTTCAACACAAGGTACTTAGTAAAACAGTCAACTTTTATCAATAAATTCTTACAAGTATTGATTTAAAGGCATTGAGTCATGGTAACTAGGCCTTCTCTATAGGGGTCATTTGGAATCGGCGTGATCGCTGCTGTTTCATGTGATACTTGCATCCGTTGTTGACAACTTGCTATTGATAGAAATTGTTTTGTCAATCAGTACGAGGTCAGTTATGAAAATCACGACTCAGCGGATTCTGGCACTTAGGGTATAGCCAATCCATTTTATCATGACTCGATGATATTTAAGTCAATTTTCGTATAGTAATGGTCAGTTAACGTATCAATGATTCATTTTGCTTTTTTTTGTTTGAAACATTTTAGCTGCCTTTTTACAAAAATGAACCAGCGTCTGAATATTGCAGAGCAATCAAATATTGACTAGCGACCTAAAATGTCATTCATTGATTAATGTGATGTACAAACTGCGAAGGTAGCAGTGTTATTTTTAACTAGCATTGCTAGCAAATAGGCTTCTAACAAAAGAGATTATTTTCTATATAGTTATTCTTTAATACTTGAATTTAAAAAAGATTAATTTATCGAGATGGGTGTTGCCTTCATTTAACCGTAAAGAAAAGTAGGGTGTGGCATTATTATGGCTATTAAGGCAACGCCCTTAAGCACCCCTCAGATTTTCCGCTGGATCCGCCTCTGACATCTCAACCGCAAAATGCATTTGAAAATAAATTCTACCGCGAAGCCGCGAATGTTTAGGAATACTTTAGACACTTAATAATTGAACTACATTAGCACTTTGAAAATTGTCTGGGCAGTTAAAGTGTTTTTAAAAAAGATTGGAACAATATCTTGCGATCATCTGACAATAACGTCTATATGACCTTCGTAAAGTAAACAATATTGACCTTTGTGATTTATTCGTTCTCATGTGATATTACCTTAAACAACAGGATATTACCTTACAACAGGATTATACGGCTCTTGTAAACATTGCAGACCCTGCCTTTACCATTATTGATTATTATTATCATTTTCAGAGCGATAGCTTGCACAAGGTAAATGACGCGAGCGCTGGGCCACGATGATCAGCAGCCTTTATGCTTTTTAGCAACATGCTGCATGCCTTGATTTCTTGCCTCAGCAGCAAACCAGTTGGCAATATCGAATTATGTCACCTATAGCAACTGGAATATGATTTATTAACCCTCTTCCAATTGCTGAACAGCTACAATCACTGCCAAAATTACTTGGAACACTTTGCGCTGTGCTTTTCTATTTTTCATTTGTTTTCTTGAATACTACCACTTCCGCCCCCTTTCCCCCCAAAACAATTTTGAAAGTATAGAAAAATATCAAACAATCCACATGAAAAAGCGTACTCCATAACCCCTTTCTTTTTTTCTATAGTAAATCAACATTGTTCCTAGGGGGAGAGGGGATGGCTGAATTTGCCTTTGAAAACCTACGTTAGCGTTCCAAGACTTTTGGCAGTGATTGTATGTTGAAAAAATTAAACACCAGCAAAAATTCAAATTTTGCTCAGCAATAGCTGCTTTCTGTTTTCTTGCAAACGGTGAACAGGGAATGTAAACAAACGTGAAATTATACAAGTATTTGAAGACTAATAAGCCCTACACAGCCTGGTTTAAGTAGAAAATAACAATGAAAGATGTCATACAGATGATGCTGTCAATTTTCCTTACCTCATTCTCTTTCACTTTGGTGAAGTTGAATTTGTCTTTTCTAAACGGCTGTCTGACGGAATCGATCTCTTGCGGTTTTCGTCTTTCCTTAAATCTTTTTGAATTAAGCTGTTCAAAAATGATAAGAAAACATTAAAATGAGTGCACCTACACACAAATAACTTATCAAACACGAAGCAAGACCAGAAAATGGGTAATTCGAGAAATAGAAATAGATAAAAAGCATGACAACATACTTAAAGGATTCTGGCAAATGATAACCTGCACTCAAGGTTGTAGATTAGTTTAAGATATTGGGGTTGGGGTGGATTGTGCAAACATATATAAAACCACATACATTTTCTCGCTGGACCACCCATTTCCTCATATACTTTCTCTAGACTTTTGGTGCTTAGTTTTTTAATAGACAAGTTTGGTATAAAGAAGGATAAATTCGAAAAGGGGCACAATTTGGTTGAGAACAAATGTAGCATAAGTCTCGGCAAAATGGAGGTACCTGATCAAATGTGGCGTACATTCCGTTTATGAAGTTTTTATTACACCTGCTTTATTTTGCTTAATTCTGTGAAGACAGAGCTAAATAATTACATCATTGGCCCTAGTTTGCTTCATAATATTACAGAAAGGAATTCTAAGGAAGATTTCCTTCTTAACTACAAAGCTACTTGCCTGTGCAATAAATTCATATTTTCCGTTTATCTTTCTTCTTCTAACTTCATCCAAGTTGTAATTAAAAGTACCATTTTCCATTGCAATATCCCATTTTTCTGATAAAATTTCATCAAACTACAAAATGATACAAAGTGGACTAAAAAAGAAGCACCCGCGTAAACGCTTATGCAGACATGTTAGTCTGGCTGATACAATAAAATGAAAATCATTTTTTTTATAAATTCTTTCTTATCTACCATTCATTTACATATACAAAGACAATTCTTTCAAAAGCAAGAGACATGCAAGCACACAGTAATGACCTGCAAATAATAAACTGTTTTTTTCTACTTAGCCTAAGAAATTTCTCATATCTTTTGCCTTTTTTTATTGTTAGGCAAAATTTTCTTGAATTTGTGAAGGCTGGGTACCATGTTTTTTAAAATCAGGAACTGTACTGGTGTATGATTTACCATAAAAATTCCATTTCAACCCATTCATATGTGTTTTCAAACTGAAAATGTGCTGTTATATACTTGAAGCTTTATAGAATTTTATAGAATATTTCAGCCCAAAAGTTTTATAATCCTCTTCTTACAATGTAGATGAGACTAAATTTTCTTACTTTTTGGGAAAGTTTTGTCTGAGGTCTTATTATAACATTGGTTTTTTCTAAACTTTTTACTACTCTTCCTATATCTTCTCACTTTTCTTCTTATATCTTCTTACTTTAATGGTATGGTATGGACTATATCTTCTCAATTTTCTTCTTTTATCTTCTTACTTTTCTTCTTATATATTATTATCTTCTTACAAGACTTCTACAATTCTTACTTCTTAAGACCACTATAGATAACATTTTGCAGTACATACTTGTAGCATGGTTAGTAAGCTGTAAATCTTCTCTGTTTGAATGTGTTTATGTATGTTTTGTTATAAATTTGTCTTGGGAAATTATCTGGTAAACTAATTTCTTGTTCAAGTTATTATGTGGTTGCTTATCCCTAAGGATTTTCACATCTTGCTTGTGAAGAGGATGTAAAGAAGATATAAAACTGTTTCATGTTGGCTATCAGCAAAAGTATGTTGAGCAAAATCCTGTAGTGTTCAGTGAATAATATAAATTGCAAGTAGTATGAGCCAATGAGGTAAACAGTATGAAGAATACCAAAACATTATTTCAGTATGGCCTTACAATTTGGTGCATTGTAAAACAGCAATTCTTGAATGTCTTTTAAGTGCTCTTTGACTAACAAAAATGTTGTAAATATAAATAAATTCAGCCACATACCAATATTACAGGTTAACATTATAGAATTATATATGAACTGAATTTATATATATGAACAGAATTTATTTGTCATTTAAAACTGTTCATTAAAAGATTTTTATATGAACAATATATGTGATTTGAATAACTAGATGAAAAATACCTACTTTACTTTGTGTAAAACTCTCTGCATCAGGAGGCCAGTTTATAAATTGAAAGTGCAGGTCATTTGTGTCATAAATGAAGCATTTGTCCTCAACAGCAATGGCATCAGCTCCAATACTACTTGTTGCCTTTTCTTGCAATTGAAGATCATCAGCCTTGCTGGAACTTTTTGAAGCCATTATAACACCTGTCTGATATTACATACCATTTGATAAGTTGCCTGTCATACACCTTCATACAAATAGTAAATTTGCAATTAAATCACATATAAAATATGTTGACAGACTCTTTTCATTAGATATATATCTATAAAGTCCTTTGAAAATTATGTGTATACAATAACATGAGTTGATTTGTTTATACCAGCTGATGTTGCACTTTCTTACTCAAAACATCATAATGACTACAATGTCTTCTCCTGCTCCAAAATGCATCCAAATCCTCATAGACTTTTTCTGGCATTGTTTGATTGTGCAATTTCTTGCACATTAAACAAAGCAAATCTTCTGTTTGCTTAGCTTTAAACTTCTTTTTCCAGTCAAAATATTTAAAATAATAATCATCATTCCTGTCCAGAAATGAAATGTAATTTGCCAAATCAATAACACTTTTGAAATTTTGGATATTGATGAAACTTCCAGGTATGGCAACTTTCTTGTCATAATTTGCTCCAAAAACAATAGGCACACTGTTATGCAACAAAGCATTCTCCCAATATTTTTCTGTCACATAGTCTTCACAAATGCTATTTTCAAATGACAGATAAAACTTGAATTGTTTCAGTTTTTCTCTGCAGCCTGTAGTTTTTGGTATACAGGAATCTTGACACTTGAACCTTTTATTACACTTCCCAAACACTGTAATGTTCAAATAATTTTGAAGTTTTAACACAAACTTTTCCCTCAAACCACCACAGTCACTGACAGCCCAGGCAATAAGTCTCCTTTTCTGTTTAAGCAGCCTTTTCAAAAATTTGCTATGTGTATAGAAATTTGTACTATTATCTTTCACATAGTTACCATAAGGCAAGAAAATGTCTGAATTCCTATGGTAGGTTGCTGTCCAATTAAACAACCCATTGTATGATTTGACATTTTTTAAATTGAGTGGGCTCTCTTGATTGACCCATACCCATCTCTGATGGGGCAGTCGTTTCAAACTGCTCAGGCTTTTAGGCAAGTAAAGATCATCTGAAGTCAAGTCTTGAGCATGGAACAGTACAGCTGATGCTTTCGCTATCTTGTCTTTATCATAAGTGATTGTGCAGTCTGTGATGGAGCAATTTGTGTCTTTAAGGTGGCTTTTCAGGTTCTCTGGATAAAGATCTGACCAATACTCCTCTACATTCCAGGTTGTATAAAGTAAAATTATCGGTGCCTCTTTCTTTAAAACGTTTGTGGCAGCTTTTTTGAAATACTTGCCTAAAATTATTTTATAATATGAAACAAAAAAACAACCTACACAACAGAGAACAATTATGGCCAATCTCTTGCGCATCTTCATGCCAAATTGTTTTACCTGCCTCCGCTCAGCAAACATAGAATATGTTTTGGCATGATGAAACTCTTATGTATAAAGTTATAAGCATTAAATTCTGAAAACATTGAGTCATCTACCTATATCCATTAACTAGAAAAACAACAGCCCATCTCTTACTCTCTGGAAAAACACACCACATACCGAATGTATATCAGATCACTTTGAGTCCAACCGTAACGCAAATCCTAAAAACTTTAATATCTGTTTAGCGTTCATAGGCGATTTACACGCAGAAGTACAGCACTCTGCTTTTCAGCCGCCAAAATCCAATGTCGTTAAACTGGGTTTTGCACTTCAACAATCGTCTTTTGTCTCGTATGCATATACCTTTTTTAGTATCATGTCAGTCGTGTAATTAATCTTTTGATATGTTATAATCCAGCTAGATTTGCTGAAAAATCATTTGCAATACAATTACAATACAACGTTATGCTAAATTTCAAATCAAGGCAGTCCCGTTTGAAAAAGAGGCTTGCAAAAGTGGCCCAATGAGGTAGAAAATTTTTTTTACCTCATTGAAGTGGCCAGAGTTGCCATCTGGCCTTTTTGACCACTTATCTAAAACACAGTGTACTCAGACTTCGCACACAAAAATTTCTCCGTTTTGGCCGTTTTTCAAAACCCCTGCCGTCATAAATTGATTTAGCTGAAGAAGCAATAGTTGGCTGAATTGGCCGCATTTAAAATAATTTTAAAAATTTTAAAAATGCAAATGACGAAACATGAGACAAAGTAATAGTTAACAGATAATTTAAGATAAAGTCAAGTGGAGCCTACAAAGCAAACTCTGATTACACTGAAAAATTTAGCTGTTTTGTATATTTCGTTTAGCTGGCTGAATTTGGCCGCCAACCGTAAAACATTTGGCTGCCAACCATTCCAAAAAGCAGGGCCGTCGCTAATCACTTTCACTTAGGGGGGTGCCAGTCACAAATTTGCCGACAAAATAGGGCGTGACCTAAGGTATTTCAATTTTTGGGTGTGGTATTTTGACGCAAATGATTTTGTTTATGAAAGAGTATGTTCTCGTTAGTCAATGATCGCTTCAATTTTCCAGTGACTGTCGGTACTTAGTTAGCATGAGTAGATCTTACTAATTGGACCGGCAAGAGGTTTCGAAGGCCTTGAAGGAAGCATGAAAGACGAGGCCCCTGCGAGCGAAGCGAGCAGAAATTTTTTGCGACCACGCCCTTTAGATTGTCTTAAAATGCATTTCAGAATATTTCTTGCAGTCATTTCTTGCAATCGTTTAGAGCTTTTAACTATTTTTAGGCATACTTCTTCTACGTTTCATTGATTTCATGCTTAAAATGGAGTTCATTACTACTTGAGGCCCCATCAACCTCAAGGCCCTGAGGCACTTTGCCCCCTTGCTTCCCTCGGCAGCCCTGCTTACAGTGGCTTCCAGTACCTCCATGATCAACGCTCAGAGTTTTTCAATAAACTTTGTTCCCAAACTTTAGGTAGAAATTAGGTCGCCCTGGATATTGGACATTAGATTTTAGACTCCGGCTGCCGACAGGGAGTTATTTGAAATTTTTAGTGGAAATTTGCCCCTCCTTGACACCCATAGCGCCATCTGTACCTATTTTGAATTGCTGAGCTATCCAAACTTTTTGCTAAAGCTATCGCATTGAGAACTTCGAAAGTAAAACCCGACAAAACTCTACTTTTAGAAAATTTGCCGACAAGAATTTCCTAGGGGGGGTGCCGCACCCCCCGCACCCCTGCCGGGCAGGACCAAATTTCCAAAGATAACAATTTTTGAAATATTAAAAATTGATTCACTTTATGAAATCATTATATGCCTGATTCAAAGGCATTTCTTGTCTTATTCTACACTGATACTTCGTGGCTGTGCCCTTTTTCAGTTTTGAGACACAGGGTGACTAGCCCTGTGGTCAGTCCTGCCCAATACTCGTAGGCAGGACTAAACCCTATGTTTGGTCCTGCCTAACAATGGGCAAACGCCTTGTAGCCCTGTTTTTGGTCCTTCCTCAATGGCAGGACCAGGGTTGCCAGGTGGTTAGGGTAAGAATAGGCCAATGCCCATGCGAAAAATGGCCAATCGAGGTCAAAAGAGGCCAAATTTTTAAAAACTTAAAGGACATCTATCTATCTATCTATCTATCTATCTATCTATCTATCTATCTATCTATCTATCTATCTATCTATCTATCTATCTATCTATCTATCTATCTATCTATCTATCTATCTATCTATCTATCTAACTATCTATCTATCTATCTATCTATCTATCTATCTATCTATCTATCTATCTATCTATCTATCTATCTATCTATCTATCTATCTATCTATCTATCTATCTATCTATCTATCTATCTATCTATCTAATCTATCTATCTATCTATCTATCTATCTATCTATCTATCTATCTATCTATCTATCTATCTATCTATCTATCTATCTATCTATCTATCTATCTAATCTATCTATCTATCTATCTATCTATCTATCTATCTATCTATCTATCTATCTATCTATCTATCTCTATCTATCTATCTATCTATCTATCTATCTATCTATCTATCTATCTATCTATCTATCTATCTATCTATCTATCTATCTATCTATCTATCTATCTATCTATCTATCTATCTATCTATCTATCATCTATCTATCTATCTATCTATCTATCTATCTATCTATCTATCTATCTATCTATCTATCTATCTATCTATCTATCTATCTATCTATCTATCTATCTATCTATCTATCTATCTATCTATCTATCTATCTATCTATCTATCTAAATCAGCTGTCTGCCCCGTGACGTCTTAGTACGCATGCGCAGTTATAAAAGACAACAAACGTTAACTACCGGTATAACAACGAACGGTATAAATGCAAGAAATATAAGCATATAACATTCTGCCTAAGTGTTTGCTAATAATACGTATTCACACATATGACAAATTCAATTCATCGTCAGCGGCTTTATTAGCTCTAACAGTTCGATAAAGGTTATCTGTGTTAAACAGTGACAGCATTTTGGTACTGGGCACAAAGCCTTTACAACATTTATTGTTGAAGCTTAAATGTGTATGTATGCGTATGATGGTTTTTAGCATAACAGTGCTCATTCTGGTCACAAAAGAGAGAATACACTCAACAACTGCATTATTGATTGGGGTTGTCTGTCAGACATTAAAGGGCATAATGTGCAAGCTCCCAAAATGGACTATTTCCTAGTAGGTTGCGACATTCCAGTATTCCAACCAAAAAATTGACAGCATCTGACGGAATTCCATTTGCAAAAACAGATTCTTCACTCCAGTTAACATGCAATATACTTCTATATTAGGAGTCAATCGTGGACATACACTCTTCAATCAAATGGAGCATTGGAAGCTGGGCCAAGGGCACTCTTTCAAATTGGCTTCAAATACGGGATGGGTAAAGATAGCTGAGAGCGTTGAAGTGATCTTTTGAAGCCGTTTGTAAACTTGTTGAGCTGCCTCTAGTAGCATTGAATGGCATCTTGATTTGACTTCATCTATCTTTCTAACCATTTCTCTGTCTTGGTTGTGGAGACGAACTAGTGCAGCGATTTCCAATTCAAACTTTGCACCTTTGCATCTGCTGTCTGTGGTCAATGTATTTGGCATGCTGATGACGTGTTTTTCAGCTGCTTGCTGTTCAATTTTGACAACATCAATAGCTATATAAAATTACAAGGATTGTTTGTTGGAAAAGGCCAAAATTAAAGGATAGGCCAAACAAATTTTTTCATGGCCAAACAACTTTTAAAAAGGCCAAAATTAGGAAATTTGGCCTGAAAAAGGCCAAACTGGCAGCCCTGGGCAGGACCTCAGGTCCTGCTCTTTCATGAAGGCAGGACCTAGACTTTTGGAGCCCTATGTTTCGGTATAATTTGTTGATTTTCTGCGCCGTGGTCAAAGCTCACAAAGAATTTTCACTCAGGCCATAGTCAGGCTCAACTATTTTGATATCTCAGAATTATCTCATCTCACGTTAACTCATAGCTTAGCTTCAGCGTTAACTGAATGAAAACGAGGCCAATGCTAAATATGAGGCCGAGCATGCGCATTCATAAACGCAGTCCTATTTTTGCACCTTCCGTTCTTCTGGGAAAGGGAAAGTTTTTAGGGACTTTTTGGAGGCATAAGGAAAGTTACAATGACTCGTTCACGGAAATTCCCGATCTTTTGTCATAGATAAGGTTGTTTCAACAGAGCACTGGTTTATAAACGCAAAGACACGAAGCTTGAGGTAGCAACAATTAACGTTACTAACCTATAAATTAATAATTATCAAGAGAACTTCAGCACAAGCATATACCAGCAATCTGTGAGACTGTTTTATGAACTGGCTGAAAAATTTAAAACAAGGAAATTCGGTCAGCTTTAGTGGTTCAAAGGGATAAATTTATTTGTTCTCACGGACGTTTGCACGAAAAGATTCTACCAATGCGTCTAATTGGGAAATTCAGTCGAAAGAAAATGGCAGTACCAAGGAATATATTAGGACAATCTATAACACCGCCGACGGTAGGTGTGTTTAATTGCTTCGAGCCAGTTCCTTTGTATTTTCATAACTGGCTTCCTTGTTTTTGGAAATAACCTTTCTCATTGAATTGCACAATGATCTCTGTTTTCTCTGTTCAAATATTTTAATTTTGTCAAGACAAAATATAATAAGATAACTATTGTTTGACTTTTTTTGGCATTTGAATGACTAGGCCTATTTTTTAGATCTGGATTTGTCTTTTAGAAAGAAGGACCCTTATTCAAGTATAGAAACTTTTGGTCTGGCTGGGCCCAGAGGTATTTCAAGCTGGACAAGTGCTATGTTCACTATTTTGAAACAAAACATGTAAGTTCAAGAATATTACTATTTGTTATTTCTTTTTGTAATAAATTGTTTTTTATTAGCACATTTAAATGGGTTTTATATTGATTCAATGTTAATGAAGCGGTTATCTTCCATCAATTTATCATTCTAACTAGAATTAGTTATAGTATGTCACAAGCTTTTTCAGGCAAATTGTTTTTTGTTTTGCAGGCACCAGAACCCATAGATTCTGTTCCAAGAGGATCAATAATATCTGTAAAACCGTCAGATGCTTTTTCTGATAAAAAGTTTGTGTTTGAAATTCAACAAAAATCTGGCACAGTTTGGTTTGTCCAAGCATCAACAATGGTAAGCTTAAATGTAATTTATCAGATACATACTTGCTAACCTTAATATTCCAAAGAGGAAGCCTAACAGCCTGTCAACAAAAGCGGAGACTGCAAGCACTTTGAAAGAAGAGTGGCTATTTCCCTGGATGAGATTAGGTATTTCAGCAAGAGAAAAGAATGTTAATCATTAAGCCAACCTAACTCCATGCTTAATTCAGGGATTGATTCAGGGTAAAGAACAGGTTTTTTGGGACTAAACATGCAAAAGACCAAGAAAAATATCATTTGTTTTAAGTGCAGTTTTTTATTATTGGGTAGGGACTTAGGGCAGCAACCCAATCTTCCCACTTCTGCAGTCCCTGGTGCAATATTATGTTTTCTGTAAGGAATGTAAATATCTGTCTGCAAGATTTATGTAGTTGCCTGTACTTAATACCTTCTCTTATTTCTAATCTCCATTTTGTTTGACTTTTTTTGCTTTTTCTTCTAGGAAGAGATGATACAATGGATAAAAGTCCTATCACCTGTTCCAATCCTTTTAAACCCAGATTTGGTAATAATACCTTTAAATATTTTATTTATATTTATATATAGATCCTCAATAAAAAAACATCAGAAGCTTCGTTTGAGAATCAGAATCAGAAGCTTACAACTAATGTTACACTGTTACATTCTAAAAAAGAATATATTCATGACTAAGAAAAAATTATAGCTTTAAAGAAAGTTTTATATTTATATATATATAAAGCTTTAACATTGTGATAAGAATCTTGAATATTATACTAATCATTTTCTTTCAGTATCCAACAACTACATGTCCAGAGGTTACATATCCAGAGCCTACAATTTGTGCTCCTTCAGCTGTTACAAATTCTTCAGGAGCTACAGACACCAATGTGTTATACCCAAACATACCACAAAATTTGTATTATGAATTCCATGGTAAGTAGGCCTTATCATATCTCTGTCTTGATGTAATTTGGTACTTAGGCAGGCCTTGTCCAAAAAGGTGCTCGATGAAGCGTGAGCACCTGAAAAGCATACCTTAAAACAACCATGGAGAGCCATTTAAGCCTGGTTCACACCAGCGATACAACAATATTCTCACTGACTTTTCAGTGAACGTAGCTGCTATCTCATTGGTGTGAAAACCTGAATGTTTTCTCACTGAACAAAGGAGAATGCTATTCTCTGTGGGGCCAACACATTTTATGATGTTCGAATCATCATCGTTTGCACTGCATCATTCTGAACAATGGCATTTTTCTCCTTGTTTTCAAACAATGTTATTTCACTATCCTTCATAAAAATTTTCAAGATGATTCAATCCTGAACTAGTGAGATAGGAGCAATGACAAAAAAAAATAAATGCGACATTTGTCCACGAAGTGCATTTCTTGCTGCGAAAGTTATGGAACTGATCATGCTGCTTTCGAACACTAAAAATATCCCAAACCCAAATCTTCCATTTTGTTTACGTAAACAAGACCTTAGAGATCTTTGAACTAAAGCAAGAGCAAAGGCTGCAGCTTCAAAATTGTCATCAGAATCACCATCTGTTTCACAAAATCTGAGTCATTTTTCTCATTGAGTGAGATAATCCAATGTAAACTCTGTGTTCTAACTAGAACAGTTTCCGGTTTGAAAAAAAGTTTCACTGGAAAATTTTAATTCGCTCAGTGAGAATATCATATTCTCACTGGTGTGAACCAGGCTTTAATGAGCACCTTAAAGGGGCCTGTGCAACCAGCAGCCTTTGCGCGCTCGCATTTGTTTTGTTTTTCTAACTGTGCTCTTCTATGCAAGACAAAAATGGCAAGGAGAATTCAATGGGAAAATTCTGGCATCAATTTAGCGCTTCAGATCGTTTTGGAAGGCTTCTATTTAGTTTCATTTTGCACACAGCTTGTGCTAACAGCTTTCCACCATTTTCATGGACCACGAAAATGGCCACCTTCCCAGCTTACGCCCGCAAAGGCTACTGGTTGCCCACTCCCCTTTAAAACATAAAACGGTTTTGCCTCGAAGAATGCCATTATCAATGCCAAAAAGGAGCCAACTTAATTTTTTGCTACTATTTTTACAATATTTTGCACTCCTCCCAAAGATGCTGTCAAGGCAGTTTCATTTAGAGGTGTGAAATAGAGCACCTAAAGTTTCTTAGGAGATTATTTTATGAAGCCCCTTCATTCACTTAGAGCAAGGCCTGATTTAGGGTATTGTATAAAAACAAAGGATTTTTTGTTGATAGGCTTAATTGAAACACGAATCAACTGAGACCAAATTCCATATCTTTTTGTTTCCTTTTATAAGACATCCTTTTTATAAAGTTTTGAATGTGTTATTCCAGCCCTCTTGTGCCGTGGCATTCACAGATGTCAGCACAGATTGACTCATAGTTTGGAATCTGTACAGCCATTAATTCTTGAAGTTAATTCAATAATCTTACAGCTTTGTGAACTTTATTGCTAATGCCATTTTCAAGTATCAAGATATATTCACAGGAATCTGATTAGTGCTGTATTTGTATATTTCAGCTAATCCAAGTAACCAACAAAGTCGGCATAGTGAGCCCCCTCCTCCTTACTCAGAAATCGTCCACCAAAATGGGAAGTAGATTGAAGAAACTTATATTTGACTATTAGTTTAAAACTGTATTTGTTTCAAAGAATGTAGAATTTTTCTATACAAATTTTGACACATTCAAGAACATGTTAAATGATGGATATTAATGTTATTTTCTATGAATAACATCTGTAACAGATGTCATATTATTGGCCAGTAATAATGTATAAATTTAAATATGAATTTCACATATTATATCTTGTACATAGTATATATGCATATGCATGCATTTTGTAGCTTTGTTAAGTAACATTTTGACTTTTTGATGCATTCCATTTGTATTAGTAAAAGGAAAAAGCTTTTATTACCCCAATCTTTACTTGCTGAATGCCCCTCCCCCCGACTGTTAATTATAATAGTGTTTTTTGGCAATTATGAGCTCCATCAGAGCAGTTGATGTAATAGCAACTGGTTATTTGTTGTGTATAACACAAATGTCTTGTTTTCAACATTTCAATACAAATTCTTAGATGTATAGTATTTACAAATGATTAAGAGATATTGAGAATTTCATAGGAAGGATCAATATATGCTCAAAATAATATTTATATGTATTCTTCTACCAACCAAATTTTCACAGGGTATTTGTCCTTCACTTTTCATGACTGTTGTGCTGAAGTTTGCTATTTGCAGCTATTTTAAAAGTTTTTTGCTGCGTCTGACATTGTTTCAGTCAGGTCTTCTTACTTATCAGTTTTAGTTGTTAAACATTTACATGATTTTTAGAAAGTTCACAGTTTTTATTGAATACCTTGTAGTTTTATTTCGAAAGTTTCATATTGGCAGAAATTTTTCATTATGCAATTGAATATTATGTCTTTTCCTTTTTCTCGATCTGTTGTGAAAGTTTCTTGGAACTAGAAAATGGTTGATTTTGTTGAATGGGCAATACAACAATTCTATAACAGCCAGGGACGGATAAGACAGGGTGGAGGGGATGTGACACCCCCTAAAAATCTCTGTTAGACCCTCCTCTGTATCTCTACAGAATGTTGAACAGTTTCCCCTTGTCTTGGGGTTTCTGTAGAAATGTCCTTCTTACGTTCCTTCTTACCTTCTTACGAATTACGTAAGCAGTCCAATCCTAAAAAAACTGGATTCTGAGATGCTCGCGCGGATTTTGCTCCAAGGCAAACGGACTTGGTTTATACTGTTCATTATTTCAAGATATTTGATTACAACTTTGGAAAATAACTTTTTACAAGTAGTGCAATCTCGACTTACACAATTCAGGATATAAACATAAGTGGAATTGTGAAGGAAATAGACAGTTGTAGAATATGATCAGCCACAAAACGCTACAAATGACGTTGTATAAAGGGAAATTGCCACATAAAAATGTCATAGCTTTTCCAAACGCATTTACAAAATGAGTGTTTTCCCAAATTCTTAGGGGTCTGGTCAGCAAAAATTTTCTCCTCTTTGCCCCCCAATCTTCCAACCCTGGCTACGCCACTGCTTTTTATCATCTTTACTTTCAAGTTAAAAACCAAATTTTAAAAATGGGCGTTTTCATCATTTATCGTTGACCTGACTAATAGCCGCACTAATACTTCAATCTTCCTTGAACTAAATTTTTACTTCATACTTGAAGTAACGTCCACGTTTTCATTCTGAATACAGGTTTTTGCGATTTTAGTGCTCGTAATATTGATTTTAGGACCACATAAAGTTAAAAGCTTTGAAAAAGAATAAGCCTCTAGTGACTAAAGGTGAAAAGTTTCACGCAAAACAATTTTTGGGAATAAAGCCTCTTATCACTTCTTAAGTTATAAAACCTAAAATACAAACACAAGCAATGTGGAAAATTGTATCCAGACTTACGGAATGCTGGTAAATCCCAACTTTTGCTAATAAAATTCGTAAAACAGAGTTTGGAATAATAATGACTGACTATTTCCAAAAAGCACCCTCGGCAAGCCAGCTTACATAAAAAAGAGATTTCATCCATTTTCACGCAGAAAGTTTTCAGGAAACCGTATGGACTTGTTTTAGAAGCAAAATCTCGTTTAACGTTTCCCATGATTCTTCCATTGCCATAGGAAATATAGAATTATCAGCACCATTGTTTGAGCTAAGATTTTACTAAAGGTAAAATTCAATCTTAATGCTACCTCTTCAATATCCAGAGACTTACAAATAGCTTTGTGTTAGTAGTGGTGCAGCCTCCAGAACCCCACTGTAGAAAGTAGATATTTCAAGCACGGGCACAATAGAACAACAGCATTTGAGATATAGGCTACTAGATCCCAGAGTTTCTATGCATACATTTTCCTATCGCACCTAACCGTAGATTGTTGTGAATGAGCATAAAACACACTCTTTTCGATCTGTTAAGTATCACCTAAAACATTATTATTACCGAGTATTAGTATAGATGAAAGTTTGAAAATGTACTCTTTACTCGATCAGTTTCAAAGCACGCTCAATCTCTTGTCTAAACTTCGCTGCTGCTTTATCAACCACTTGCATAAGTTCCTTGTCACTTGCAGCACACCCTGTGAAACCATAGCATGGTTTTAGGCATTTCAGCTTGTGGAATTCTCCAGTGGAAGCAGGCCCAGGAACACATGGCATCATTCCTTTGCTGCACCTAGCTGAAAGAGACTTTCGGTCCTCAATTTTCATGCTTGGGTAGAAAAGTCGTAAAACGTTCGACAGCTCTGAATAGAAACTCAACGAATCTATGATAATGTCGTTGATAATCAGTGTCAAAGTTGAGTTTAGATTTCTGTCTACCATGAAATCGTTGTGTTTCCGTCTCAATGTGTAAAAAGCACAAAAAGACCTCTTGAACAGCTCCACTACTTTGAGACATTCCCTGACAAACTTGCAATCTGCATCACAGCTTTCTGTCACAGTGGTTTCTTCGGAAACTTCATCCCCCTCTTCTTTAGCGAGCTTACGTAGAATTTTTTCCTTCAATTTGTCCTTCAGCTTCTTTGCAAGTTTTACAGGCAATTTTCCTATACTTTTTACTTTATCTTTTACTTTTCGCAGAGCTGACTTGGTCTTGTCGCGCGCTTTTTTCCAAGCAGTCTTCAATTTTCCAGCGGCTTTTTTGATAGCTTCCTTTGCTTTCGAAGCAACTTTCTTAACCACCGCTTTTACTTTGCGAGCAGCCTTTTTCACCCCCTGACCCACTTTTCTAACAGCACGACCAATTTTCCTGATAGGTCTTCTGATTCTGACACGGAATCTCCTCCTCCACCCTGGGCTCCTTTTGATCCGCTCGTGCTCCTCTTCGAGATCACTTTCGATGTTATCATTAGGACTTATCTCTGCAGCATCAGTGTCAAAATGGTCGACGCTGTTGGAAGCGCTCGCTTCGGTAACGATAGCAACCAATACCAAAACAACCAAGCTGAACAATGTTGCAAGTCTCATTTTTGTAGCCTGCAAAAAAAGAACACCTCAGTTCAAAGGTCTTAGAAGAAGTCTTAAAGATCCCTTTCTTGTGATCAATCGTTAATGTAAGATGGTAGCAGCTGGTATACCTATTATGAAAAAAGTAAAAATACTAATCAGCCGTTCTTTTATATCGGTCGAAAGCGAAAAATAGATGTTTCATTGAGAACTTTCACCAAATGGCATTCGGGCATGTTTGAAAGAAATCTACAAAATTTTGTATGGCCAAAAAAGTCATTCGAGAACTTTTTGTTAAAGGAAAGATTGGAGTGTCAAATGGTTAGGTTAAACTTGGAGTATCAAATGATTAGAATCACCCTAATACTACAGGGGCCTAGAGTCAGGGACGTAAATTGGCAGATATTTTTTGGGGGTGAACATAAATATGTTAATATTCGAAAATAGTCAGTAAAACTTATTTTTCTTGTTTTAAGCTTATATGACGTCATTGGCAGCAGCCTATTTTTCAAAATACCATCAGTGGCTCATCAATCGATAGATATTGTAAATATCTATTGTGCTGTAGAACTCAGGACAATAGATAGTTTCAACCCTTTATCTCTCTTCTAATTAGAGTTACAAAGATGGTCATAATGAGCCCCCTGGGTAATGAATACAAGGGTCCAAAAAGCCCTGTAGTAATAAGGTTAGAGTCTCTTTGCTCTTCTAGGTCTCTTACTTCAGCCAAGACAGAAAAATTTAGACAGTCAGAAAAAAAATTAAGTGGAAAACAGTTCAAACCTTCAGGCAAGCTATGTTTTATAACAAGCGTCACCTACAATTGATTATGCAGCTCCCTCACGCAGTCATTCTTTAAACGTTGGATTTTTCTCTAGCATGAAAAGGGCGATGTATTTTACTAGATGATTCTAAAGTTCCCATCCCACATTACCCTAGTCCCAAAATGATTTACCCAGCCCTCGCCATCTCGAGGACCCTCTTTTTTTACGCCACTGTTCTTCGAGTCTGTGTTTAAAGAACAGCCCTAACAATTTCAAGCAAATCAATTGCCAAAATTTGAAGGATAAACTGCCGCATGAGAGTTTCATCAGAAGAAAAAAGAACTGTACCTTTCTTAATGATCCTGGCACGATAGAGAAGAAAGAGAGAGGTACCTTTTCTTTCTTTTTTATCCTGCCTGCTTCGATGTACACAGCCAGCAGTCGATTTCCTTCTCCTTGTACCGCAATGTTTGTAAGTGACTTGCCAAGTGGATGACATTACATTTTAAAGCAAGAACCTTCTCTTCCTGCTTCCGGTAAGAAAGACTTCCTACCCCTCGTTAAAAGGAACTCAGATACTAACCACAAGACAAGATGGACGCGAAAGAAATTTAAAGAATAGTAAGTGCTGTGCTATTAAAATTTATACAAAATTTTATACGACGTTGCAGTGCTTGGTGGTCCTCTTGTTTATGCCGAAAAGAAAACAATTTTTACTTTGCTAGTTGTTTTTTGCATCATTTTGGCAAAACTTGGGAATCCGGAGGGAAAATCCAATTAATGTCACGTCGAGGGTGATGAATCACAGACCGCCTAGGATCCATATCCGGAACGCTATTTGTTTTCACGTTTTTGGTTACGTAAAAGCAATTTCAAAAGCCTGCAATCACATCACAAAGAATACTTTGCTGAAATGTCACCCCTCCCCCTTTTTCATTAAATTTAGAGAAGATGCTGTGTCTAGAACTAGAAAATGGGACTTTTGAATAATACGGCCATTTGAAATAAGTAATCATGTTTAAGGCACAATGGACTCAGGTATTCAAATAAAAGTAATTATTTTAAACTTTTAGGTAAATCCGAATTGCTGAGGAAAACGAATGGGAAAAAGGAATTCACAATTTCTCCCCCCAGTTGCTTTGACTCTCTGAGGCTCTGGTATTCAGGGGGGCAGAAACTACTCCGAAAGGAATCTAGCTTGAAATTCAAGGATTTTGTCGATCAATAATAGCTAGACCTATTAGAGTACAGTCCTACTTTCTTATCGACGATAAACTTTTGCAAAAGCTTTCACGATACAAATACGAAGTTCATAAAACATGACTTAAACATATTCTTCATAAGAATAAACTTAGACCACAGCTGTCCAATATAGCAAAGGTTGCATCTTATCAACACCTTAAGAACTGGTAGGGTAAAGTTGGACTAATACTAAGACAACACTCCAATGAATGGATGGAAATGTGGTGTTGACGTCATTATGGAGGATTATCAAGATTTTGAATCCTTTGCATTATATAAAATGACGAAAATATTAAAAACAGTCTAAGCTGTGACCATTTCAATTGCTCTTATAAGAAATATGTGCGTCTATCCATTCTTGCACTTTTTGTTTGAAGATTATTTCCTATCTTATCTTATTGGGACACAAAGATTATCTTATCTTATTGGGACTGTAAACGTCGCGAAACCAAATCCTTAAAAAAAATTTATTTTAAATCGAAACCTTAAGAAATTGAAGAAAGTGGTGACACTAGGCGGATTCAGACGATTGCTGCTTTGGCTTTAAAATATTTCATTTGGCGTTAAAAATAAAATCTTGGGTTTTGGTGATTTGATATAATGCAAGCTCTAATTCGTTTCAATCAACAAGTGTTGTTACATTCGAGGGTCCCAAAAGATTCCCGTGATTCGAAAGCCAGGAACATAAAATTAGCTATCAAAATCAGACAATCTCTATCGTCTTGGCTCAACAACAAAATAGACTTACTACAAAGGTCAAGGGATGAGATTCTGGGAAAATGAATTTCGTCCTCCACAGCAGTTTTATTAAAAGATTGACAATACGGACATTTTCTATCAATCCTAGGAATAGGATTCTTCCCGTATCTACCTGTTTCAATCTTGAGGTTGTGAGCACTGGGACGTAGTTTTGCAAAGTTGGATCGTTCCTTTTTGCTAGGTACCAAGTTTAAGTATTGCTCAAACTTGTAAACAGTTTTGAAAGATGGATATGTACAAAGCTTTTTATTACGAATAATTTGTTCTTTTAAATTTTCCATAACTTTTGACCTGAAATGAAAAGACACTTTTGATTTCACGATAGAAGAGTTATCCGTTGTATGTATTCTGTAAAGGGTCATCAGGGAACGGGCAATACTGACCCAATTAGAAACACCGGAATCTGCATCATTAATTAACATTTGAAGAGCTTTGTATGCATATCTGGAGGAATCGAGATTTATCAAACGAATATAAAATTTTAAGATATTAATATGTCTATGTTCAAGCAACGAACAACGTCCCAACTCCGCATAAACCCCAAGAGACGTTGTAGATCCTTTAACACCTAGGGTTGACTTGCAAACCATAAGATGAATTTTTTCCAGGCATTCCCATGTACCAAATCCCCATACATCAGTGGCATAATTTAGGATAGGAAGTATTGTACTGTCAAATAAAAATAGAAACAGTCTTGGGTTGAAACCATCCCATTCGTTGCTTTTGGATAAGGGAGCAAAGTAAGATTTTTGAGCTTTCTGCTTAATTATATCAACAAGAGAACTGTAGGAACCATTATATTTAAAAGTAACTCCAAGGTATTTGTATTCATTGCCTTCTTTGATCTCTAGATATTGTACGCCGTAGACTTTTTCTCCATATTAATGGACATGCAGAACTGGTTTAGCTCGTTGAACTGGGATTGCAGATCTTCAGCAGAACTAGCTAATAAAACTAAGTCATCAGCATATAAAGGGTGCAGATATTTCCATCACCCAATCTGACACCTGTAGACAAATCATTAATCTTTCAGTCTAAGTCATTAAGAAACAGTGAACTATTTTTTGTCGCCACCTTTAAAAAGCAAAACAATGACACCCATAGACCATTCTTCTGGGAAGTCACCAGAATCTAGAATTTTATTAAAAAGTTTAACAAAGAGAGTAAATAACGGTCATTTAAATGTTTGAAAAGTTCAGCATTCAACAAATCAAGACCCGGTGCTTTGCCAGATTTGAGTTTTTCAACCATATTCTTCACTTCCAATAAATCAATTTGTTTATTTAGTTTAGAATCTATAAGAGTGAATAAGTCGTAATCGGAATCATCAACAACCGCAAAGTGACTTGGGTTTCAGGGAGAGAAACAGGAGTTTTTTTACTAAGAAGATAATTGAAAAAGGCAAAGATTTGCTCATTTGAAAAATCTATTGACGATTTACATTGACATTGAAAGATTTTTCCAAAACTGCTTTGGACATTCATTTTTAAGTAGCCAAAGATCTTCTTTCGCATGTGTAAGGTAGGAAGCGCGTTTTCTTTTCAAAAGAGCTTTGTGTCTCCTTTTCTCTAATTTGTAAACCTCATGTAAAGTATTAGAACGTATTGGGTCAGGTTTATTACGTCTCAGGGCTGCTTGTAAGTCCTTACGTGAAGTACTTAGCAGTTTTTTGCTGGATTTACACTCGTTATCAAACCAAACAAAATGTTTTTTCTTCGGTACGTTACTAGAAAGAATTTTCTTAGTCCTAAAACTACCTTCCGCAATTTGAGTTAAATGTTGGCGCATTAATGCAACAGTGTGGCCAATAGACTTGTCATCAAGATCAGTTTCCAAATTTTCGATAAGAAGTTTATTTTTCTGATGGGAATCAAAACTGGGGATGTATTGCTTTGTGTAATTGCTCATAAGAACATCAACCCCTGAGGAAGATACATTGTCGGGCATGCTAGAGCCAACTGTCAAATTATTACAATTAACACTTTGCTTAATCGAGATCTCGATAGGGGAATGATCAGACAGGCTACTCATGTTCCCAACTTTAAGGCCACTAATCAGACCAAATGTTTTCTCATTTGCAAGAGCATAATCCACGGTGCTGTCATCTAGTTTCATCAAGGTTTTCTGTTTCCTCTGTTCCCTTATTCATCTCTGAGAAATGGGGGGAGTTAGGGTAGTACCCTTGAATGCTAAGAGCTTATAAACATGAATGATATATCATCGGTATTACCAGCATAGTTTTCAAAAGGCTGGAAAGGCTGTCCCAAATCATAAAATATCCTGATTTTAAATGCACAACTTCTCTTGTACTTATTGATGCACGTGTAAAATGACCAGGCATGAATACTTTGCTTGTCAACTGTAAATGTGTGCCACTGTTTAAAAAGGAAGTTGATATTTGATTCAACTTAATCTTTTTCTGTTTTATAATTTGTAATATTGTTGGCACATTTAGTTCGTATCCGTGAAGAGAATTACAAGGAATGACGTCAATTGGCGACCAGCTAATCATCTTAGTTCTGTTATCATTTATGCAGTCTTTCAAAGCTAAACTTTATTTTTCAGCTAATTTAATGATGCAATCCTTGCTTCTTCGCAAACCTAAATTTATCAGCATAACATAGCACGGTCTTCCTCAAGTACAGTCTGTCCGAACGTAAAGCGAGGCCCAGCGCAGTCTTTTACAAGCAAAGACCGAGAAACAACTTTTTTTTGGGGGCAAGCCCTAATGAACAAGTGTAACAACAGCCATATTTTACAATTTAAAAGTATTTCAATTATGCAACTCAAGGCCCCCAGCCCCCGCCGTTCCCCAGCATCTCAATCTTTACTTACTAGCACTGCCTGTCCTGAATAAATCTAAATAACAACAAAATATCGACGAGCTACAAGAGTTTTCTCAAGCCTTTGAGCTGATCAGTTAGCATTCTTAAATGCTTACACTCATTTTTTTATAAGAAACTGGCCATAAGAAACTAGAAACTAGTAATAAATTTCAAATTCTCTATTGCTAGTTTTCAGTAAGAAATTCTCGTTATTGATCTTGATTAATAATATTTAGTATTATTTTATATAGCTTGATATTATATTTTGCTACTAAGATTGTGCCCACTCCTTTATTTTTGATAAATTAGTAGGGTGGTGGGTTCGAAAATCGTCTCGATTCTCTCAGCCACCTAGGCAACTACAATAACCAAAATGTTATTATTTTAATTATTTTCATATTTTATACACAGCTAATTAATTATCAAAATAAATTGTAAACCAAAATTGTTGTTGTTGAATTTCATGAATTTGAATTTAAATTTGACTGAAGCACCATTGAAAAATGAGGTGTCGACTTTCAGTAAAGACAACTTCAAACTGTATACAAAGAAGAAGTATTCAAGAAGAAATTGCCAGCAAAAAGACTAGGAAGAGTGTGACGAAGAGAATCTTCACAATTTACGGCGTTTTAATTTACGACTACAAAGAAACAGGGTAATCATTCCGATTAACAACTACTTCCTCCTTAACCTATACTAGTAAACTAAGAAAATTACAATTTAAGCAAGGATGTTAACGAGAAACAAGGCCATTTTAGGCACGAAATAAACTCTCTTTGCTTCCTGTTACAATTCTACCAAATTACTTATAAACGAATTTTTACTTATAAACGGTGACTGAATGGGTTATATCACAATTCAATCTTTTGTTTTAATGGCTAACAGCGCAGTGAAATGTCCAGTTCTTTGAGATAGAATATATTAATGATAGTTGATTTAACAAAAAAATACAGTGCGGCATGACACTGTTAATAACTTCAAAGAGCTAAAGGCAACCTACACGAAACAAGGTCGCTTGCCAACACGAGGTGGGATGGCTTACAAAATGAAAAATGAACCCTTTTCATAAAATGTGGGGCACTTTCAGCATATTTTACGAAACAGTTAGCTTAAGAAATCTGGTTTACTTGCAAATTTTCATATATCACCGAGCAAATAAAGTAAAAACACATACTTTACAGAACAACATCAAGGGATGCATGGCAACCAAAAGGCAAAAATAAAACCAAAGTACAGCCCACAGTTGTACGACGTCTGTTCCCACGACGTAACTTTATATCCTGCCCCTGAAATAGGCCAAAATCCCTTCCGCTGGAGAACAGCCTAAACTAAGCTGCTTCCACGCGCCACAAGTCCAACGTTCAAGTGAGGAAGATATCAAAAGAAAACACAGACATACAGAGACCAACATGCATAACCATCAACAGAGAAAGTGGAAGCAGATGAAGAGAGTAGAGTTGAAATATAGGAGCTGACTGAAACATTGAAAAGCACGGCGAAATAATGCTATTAAAAACCGTTTAGAGCCTTATTTGCGATAAAGTGACGAATGAGTGGCTAAAACTTTAATGGGAAGAAAAAGAAATCAGAATATTAACCAAAGGAATAGTGTTCAAGTGTTTTTACTTTTTAACTCAGGCTTTGACAGTAAGGACCATATGTTACTGGTGAGTATTACACATTAAATTCAAATAAATTAACAGCTACCATAAAATGCCCAATGATATAGATGTTAACTTAAAACATCAGTATACAGCTACCACAATTGTTAATAAATTTGTCACGAGAATTTACAATGTTGCCAGGCCAATGTAAATGTAAACTGCAAAGAAGAACCACTGAATGCACCAAGCAACTAAGATACTGCCCGATTTGCATTTGTCAGTAGATCAAGAAAGGGTGGACAAATGACCTAAAGCAATATCAAAGACGGCCGAACTTAGATACGGATCTTTAGATACAGTTTCATACATTACACGTGATAGGCGCCAGGCCCTTGATTCATGCCCGCACACGCGCCCTATACAAAACAACCCTGAACTTGAGCGCGTACTAAAACGTAATTAAAACAGTATAATAAGTATTTCAAATATCTTTTAGCACTCGTATCTATAAACTACATTGTTAAAGAAAGACCCTAACGAACAAGCTAAATCAAATTTCCCACGAGTCTAGCCATTTGTATGCTGCTTGTGTTGCGTTCGGTTGATTGGCCAAAGGACCAGACATGCCATAAGTTAAACCACGAAATGCATAGAAACTGGAATATAAAATAAAGATAAACAATGAACAATTTATAAAAATTTAAGCCATTAAAGCACGCCCTAAAGAAGCTACCAGTTTAATTTCATTCAGACATGATATCCCAAGTACACAGCCTGGCAAATTAGTAAAGCTTAGGAAATGCAAAGAAGCGCTGTGCATCGAAAAATTGCATGAAGAACTCCACTTATCATTGCTGTTAGACAGTTCTGTTCTGCTGCTGTTTTCTCTACAGTTTTCCAACATTCCAATAATTTGTTAAGTATTCGAGGGTTTAAAGTCTACGATTGACACAAGTTGACAGCTTTTCAAGCAGACGACTTTCCATCTTTGATTAAAACTTAAATGTTTGTTTGATAGAACTCTACTACAGTCGAACTGATAATCTTCCAAAATAATTCAAATCTGCTCCTGCAGTTGAAAGCAAGGATAACAACATTACAGAAAAAGATAAAAGACTGTTACCTAACGATACAGGAGCCAACCAACAGGGTGATTAGAGCGTAGTAGATTTTAACCCTCAATTCTATTTTGACGAAGCTAGCCACTGTACTGCAAAGGTATTCCAGAAAGACCCCTGAAAAAGAGAATTGCTTTTTTAGATGCACAATTCAATATAACAACGCAAACTTAAAAAAACAAACGATACTACATTGTTCGGGAGATGAATCTTGCCCGTCTTCCAGACATACGCACTAGCCTCCGTTTCAGGATCATTGCACATGCGCATTATCACTTGAAGCCCTAGCGGGAAGCTGTGTGGTCCCAGACAGAGCAGCAGTGCGAATACTGTTATTAATGCGCATGTGCTATGACCCTGCAACACTGATTGGTTTAAGACGGCATTGTTTCGAAACAAAGGACTGAACGCTTCGTCTCCCGAACATTACAAGACAACCTGATTCAAGCAAATATTCCTTGATAAATCTGATAGCCGAAAAGAAGATTGCTTGAACAGATCTGAAATCTTTATCCAGGCAAATCATATCTCGGTTTGCCGAAACCATTTCCACGATGAACGGAATTTATACCGTAGGAACCTCTCGGATATGGAGACAATAGGCATGGTTGTGAGCGTAAATAAAGAAAGTTGAGAACACGATAATTTGGGAAAAAACACAATTAGCTGTGTGTAAAGTACGTCGTCTAATTCATGTCCCCTTTAAGCCCATCTAAGACCCCGTTTACACTGTACCAGATAATCTTTATCCGCATCAGAATTAGTTCAGATAGGCGTCGCGTTTACACTAAACCCGCGCTATCCAGTTTGAGAGCGGCTATCCGAACAAAATAAGTTCACCTATGAAAGTGGATTGAAAAGTTCACCAGTGTAAAAGGTTTTAAAAAGAAATTCAGGAACAAAGCAATGCGACGAAGAGAATCCAATGTCTCGAGATAAAATTTTCAAAATAAATTAAGTTTAAGGAATAGTATATTCCTTAAATTTAAATCTCGTGACATTGGATTCTCGTCGTCGTATTGCTTTGTTCCTGAATATCTTTCGTAACATCACTAATTGCAAGATTCACAAAATCCGGCGGACAGCCTATCCTGCGGTTCTTCCTTCTTACACATTAAAAGGTTTTATCCGGATAAATTTTATCCACATCGTATCTTGCTAGAAAATGTTTGGCTCATTCATACTATTTGGTTTTCACTGTCTCCCAATCAAGACCGTTCGCCATGCCTAAATCGCATTCACGAAAGAACACTGCGATTAGTATGCAAATAAAGACAGATAAAGTCACTGTTACCAAAAAGCAAGCAAATCCTTTACAAATGTGGCGAATAAATTAAGTCGATTTTCAAATTTCATACAACTAACGCATAGTGACACATTACAACCTGACTAAAAGATTCTATAAAAAATAAAGAAACCAAGTTCACTCACCAGCAAACATGGCGCTTAAAAGATACGCTGGGAAATAATGGTGGAAGTACAAAACTCTTCCCATCAGGTAAAATGGCAGATAATGCAGGGCCCATCCAACCACCAAAAAGAAACAGGAGAACATCACATTGTCGCGTTTGCTGAAGAAAGACAAAACAAGAAGAAATACGATTAGAGATGTCGTTCTGGCAAGACAAGAAGAAAGGGTAATTAAGAAAATTGTATCTATTGAAGGCAACAGCTTAGTAGCAAGATTTTTTGACTGATGTTGCCTGCTCAAATCTTTGCGCAAAGGATATATATTCACTTTTAATAGACAAAATCTTTCATGTCAACAAGGCAACATGAAATTTCAACCAAATCTAAAGAGATAGACAACGACCATTTTAAATTTCGCTACATAGAGGGAAGCCCTAAACAAGCATGTAGAAGTAAATAAGTTATTTAGCAAAAAGTTTGAAAGAGAAGAAATTATCATGGATGCATAAGTAAACGACTAAGCAAGGAAATAGTAATTGAATTATGATGCAAGTAAGACGTGTGATATGTTACTAGAAAAACACAATCTACATCAAATGCTAAGCAGGTTCTGCGCGAAATTAAATTAGTGTATTTATCCATAAAGTTGCGTAATCTGATTAAGAGAATACAGTTATTAACTTTCTGCTTACGACATTACTCCAATGGAGGAAATTGGCTATGAGATTTTGTATTGTCCGGCATTGGGAATCAAATTGTTTACCTTTGACAGCCACATCATCTTGATATCCTCTCTGCTCTCTCACTGCGTGGTATGTGTATATGATAAAGAAGATTGCAAAAGCAGCGAGAATGCCCCACCAGATGATCTAGGAAAAAAAATATCGGTAAAACCACAATGTAATCAGCGTCTTAAGTAGGAAGATTTGCTTGCGAAAAACTTGCGGAGACAAAGATCTTAACATTCTTGTAAAATGATCTTGTAAAACGTCTATAATATTTATAAATCCTTGTATAAAATGGTCCATTAAGAAAAACAGCAAAAGGCTGCTGATTCTGGGCAAAACGCTATTTACTTCAATAATTGAAAAAGTACTTTCTCAACCGTTATTTTCTAAAACATACTAAGGATTGAAGCTCCATAGAAGCTGGAAATTTCTTTGCATGTTTATTTGTTATGATGAAACAACAGGAGTAGGCCATTGTGTACGTTATGAAAGAGCTAAAAAAGGAAAAATCTAAAGCTAAAAAAGAATCTTACCGGGTTACCAAGAAGATAAATTCTGTATTCTCCCCCTGAAAAGACTTGACCCTACAACGACATTAAAAAATAAAATCAGTACGACACATACACAAAAACGAAAAGGTATTATAAAACAGAATGAATGAAAAAATTTAACCGTAACTTTTCTAAATCAATTCTTTTTCAATAAAAACTGGAAAGTTGCAAATTCTTTCCTATCATACAGCATAATGATGACGCTGCATCTTAAAATAATTCGGCATCAAACGATATTTGTTAAAATAATCACCCTGACCAGGGCATAGTAGTACAAAATAGCTTTGCCCTTATACTTGACAAGTTAAACAAATGATCCATGTTGCTTACTTCTACCACAAAATAACTGAGCTTACCCTGTAATTGATAGGCCATTGCCATGGCTGTGACGTCACTTCGCCTTCTTTTGGCTTGAACCCACTGTTCGTCTAAAAGCAACCATAAATTGTATGCATCATTATCAGACGCTGATTTGAAAAATATGATGCAAATATCAAATGAGCTTTGTGGCGAAGTGAACCTGACGGTTAAACTGTTCCCAGGTCTTGTTTCAAAGGTGCATACAGGAGTTCTTAGTAGAGAAGCATCGATGCTAGGTTCTCATTTATGAGGTTAAATTTATGAGGTAAAATTTATTGATGATGCATTTTGATGCCTTGAAATAGGTTTGTGACAATGGATGGTTCAGGGGACAATGCCCTTTCTAATAAAACCTAATGATGTGTCAGACTAAACTAGGAACATAAACACCAGGTGCTTAATCGAATAAAGATTTACGATTTAGATTTACCAGGTGCTTGTGAGCTTATAAATTCAACTTCTATGTCTTTTTGGGAGATGCTTCTTAGGACCACAAAGACTTCTTTAGAGGAGAATAATCCATGGGCTGAATATCGGTAAAAAAACATACCTGAGCCATGACGACATGAGACTCATAAATCTTTTCAAGGAACGATGGGGCCATGAACTCCATGCTTGTCGAGGGAACTATTGGGAAATTAACACATTACGTTGCAGAACAGTTATTAAGCATTTCGAATTTGAAAAAGTGAAAGCTGACATTAAATCAACCCTTTTTAGATAATTCGCTACTGTGCGGAGAAATTTCGTGCAGATGAGAAAATTTAAAGGTTAGTATAGTCGCACTCATTGAAAATAGAAATAGAAGAAAGATTGGCTAGATCACCAAAAACAGCTATTAGATGCAGCTTCAAGGAAATGTTTGTTACCTCGATCGTTAACGTGTCCCTCGATGCTCCACTGTGTGCCTAGTTTATCGGCAGTCGGATAGCAAGCCATTTCGCGTTGTTCCCATCCCCTGCAAAGTCAAAGAAAAAAAGGTGGGTTTGCCTTTCCAACCAGAGTTTCAAAAAATTGAAAAAAAGACATTGAAAGGAAAGACATAGGAAAGAAGGACAAAAAATTACCATTTAGGCAAAGTTTTTTCGGTCTCGCCAAGGGCACAACCAGTATTTGCGTGGACGAGCCTAAAGGTCGTTTTCACAGACTGGATTTTGGAATCTTCGCCAAGATTAGAAGTAACAACAACTGACCAATCGTCATTTGAATCACCATTTCCTTGCTAAATAAAAGTTATTAAATAAGTAAACATTTAGTTTCACAGAAGAGCTGTGAAATTTAGTTTAGCCATAAAGTGAAAAGATTTCGAGCTTGAATCAGTTATAAAGTGTGATCAGAAATTCTCAAATTTTATATTCATCTCATAATTGCACATTTTTGCAATTTAGTGTTTATTATGTAAAGACATTTAAGATCTTATTACTTCATTTATATTTGTGAAAGGAGAGTTGGTTGGGTATGAGAGAATAAAGGCGTTATGTAGATGTTACATACATCGTTAATGAGCTTGGCTACAAGCCGCGACCACAACCACAACCATTATCTTATCTTGTGACAAAACCTCCCAAGATAATCAAACCCCAAATCGAATAAACAGACAAAGAGGTTTTGGGACTTTTAAGATGGTTTTCAAAGAACATTTAGATATAATTCAAAATTAAATTTAGGGAAAAAAGAAAACAGAGCTCACATCGCCGTAACAGCTGACTTGCATCAGATTATTCGTAATTGGAGCTTTTTCGTTGTGGCTGTGCAAATTTCGTTTGGTCCTAGAGCAATTAAAAATTGTTGTAAAACTTGGATATAAATAAAGTGGTGTTCAGCCACAAAAATGCTAACTGGCTCGTTGATAGGGAATGAAAGACGTGCTTACATTTCATCATATAAAGCTCTGGGTTTAACTAATATAATGTCAGCCAAGGGTAAATTAAATATTATCAAACAAAATGTACTTTTTACTAGAATTGGCCAAAAAATAACAATGAAAACATTGTAAAACTGAAGAATTCAAGGCATAGGAAATAGCTGTATTTCAAGATTGACACTTTGGTCATTACTGGAGACGAAAGACCAACTCCAAAAGAGAAACGAATGAAGCCAAATTTATTTAATCAAAACAGTTCAACTGAAGGCTCTGTACTTACATGACATGCTCTAAGCGAATAATGTCTCCATTTTTTACATATTCCAAAGGAGCAGTTGGATCTACGACAATAAAAAATTCTTACTCAAACATAAAACAGGATTTGTTAAATATAGTTCACAGGTTTTAATCTTGTGTCGCTGTTCACAGGTTTTAATCATGCCCTGGTCGTGCAAAAAACAACAACCCTAACAACGTATCTAACAGCTACACTTCAAGTGTATCTAGCTAACAACTATTTACTTTCAATCACTTCTGTCTGTAACATGTCGTAAGGTGCAATGGGCATGGATTTTCTAAGGTCATTCTTCAAAAAAACAAACAAATAGACTTTCTAATGTTTATTGGTTACTACTCACCTAATTGATTATTTGTAGGCTTTTTAACAATCCATTCATTATTTGGATCTTTATGAGAATATCCAGTAACCTGGAAATAAATAATAAAAGGCACTACATAAACAAACATGGAAACATAACATGAATCAGAGAAGCAATAACTATGTTTAGCAGTCCTAATTCAATTATCATGTACAGTGTTTTATATAGCTTGTTAAAAACAACTTTGTCCATTTTTATAAAATGATGATACAACTTATATATCTAAGATCTTGCCAACCATTTTGATTCGAAGCATAATAAAAAAAGATAAAATGCCATAATTTGATGAGTGGATTTCGGCCTGAGTAGTGCAGACAAATCTCACTACTATCTCCAACCAAAAGTGTTAATCGAAAGACAAAACATTTAATCCTGATGTAGACAAATACTCATTTGAAAATGAAAGCAGCGATTCCTTGTTGGCTTTGTATTATTGCAAGGTTACTGACCTGCTGTTGCTCTGGAGGGTGTTCCTTAGGGTAGAGATGTTGGTGAGAATGTAGCAATGTGCCGCCAGCCTTGGTGTTTTTCAAGGTGACGATGGAACCATAGGCCAGTTCTGAATCGAAATAAAATGAGAAAGGTTCTAGTTTCATTATGGCTTTATTTTAATCATACAAGTAAAAAGATCAGTGCAATCTGCAATGCAATCGAGAATAAGGTAATCTCACTGCGGCAACTGGATTGCCTTCTGAAATTTCCAAGAATTAATAAATAAATAAATAAATAAACAAATAATACAAAACTATAAAAATGAATTATCAGTATTTCATTGGTATTTCACTGAATTTTCAACAATTACAACAACAAAATGTACTATGTACAACAAATCAATTAACAACTCAATAAAAAACAATACCACAGGGGGGCAAGGGGTTTTATAGCAGCCAGGGGGCCATTCACAACCAACTCACAGTCTATTCCAAAACAGATGCTGGGTATGAGATATTCAAGAAGGTTTGATGAAAACCAATTTGTGCTTTTTGTGGTTATGGTCACCAAGCTACTATTTTAAAACAGACCTTGATAAAAAATAATCAGAAAACTAGAAACACAACTTGAAGAAAAGAATTATATTAACTGCTTCATTATTATTCAAACATTTAGAAGTTCTATTGAAACTGAAGAAGTCTATCCTAAGTTTTGATATAAAAAAATTAAAAGACCTTAAATTCTCAGTAATTAATTAAAGAAGACTCCAAGTATATAAAGCAGAACCTTTTGGCAGGACAGCTTTGTGCAATGCACTTCCCTTCAAGGTTGACTGGAAAGTTGAGCTGAAGAATCCATCACCAGGCCCACTTTGAAAAAAGATAACTCACTTTGATAATTTCAAGCAATAATGAAGAGTTCATATTATGAATTTTTGCTGTTAATCTAAAACACAGTTTATATTTTGCAAACATGAACAATTAAGGAAAATAAGATATCCATTTTATATTTATATACTCCTTAAAACCATTCAAAATATTTTTCAGAAAAACACCACATATTTTAAAAATCCTTAAATACATTATATTCCTCTGGACTTTGATAAGTAATCTTAAAGCTAATAGGATTTAAAGTTTGATGTTTGAAAATAAACAAATAAAAGATTGCATACAAAGATGTATTTTAAGAAGTCCATAGGCTTGCAGATTGGATTCAATTACCTTAGTGGCAAAGCTTGGAAATGCACTCCAAAGAAAAACATGTATGTAAGAATTGGTAAGATGATTAAACCAAGAACCCTTGCTACGAAATGCTGTCCAATAACAAACTGAAAGAAAAAACTGATGATGAAAATTGTGAAAAATATTTAATATTAATGGCCTATTAAAAATTGCTATTGAAAAAACCTTTCAGCAAGTTAAAATATACTCCCTCCCCCTCCCCCAATCACAATGATATAAATAAACATTCCATGTCACATTGTCCTCATGATATTGAATTGGCTTTTTGTTAGCTAGCCCATAACCCAAGTTGTATACCATATCAATTTAAAACAATTTAGCAGCCTACTTATGAAAATATTCAAGTACAAACCATTGATAATGAGAGGTCACCAAGTAAATCCCATAATTGTTTTATGGTAACCAAACCAGCCAATAAAATGACAAACAGACCAACCCATTTTACACTGCAATTAGCAATAATTATAACCTATTAAAAATTACAGTAGAGTCAATAAACTGAATTATTGTAAAGTAGATTCTAATGACACAGGGATGTGACTTAATGACAAGAGTAAATGAAATCAACTTATCTTATTAATCAAATATCATATAATAAAGCTTAATAGTCCACTGTAAAATAAACTAACAAGTCATGATAAAATTCATGTTATTCTGATACCATGTTGTCTCAAATTAGTAACAACGAAAATTAGCAGAAACTACTTATTTTATACAAAATGTAATTAACACAACAACAATTAACATCAAATTTTGTCAATATATCATCTATTGGTTTATAAAATCTCTGCCTCTTAATAACTATTCTCTCTGTCACAAATGTACTACAAAGAAACACAAGTGTATTTTGCATACTTTCACAGTGGCTGCCCTAGATGTCTAATCCTGATTTTCTTTTACTAGAGAAGATTCTAAGGAAGCTCACAAGAAGAGACAAATCACATGAATGCATAATTACCTGAAAGTACATGCTAAGAAATACCCTGTACAAAACATCCAACCCCACCAGTCAACTGAAAATGGGCTGAAAAATGATTTGACAATGTTACAAAGAGTTCAGGGTATTGCTGGTGATACAACCAGTGCAAAGCATATTTCCAAGTTGATGATACAAAGGATGCAGCACTTGATTGCAAAAATACAGAATGTCAGAAAAACAATTATTGAAACATTATGAGGTTATAAAATATTGACAAAAAAAAATTAAAAATGAGTTTTGCAATGACCTCTAATGCAAACTTACAGATAATAAAGCAAAAATTATCAAAGCAACAGTAGGTTTTGTTTTCACCAATCAAATATCATATCATGACATTCTTTACAAGAACACATGTTTAAACAAGTTTTTATTGTTTAGTTCTGTTTAAAAAGTAGATTTGTTTTTTGCAACATATATAAATACAGTTTTTGCAATATTGTATAAAGTTGGGACCTAATGACTTCATGGATTTGCCCACTGTGTATGGTATAGATGAAACAAATTGTTGTTGTCTTATTTTGATTTGATTTCACATAATTATATGAAAAATAATTTAACTTTGTCACCAGAAACCATTGGAGTGAAAATATGATAGCAAACAAATATCAAAAGTTATCAAAAGTAAAAAAAGCTTACTGGTCTGACCAACTCTGGAACTTCACCAAACAAAATACTGAGATCATCATGAAAAACATTAAAATTGAATCCAGGAGTATAAATCTTGACAGTGTCAATGTACCATGATCTAAAATTGAGAGATAAATTGTAATTAAAATTAGTGGATTCTTAATTTGATGAAGATGGCTGTTGCTCATTCTGAAGTGCTTGATGTTGTATATGCAAAGCTGAACATGATTTTGGATTTAGCACAAAATGGTTCTGAGCTATTCATAGATTTGTTATCATCATGTTCGGGAGACAAATTCAGTTACAGAGACAGGATGTTGGGCTAGTTCTTGATTTTGCTCCCCTTATTGGGCTTGTTTACTCACACAGCTGCACTTTTCCTATAACATTAAGATGTAGTTACACAAGCTATGTCACCAGTAACACAACCTGACTTCCCTACAGAGGCACAATCAGAACAATTGTTAACTTGATAATAGAAAGAACCCCACAGTAAATAACCTCTACTTTATAAAATCAAACAAAATGAAATAAGCCTCTGCGAAACTGAAACACCCTCAAGTGAGGTCACCTAGCTTGTTATTCTGTGTTGATAAAGGTTAAATAAATGTTTGAACAAATCCTGTTGTTAATGGGTTGACCTACAATGGTGGATGAAGAAAACCCCAGCTTCATGAAAAGAATCCTAAGTGCTTGGTAATGATAAAGTCTGGCAAAGATTAGCATCTTAAATGCACCAAATGTAAAAATGTGCAGCTCTGTATTGAGCAGTAGATTAAAAGGCAACTGAAAGTTCAAATCATATGCTTATGAGACAAAATTGGGGTGTTAGCCTATTGCGCTTCTATGATTTTGACAAAGCACTGGTAATGAATTGCCTAACTAGTGGTCAGGACCAAAAAAATTTCAGCTATTGAGTGTTGGGGTGAGGGGCTGTAGGTCTGTCAGCCACCCTGTCTTATATGCTTTTGGTCCCCAATGGTGTTCTTTAAGCTCAAATTCACAAAAGAGTATGAAAGTGTGACATTTTTAAGAGAATAAAACATTATCAACAGAGTACCAAAGTGTGACAGAATAAAGACCAAATGGCAGTGACTTGATGGGGGAAAGTGCTTGTGTTTGTCTTTGAGCCAATTTGTAATGGATTTAAATGATTTTTAAATTTTCAAAGTGTTAAAACAATGAATAAATGGTTGTTATTAAAAATTTCCAAAATTTATTAAAATAGTTTTTGTGACAACATCATGTCTTTACTCTATTTGGTCTTGCCCTTGTATATCACTACTTAAAAGTAATGTCTGCATTAGAACATAATAATAGTCTTACCAAAAAGAACTAAACAACCAGCAATAATTGCAGCTGGTAAACATTTGGTGAGTTCAAACACAATGAGATATGCTAATGGCACACAGAATCCACCCATCAGTGCACAAAACTAAAAGAGAAAGAAATAAAAAATCAGATTGAAGATCTAACCTTCCATAAACAAATATTAATGGGACTATCATACATATAGCCACATTTGAACAATTTTAAAACAACCCTGAATTTTGAAATAATGATAGGTTGATTGCTACTTCCAGTAAAATAATTTGCCTATAGAAACTTTGAATCATCCCTTGCCAGCAAGTAACCAAGAGAATCAAAAACAGAAATGAAATACAAAATCCAGACAAAAAGCTAGAGTTAAACATTGAATTCACTAAATTTATTAGATACTGTTTAACAAAACCTCTTAAATGAGATAAGAAATGTAAACTTACAACTCGCATTCCAACATATTTTTCTTCTCCATACAAATCACCAGGTTTATCGAAAGGGAAGCCTCCTCCATACCCTGACATCCACCCAGATAAAGCAAGCAACATCTGCATGGAACAGAAAGTTAAAGAGCAAGCTAGGATCCCACAACATCTATGTGAAAACTTCATCAAGGTAGAAACTTAAAAAGCTCCAAAAGCAGGACAAGTCAAAGTGGTTTAACAGAATTAGTTATGTTTACAAATTCACAAAAACAAAGAAATATTGAGGACAATGGATTTTGCCTAACAGATAGGATAAACACCTTTGTGGTATTTACTTCATAAATATATATCAAGAGAAATTGTTTTCTGGAATTAAATCACAACAAAGGGAAAATATTGCATTGCAAAATGTACACACCTTGCCGAGAGGTGGGTGGACATCAAAGAAGAATGTTCCATTAATATAGTAGCTTGCAAATTTACCAAAATGTGTCTCATCCCAACTATAAAAACAATTTGATTTTTATTGCAATAAATTCCATCAAAATATTTAATCGCCTATAAGAATATTGTGCTTTGATCCCATACAAGTAGCAGATATTGTGCTACTTATTACACTTGTTTCAATGAATTCTGACTCTGCATCTTGTTTGCTGTTTGAATAGCAAATTTGGTTATTTTTTGTTTTCATATTGATTTGATAAGAATTAACCCTACTTTAAGAAAAAACACTTTACATAATGTTGAATTCATAGTTTGCCTAACTCATTTCGTTAGTAAACAAGTAAACAAGTCCCTAAGGTTGATGTGCTATTTTTAATAAATATTTTCGTTGTTCGTTACGTGGAACAAAAGTTTCATAGCCATAGAAAGACAGTCGCGCATTTCTTACCCCGATTCATAAAATCTAGAAATACCCTAGGAAGTGAGTTTAATAGAGGTCTCTTAATGCAATAATAAAGTTCATTTAGAAGTAAATTGCATTAACATCTTTTTAGAATCTAGGTGGTCACTGGCAAACGAAATTGGCAATGTTCTTATCCCTGGGCTTTGGGATTCCGAAACCGCATCGTTCGACACATTATCTTATCTTCTGGATAAAAAATACAATAGTTTAATCATTTGGTTAGTTTTCAAACAATAAACTATGAAAGTTGAACTTTGCAAAAAATTCAAGGAGCAGCTGCAACACATTGTTTGACACCTGGCAGCTGCAAACGTTTTTATTCCATCTTAAAACAGCAGCAAACCACAACAATAAAACATGCAAATAATAAACTTTCAAGAATTCATAACTAAGCCAGATGTAAGCATCTTGCAAAATTTTTCACATAAATCATACGTCAAGCACTATGTATGAAATTCTTACCAAATTTTTGGTGGTTGTGCAATATCATATAATCTTGTGCCCAAACTCAAAACCCAAAATATTGTGACTACCGCGTAATAAAATTTATCTTTTTCGTGGTTCTCCTTGTTTAATAAATCCCTAAAGAATGCTCGATCAAAAACTCTCTCTTCCTTTCCCTTTCTTTCAGAGCAACTAGTCACTTCCTTTTTATCCACTTGGCCATTTACTTTTTGTTTGCATGTTCCTTGTTCATTTTCTGCTGTGTTTGTGACTAGGCCATCTTTATTGTGCTTTCCATCTAAAGATTTATCATGGTTCCTATTTGTATCTTTGACTTTTGATGGCAAACCATGCTCAGTTTTGTCGGTCATCTCTGCAATTGGTTTATCGACAGCATGTAAAAAATTCTTGTAGTACCGGAGAAGTCCTACGCCATAGTGACAAGCCTAACAACAACCATCTGCCACAATGTTCTGTAAGCAGTGTTGGATGGCATGGATCTCCAGTAGATGGGCGCCAGATCCCGGACGCGGCAGGAGGAGAAAAGGGAGCAGGGATGTTGGGGGAAGTCCTAATTAGTCAGTAATTCAGCCTTATTAACGAATAAATAAACCACGCAGCTGTAGATGTCGGCTAGGAGGGGGAGGGGGGGCAAACTCGAGCAAGAACCATACCTGAGGAGGGCAGGCTTTAAAACAAGAAAACAGACATATAACAAACAGATATATTTGGGCTAAATCAAGGTCATGGAATTATAAATATGCCAAATTTTCAACGCATCATTTAGAAAAACTGTAACCAGAGGGGAAAAGTTGTTGTCAAAATTTTCATTCAGGGGGGCGCCCCCCGTGCCCCCCTGCAGCTACGTGGCTGGAATAAATGAGTTTAAATTCATGAATCCGTGTCTAGGTACAGTAAAGATCTCGTAACTGTAACTTCACCCACATAAAATTTGTATGCAAGGACCTCGGGCATATTTTCTTGCAGGAAATTGACCATCACAAGCTCAACACATCTACAAAGACATTGAAAAAACGAATTTCTAGCATATTTTTGTGAAGTCAACTTACCAAACATGATTAGGCACTTCAACTTTATAAATTCTTGTCACAACTCCGAGAATTGCAAAAATGCCAAGAAATACCAAAAGCTCCTTGCTGAAATAATCTCTTCTACTTTTCGAGGATTCTAATTTTGCAAAATTTGGACAATTTGTTTTAAAAATCTCTCTAATCCAATCGATCTTCGTTTCTCTCAAAAGTGATCCCAGTCTTTCAAAAATGCCAGATACGCTTTTCTGATTGTTCTCTTTTGATGGGACCTCTTCGACAGCTTTCTCTTCACCTTTCAGCAACCTATTCGATGTTTTCCCGTTAGGGACGCTCTCTTCATCGTTAACAGCAACATTTTCTAATTTCTCTTGTGACTTTTCTTCATCTGGTTTTTTCTCAGAATAAATGCCAGTGCCATTACCAGCACTTTTCTGGCCATTCACCTTCTTTCTTTTCCTTAGTTCATTTTGATTTTTACCCATTTTGACAGTTCAAGCCTAATTTCTCGCTTTTTCGATCTAGTAGGCTTTTCCAGTACTGAGCTTGCACAGAATTGGACAACTCTCAGATAAATGCTATGTTTGCCATTTGTTCAAGCACATGTTCAGAGGTTGAATCAAAAGCTTTTTACGTGTACGCATTTTTTCCAAAGCTACGCGTTGCCGTGACAATCGACTCCAGTATCGCCGTGAAGTTTTATCGAAATTACAAAAAAGGTCAGCAACACTGCCTATAAATGCAACCTTTGTGGCGAAACCTGTGTCTAAAAATGCGTATGACTGAGGTATCTAAGCCTTTTGAGAACCCTTGCCAGCAAGAGACCGTTTAAAGAAACCCCTAAGAAAAGTTCATTGTGACTTGGAAAAACGTGTTGCTTGCGCTGTATGTTACCAGTTACCCAAGAAGCGCAAAAAACATTGTTATGAATTTTAAGCTCTAGCTTTTTTTTCCAGTAAAGGATAAAAAACCAAACTCGGCCTTTGGAACATTTCTCTCAAATTGAAAGTTGTCCTGAAAAGAATACCAGGCAGCCGGAGCAGAATATTCCCCTTACTGTTGATTGCACTTCAGCTACGTTGTTCGTATATGTGTTTTGATGGCATTATGAATTATCCTTGCACTGAATTACACTTAAACCTTCTGTTTATCTAAATGGCTTTCATATGGCATTTGACTGTGTTGAGCTATACCATGAAAGGCTTGACATTTTGTTGCGCTCCATAGAGCTAGACCAATTATTACGTAAATGAATTTTTCTACTGAGAAATCAAGCATGTCCTTTTATCAGGGCCGATGGCAGTGGAGGGCACAGGACAATGCGTCGCCCCCCCCCCCCACTATAAAGCTGTTTGTCAGAAAATCTGAATGCTTGTCTGAAAATTTTAGGAGACCCCTTAAGTCACATCCTAACGACTGGCTGATGATAATCTTCTAATCTTTCCATAATTCAATATTAACAATTATGCTTTTAGTAATTATTGTATGTTGAGTTGACTGAGAATAGCCAAAGTTAGTCCTTACGACATTTTTTGGTGGTACTTTGTCAGGAAACACTTTAGGATTCTTAATCTAGGAAAAAGCTATTTATTAAAAAGAAAACAATCTCCCGTTTTGTGAGAAAATAGAGAAAATAAAAACATGAAACTAAAATGAAGATTTTGGTCTTGTATGTTGATAATGATAGAAGATTTCTTACGATTTCCAGGGGCAAACCTCTTTTTTACTTAATACTTTGATAATTTGTACTATATACTATAGATATTTATAAGCTCTGATATTTTTGCTTTTTAAAGAACTCCTAATACATGTTTGTAATGCCGTAATGATACAATATGTAGTTAAACCTGTTGTGCATTTCTGTAAAATGAGAAAAAGAAAAGTAAGAGGATACTGACTAGGAGAGGAGTGCATGAAGGGATGACTCAACTACACTTTTTCAAGGCTCTGTTAGAATCAGTTTCAGTTAGAATGAGACGTTGGATGCGATTCGAGAAATATGTATTCTGATTCACAGTAAGAAAACGAAATGAACACTTCTATTTTAGTGAAACGCTTTGGAGACGCATAAGGGATAGGCTTGGTGGCACATCTCTGAAAACATAATAAATTCATTGCTCTTTTGCGTATTATATATAACAGTTACCAAGGCATTCTTTTGGAATCTTTTCCTGAGGTTGAAGGTCCATTCCTTTGCAGAAAAACTATAGCCTAATTGCTATAGCCCTTTTGTGCACAAACTACATCGTTTGTTTTTAAAATTGTTCTTCTAGCGTAGCTCAAATACCGTTTGTAAAATTTTGTCGTTTGGAGATGGGCCCTACACTTTTAACATGCTATTTCATTAATCTGTATATAACATGTTTTTTGCCCAAAAATATCTATGAAAACATTAGCTGGTCTTAACACCTTATAAATCACATATTTTATTTGCTGCATAGTATTGTATTTTAGTAGAAATGATAGTATGGAGGTTTCTGCAGATGCACTTATTATTTCAAGGGCTGTCATTTTCTGATTGCTATTTGACTTGCATCTTATTCATTTTTCATTGATTAACGTAATAACTATATTCTCTTGATAAATAGTAGCAGTGAACAAAAGGCTCGTTGTCTTTTTATTTACATTTTATTTCAACTCAAGGGGGCTGCGTTTCACTAGACAGAGGGGGTCGGGACCCTTACTAGCTTCTTAGCATTAAATGAAGGGAAGAAAAGTTGGTCTTTGTTTGTTCTCGGGCATTGCGGTACTCCTTACCTTCAGGTGCTTGTTTTTATTCATGATTTTCTAATTTTGAAGACACGCTAGCAGTACTATTAAGCTCGGCGTCAAAGTTCGCACTTGCATCCACAGCCTACACTTAGTGAAAATGGAGGCATTTGCCTTGGTGGCAGATTGGATTTATAGATTTCCAACAGCTACCTAGCAACCGGTGGCATGTTTTTTCCAACAATAACTTGTGCTAAACAATAACGGCAGCACGTGTGCTTTAAAGTCGATTAAATAGATTTGCGCTCTCTGAAGTGAATGGGTTCTTTCTGAGCACTCGTTATCTAGAGGAGCATCTTTTTCTTGATAAGTTTTCTTGCTGGAAGATTGACACAGTTGCGTCTGCACACTATTCCAAACGCTACATATGTTTGTTTCTGCACCAAAGATCAAAACCAAAATGGCACAGTTAACGCAGAGGCAACACAACGTATTTCATAACGTATAACGCAGAGGCAACACAGCGTATTTCATAACGTATAACGAAGAGGCAACGTAAGGCACCAGCTCTGTTCATGTATCACACGTTGATCGCCCCTATTGCAGGGTGTTGTCTCCAGCCCCCTGAGTGCCATGAAGTCAGCGCCAAATGTTCCTTCGGTGCAACTTGTGTCCCTTCTCATCAATTTCAAGCCCCAACCCCTTATTGAAATTGTTTTTTATGCCCCCGCACCACGTTGACTAAAATAGAAATGGTTATTGCCTTTTGAAAAAACAATAAAAGTGTTTTTTTTGACCCGGGCAAAAAAATCAAATCAGCAGTGAAACCAATTGTCGATTCTTGTTCGACAATTGTCGATTATTCTGAATAAAAATCCAATGGCTTATCAAAAAGTATACCAAACATTAAATCATATTTTGACACTATCAGACATCATAGAAAAGTTTTATACACATCGTATGAAGCAATATTTACATTAAGTCTATTTTGTAAAATAAATAAACCTTCAAAAATGTATTCTTTACAGAATTAGGGGAACCTCTCCAACGTTATCAAATCACTTTCTTTAAGAGTGAGGAGAGTCTAACCGATTTATTTTCTTGTTCTCGTGGAGCTCTTCAAGGTTGCCTTCTATGTCCACTCCTTTTTGCTTTATTCTTCAATGACTTAGCTGAATCCATCGGAGATTTGTGCTCCAGGCTCTCCAGGCACAACTCAACGCACCTGAGAATGTTAGCTCCATGATAGAAATGCAAGCAAAACTGAAGTAATGGTTATAAGGGCAAAGAATACGTAAAGCAAACACGTGGTAGAGAGGGTATAAAAGAATCTTACAAATATTCAAGGGTAAGGATTCGCTCATTCATAGCCATGTTGACGTTTTGAAAGATGCTAAACTTGCTACATTGAAATCATACCATGCGTTACTGAGAAACAGCAAAAACAGCCATGGGTTCAAACCAAGATTACTTCTTTATTTCATTGACCATACATAACTCCTGTTTTTCTTTATGTCTGTCTCAGAAATGTGGGACATAAATATTAACCTGCTCTTGAACAAGTGCATTTTTATATATGTTATATTGTTAAATCTTTCCATAATTTTTTTAGCTGAGCCACACTGTTAATAAAACGACAAAACCGAATCGTTAAATTCCTTCTTCGTTTGAAGTCGCTAGGTGAAAATAAATATACCAGGAGTGCTTTTCACATGCTTAAAGACGATATGACAATGGGGTTTTACCAACTGGGGAGTGATGCCCTGGCTCACTTCCCTATAATCTTTATATTGATAATGACAGTTTTGGGGAAAACCCCACCCCTAGAGATGACGGAACATGCCCACATGGTAACTTTCTTGGATTGAGTATTGTCGAAAATTAACATAACTTTTTTATACATATCAACTATGTCACGAAGATTTTCTTGTCTCACTTGATACTAGTGTAGCATAATTATAGAATAGAGTGATACTAATGAATAACCTTCGATTTTCCAAAAATTAGAAACAATTCCTAACTTTTCGCTGCAAAATTTTCCGGTTGTAAGATAAACCAATCAGAACAGCATTTGAAAAGAGTTGACTTTTTGGTTCACGATTTGTGATAAAATTAAAGTAACATTAGATAATTTTTTTTCGAAGCAACTGTTCTTGTACATCAGGAGATTGTCATCAACATGAAGCAGGGTGAGTGGTAGCTGCAGCAATATAGCGACAAAGTTTGCCAGGGGGGGGGGGCAACAACTGCATAGCATTTGAGAACAGTAGGATGGATAATGAAAATCAATGTACTTATGTCAATACTTTTAAGTAATATGGTGCAACTCTAGTTAGCATTGGCCCGATGACTCCATTTTCCTACAGTCAGCAGTTCCTACCTATAGCCAGCAACCTGAAATCTTTTACAGTTATTTTTGTACGAAATATGTACCAAAGCAGTGGTTTTGAATTTAGCGTCAAAAGAGAGTTAGGCTCACAAAACCTTGAAATGACGTCAAGGAACGGCATATGGTGTGAGTACAAGATACAGTATTCTCTCCAATAAACGGACATTCTAAAAGGCGGACACCTCTGAAATGAGGACAAATTTCTGGTGAAAATCTCATAAAAAACTTTCCAAAAAGCGGACACTTAATTAGCGGACACTCTAATTAACGGAAAATCTTTTTTGCACAAAATAGTCAATTTGGCTTTTTTCTTTCTAATTAGCGGACAGTACAAAAAATTTAGGAGCCAGCGAACAAAAAAATGGACGAATGAATATTTGTTCAAATATTTATTTCAAACAATTTGACACTATTCTAATTGGCTTTTCACAGCTTCGAGCTTCTTTACAGCCCAGTTTACTAACTTTTTGTCCATGAAAGTGTTGTGTTGCGCTCAACTTGGTTTTTTCTCTTTTTTTAGTATCCAAGTTCAACCTGATAGCCACTAATTACATAGCCTGTGCTCCAGACCCCTAACTTGAAAGTAGAGGGGTCTGGGACACAGGCTACTAATTACCCAGACTACACCCAGAAGTGGCGCCAGAAGTCTTCCGACAGAGGGGCTGGAGCTTCCAACAGGGGGGTCTAAAATGACTAAAATCTGCAGTTTTCGTACGTTATTAAGTCAATTTGGTTCGACAATAACCTAAAATTCTCTCCAATGGGGGGGAGGGGGCTAGGTGCTTCCGACGGAGGGGCTGTAGCCCCCTAGCCTTCCCTGGCGCCACCACTGATTACACCTTTTAAATACAAAACTAGGGTCTATTTTAAACTTTGGGACTTATATTGCAAAACTTTCCAAATGGCGGACACTTCCAATTAGCGGACACCTTGCTCTGTCCCCGACGGTGTCCGCTAATTGGAGAGAATACTGTGCCTCATAGAAAACTGACTGGAACTGACCTACCACCGTGTATTGGGTCAAGAATGTCTGCAAACATTGAACCATGAAACGGGTCCGAATTGTTGCTAGAGTGAAGGAAAGTGCTTGACGGATGATCCGGAATAAACATAAACAAAGTGCCTCATTTGCGTAAGCTCATCCATATTAAAAGGCATGTTGACGATGAGTAAGCTTTTTAATATTTTAATGCAAGATTAAATTTTGATGAATTCGTTCAACAAAAAAGTTTTTTCGTTAAGGCCGCGTGCAATAGAAGAATTTGAGCGTTGTATCTAGAAATTCTTTCAACTGATGCTAAGAACGATATTGTGAGCACGTTTATGGTCGTCATTCGATTCTGCGGCTATACAATCGTGTAAAAGAGAAAAATAGAATGCATTGTCTAGAAACATAGGCGCATTGAAGCATTGAAAATTGCGCATTACGGTGAGTCGAGCAGGTTGACTATGGAAAGAAGACAAAATGGTGTTGAAGGCCTCCGAATCAACCAAAATGGCGAATAAAACAAGGGCAGTTCGGCTGCAGGATAGTTCAAGTATTGCAGGTAACTTTGAAGATATTTTGCTTCTTTTCTCACAATTATGGTAACGAATAACGAGGAAAGGAGAGCAAAACACGAGGAAGTAAAGAATTGTAAATAAACTTCTTTCTACAAACATTAGGCACAAACAAATGTTGTTGATATTTTAGAATTATGTGTGTACATATCGAGATAAACTTTAGAATTTTAATGAACCCTTAATTTGTCCAACTGCACAAACTTGGCTAGACTGTTCTTGCTTGGTATCTGGCCTGTTAAATAATAAGGTTGTCTTAGGTAGTCCACAAAAGTTTATAAACAGTGATAAGATGATGTCTCAGCCAAACGTGCAATTGCAAATTGAAAATTTGCTTTACCGCATTACCAAATGATAATTAGAAATGAGTAATTTAAATTTTTAGTAAATTATTTTTGTGGTTGATCTATCATGGTGTTTCTTTCTTTGCCTTTCTAGACAATTTGAAGAAGACGGACACTGAACTCGACCCTCGCGATAAAGACGGGTTGAAAGCCATTGCATTGCCCCTGTTTGTTTTTATTCTTATATGCATCGTAATTGCAATTATAAAATCGAAGCACAGACGACGAAAAGTGGGGATCGCTGCTAACGAGAAACCAAGAACTTTTGAACCTAGTGATAACCCAATTAATATTCGGTTCAAATCGCTTATAGGACGGGGCAGTTTCGGAGTGGTCTGGCGCGCTATCCTTGATGACGTAAGCGTAGCTGTAAAGATTTGCCCTGTTGAAAAGCACGAGAGATGGGAGAAAGAGCGAGGAATACTCAGCTACGAGGCAGAGCATCCAAACATTGTGAAAATGATTGACAGTGAAATAAGAAAGATTAAAGAAGAAACTGCCCTGATTATCATACTTGAACACGTGGATAATGGTGACCTGCGAACTTTCTTAATGGAAAATACTTTAAACATCGATAAAGCATTATACCTCTTGAGAACACTGCTTGAAGGATTAGCTTTCATGCACTCCTTTAATTGTTCTTATGGAAATATGAAGAAGGCAATTGTACATAGAGACATGAAGAGTTCAAATGTACTAATATCAAGCACAAAAGGTTGTGTCATAGCCGACTTCGGACTGGCCTTGAGTTTGAATTTCAAAGAAAAATTGGCGCCACAAGATGCAAAATCAAAGGTATCGCTTTAAACTGGAATTTCTGTCACCAAAGTCCCATCATCCAATGCGAATTTGTCCTCATTTGTTGTCCTTGATGCTGCTATTTCCAGCGCCAATTTCTCTCAGAATGAACAATGTTGTTAGTTAGAAAAAATATCGTACACACCACAGCATAAAACTCAATCCTTAAGATCCTTCATTTTTTAAATGTGAATCAACGTTGTTTCTAGAGAGAGAAGGGGTGAATAAGCCTTTGAAAACTCAAGTTAGTGTAACAAGACTTTTGTTTTTAAGGCTTGTTACATTTTTAAGGTTTTTTTTAAGTAAAAATTGTTCATCTGAAAAACGTATCATCGCAGCTTAAATAATAGCAATCTCACAGCTGTTAGCAAAAACAACTTAAGTTTTAAATGGTACCACATAGCCTGCCATTGTAAAAACTCTTTCCCTGGACATAAATTTCTCCTTACTTTAGAATCTTTCAGGCCCCTGCGGAGGCAGTGTTGCTTTTTACGGCTGCAACAAGACATTTCAGCAAAACGAAAATCGACGGAAGGTGCTGAGATGGAGGCCTTCCACATTTCGAAACGTCTGTTTCTCCGGAGAATTCAGTGTCAAATTACTTGAGATATTTTGCAAATAAATGCAAGTTGGAACCAACAGAATAAAGGATATTTTATAAACATAGATATATTTTAGGCTTAACCTTCCTTCATAAGACGTATCTTATACCAAAAGATTTAGATTACCAAAATAACTCTTTGCTATGTTGTTTCAAAAAGTGCATTTTAATTCTTTTCACACGTGAGGAAGTTTCGACTGCTGCCAACTTTGAAACATCCGATGAAAAATAACCTTTAGAGAAAGGCAAAGGTCGAAGTTATCAGCAGTGAAATTTCAACAAAAATTTGTGATATTTGGATTGATTGAAAAACATTCTGCGAATTGAGCAAATTCTGTTTGCTCTTGGCCTTTGGTGTGATCAGCTGGAAGTGTTCTTGAATTGTATTGCCTAGGCACATCTCGTAAAAGATTTTTATTAACATGTTCAGCGCAGACATAATTGAACAACTATTTAACCTCTTAAAACTGTTTGGCTGGGCCACAAATAAAGGGTTTTGCATCGCAGGACGAATAACGAAGCCTCTGTGCCAGACCGATCTGGATGATTTGGGATTGAAGCAATTGCGTTTGCTATGATTATGCGAAGAATGAGCTGAAATATTTTAATACTCAAATTTTTTTTACGCTTTCTTCAGGTTGGCACTTCGAGATATATGGCTCCTGAGAAACTGACGGCCTCGATCTCACGCAGTAATCAATGGAAATCTTTGTGCTTGATTGATGTCTACGCGACAGCATTGGTTGCTTATGAAATCATGAAAAGGTGCTCGTTTCAGTGCGATAATGCAGAGGCTGGTATGAACATTTCGTGACACCGTTCTGAGCACTTTTATAGCTTAACTAGGCTCTTTGACGATAAAACGACAACCGTAGCGTTTTATCATAGATGATATCATAATAAGTTTAAGAAGCAAATAGGCCCATCTGATGTGAATAGAAAGATGATTGATAGCAAGCTAGTATAGTGTAGTAAGGGGTCAGGTCATATTTAATCTACCTTATTTGCAGCTAAATGAGGTTGTTATTTTCAAAGTAAAATTCTCGTCCCGCCTGCTTTCTGCTATTTTAGGCAAAGGAGAGAGGGAACTGTTATTTCTGATTCGACGAATAGTAAGATAACGGTCAAGATAACGGGTTAAAGTTCTGACCAGCTGCATATCATGAAATTGTTAAACAAGGGGCCTTCAGAACGAGATAAAAAAGACCTTTTTTGCGTTGCTAGGGGAGTACATACCTGAGGATTTCAGTGTTCCATTTCTGGAAATCGTTGGACCACACCCCTCGAACGATCAAATGAAGAAAGTGGTAGTTGATGACAACGTGCGGCCTTCTATACCATTGGAGTGGTACAAACGCAAGGTATGCCGAAGGGTATTTGTCGTCTCGGCCATGCGATGCGGCTGGTGCGATGTGGCTGGTGCGATGCGGCTGGTGCGATGCGGCTGGTGCGATGCGGTGTCTAGTGCGATGCAGCGCCTAATGCGACGCTGCCAGAGCAACACGTCAGAATCCATTTGAATGCCTGGCTAGATTTTTTATACTTAATATTGCCTTTAAATGGAATAATAATGATGCTTTCCCTAGTCTCAAAATCAACGCGCGATGCTTCTTTGCTTCAGTTTTCATGTATCTACACGAAAAGTTTTTTTCCATTAGCGTACATAGTGGTTGAAGCTTTTTTTATAATTTAATTTGTATGTTTAGGCATACCTATAAGAATCCAGATAAAAAACTGAGAAAGAAATTTAACATTACCATTGGCGTGGCCACGGAAATGAAGAGGGAATCTCTTTACTGTATGTGTTTTACTTTTGTAGAGAAATTTGGTGCCAGCGCATCGTCGTCTCTTCATTTGACTTTTTGATTTTCTCCAATTATCTTAAATCAACAGAAGATTAAAGTTTCCATTAACATATTGTAAACATGAAAACCGATCTATACCGATTTGCAAAAAAGTAAAGAAAGTTTCACTTTCAGACATTACATTTCCAAATTGGACCATCCCATTTTTAATAATTTGTTTGAATTCACTTAGAATATCGGATGTTTTAAGGTCATTTGGTAATTCGTTCCAGGTCATTTGGTAATTCGTTCCAGGATTTGTGTTTTAATGCCTTTTCAAGCGGCAACTATGCATTACCTATTTGATTTGCGTAGGGCAACTCACCTTAAACTGCTGGGTTATAGTATGATCTACAATAGAATCTCACACCGTGCATATATAAAAGTTGTATTATCTATTAATACTATTAAGAACTGCCTTTGGAACGGAACGCAGTGGGTTGATTGAGCCATAGTTGATATAGTGTTCACTATACCAACTATGGTTGAGCCTACAAAAGTTCAGTCATCTTCATGCTTTAGTTTATCAGGCCAACAGACGTAAAAAACGCTGGCTTTGAGCGGCATGCTTGGACAGGACTCTCTGCGTATAATGCTTTCTGCAATTGCAAACCTATACAGCATATATATTTGTACTCTTTACCTTTCAGGCAATGAGTGACGTAGGCAGTTTGATTGTCAAATGCTGGGATAGAAATCCAACAAAGCGGCTGACGGCAGACAAAATGCTGCAAAAAGTAAAGGATGTTTACTTGGATCATGAGATGCGGCCGACGTATTGTGCAGTCGAGCTTCATTCCGCCGGGGAGGAGGACTCGTTGCTTGGAGACCCCATAATAGAACTTGATTGCAATGCATCACAGGCTATTATTTACTCAAATAATTTAAATAGAAGTACTTATTTATAAGAATTTAAGTAGAAGTACTTTTTCAAATTGCGATTGGGAAGCGAAGTTTCCATTTTTGCAGAACTTTTTAAGAACCCTTGCTGTAATCCCAGTAACGTCGGCACGAAGATCCAAATCACCTTTGGACATTATTAGTACCTGTCCCTGATATTCTTTGAAAACAAACAGAAGACACCCCACTAAATATTTGTATCTAATTGACCTGCCAAAAAATAGAACGAGGATGAGAGATACAGAAATCAGATATGGATATATCATTAAAATATCCGCTAATTTATCTAACATTGAGTTATCTATTTATATATTTATTTTGTATTATATTTATATCAAATTTTGTACTTGCAAAACTTTTGAGATATTTTCTATGTGGTAAAAAATTTTTAAGTGTGAATTCTGCAATAAAATCAGATGAGTTGTTTCTTAATTTATTCTCTCTCATTTTTGATATTCTCTGGGCATTTCCAAGCTCCATGCGGACAATTAGGCAGGAATGAATTTGGATTGATCACCAGCAACGAGTCAATTTATAGAGCCAGCTGAGAACTGAAAAATTACTGAAATAATTCATCAGGCAGCTCATTTTTGTTTGGATAGCTTGATTGAGTTCCTGGTTTTGTGACAGTAACTCCAGCAATATGACATGCACGCTCAACAATTTGAACAAATGGCAAGCTGTCTCCTCGAGTCGCGTGGAAATATGCAAGTGTCCCTACGAAGGCATCTCCAGCACCCTAAAAGCAGAAAGAATATTCAGCAAAGATTATGTGTTTTCCTCATACAAATGTTAGCTAAAATGCACCTTCAAATCTTCCATGACAACCCAATTATTATCACGCTCCTGGAAGAAAATCCGTCTAGGGGTCTCTTCTACATGAATGCATTATCAAATAAAAATTTTCGATTTGTTTGTGAGACTGTAGCTGCATTCATCTAAAGGTACAGGACATCTGCGAAAGTAAAGTCAACAAGCTTCTTCGAAGAGCAAGGGACTTCCTGGAAACAAGGGACTTCCTGGAAGAGCAAGGGACTTCCACAATTTCTCCCGGTGTTCATACGAGAATACAAACAATGTAAAAACGTACTCGCAGAAAACACAAGTTTTAAAAACAAACAAATCACGTCCGGAAATCTCCCAAAAATGACATCTCTCAATAACTGACATCTTCCAAAACAATAACTGACATAGAATAACTTCCAATAACCGACAACTTCCAAAAAGTCTGTTGTTGGAAGATGTCAGTTATCGGGAGGTGTCCTCCTATTTTGGGCGATTTTCTTCGATGGAAGGTGATCTAAATTTGGGAGTGTTCGTTTTGGGAGTTTTCTGTTGATAAAAGTTTCACAATATTGTATCAGGATTTAGTTTTTAGTACATACTGTTGTGTCGACGGCCTTAACTTGTTTAGCACTTATGAAGGTCGGTTCCTCCTGACTTGATTCGGCGCAAATGGCTCCTCGGGAACCAAGGGTTATTACAACTTTGCAACATCCACTCTTGAGAAGACCCTTGATAGCTTTCTTCAGCTGTTCATCATTGGTAACAGGCAAACCTGTAAGAATTTCAGCCTGCAAAAAAAATACGAGGTCATGACAGTATGACAGAGAAAGTAACTCATATGAGCGAACGTCAACAAACAATTGTTTCTCTCTTCCAGTTCATTAGATAAGGAGCTTTTAACAACATATCAAAACCAATGTAACAAAGATTATAAATAAAATAAACAACAGAACAATATTATAACAATAGTTATATCATAAAATGACAGGATAGTGATCTTCGATTCCCCTTTTTAATGACTAATAAGGTAGAGAAAAGAAGAAACATAAAGATGAAATAAAAGATGCAAGGGATAATTAATTGCTCAGTTTCCCTGTTAGCCTTGCAGCGAATTGGAATTTGTTCTGACAACATCTTCGTAATGGAAAATGGGGCTACGGACAACCATTATATACAACGTCGAGCAACGGGGACTAATTTTTGAAGAACCCGAGGAGAGGCATCAGGTGGAAGATGCTTAGATTTGTTGAATCAACTTATCATGATTAAAAAATCGAATTGAAATTTGAAACACGTTATACTTGCCTCAGTTTCGTTGCATATAACTATATCACTGTTTTGAAGAAATTCTTTCGAAAGACCTTTGATGGCAGGGGCTGGGTTGAAAATTGTCGTTACTGCAATAAAAAAATACCTATTACATCTGCATGTAGAAAATGTGGATCGAAATATCTCTTTATGCAATTGGAAGTTTTATAATGATATGATCTTAAAGCAAAAATACAAATCTTGGTTCCCGTCTTTAGTTTCATGACACTTTCCCTTCCAGTCACCAAACAATTGACTCTTTATCAACCAAAAGTTTACATAATTATGATTCTTTATTTTCAAACCATGCAAAAAAATATGCTCCATTAATAGCAAACTCATAAAAACTAAATAAAAACAGCAAATGAAGTAAGTACAAACCATGATTTTGTTTCGCAATCTTTAGAGTCTCAAGTGTAATATCTGCATCGATTTCCAACTGACAAAGGACGACTTTAGCATTTCGGATAACAGACATCGCATTTCGAAGGTCTTCTTTCGTTATCAGGTCATTTGCACCCTTAACTATAACTATGGCGTTTTCACCTTGAAAATTAACGATTTCATAAATTATTTACGGCAAGTGAAAGAGCATAGAACAATCAATTGCAGAAAGGGAAGAAATGTTTTGGCCAATTTTAAACATTTATCCGAGCCAATTTTTTATCAATTTTGTTATGTAAAGACGATTGTCATTACATCAAAATGAGCATGATAACATTGTATATAAAGCAATACAAATAACACAAAACTTTGATATTATTGCTAAAATATCAAGCAATATCCTACAGTATTGATACGTAAAGGAAGTCACCATCATCATTAACGTGGATGGGTGCAACGCCAGTTGTTGTGTCTTTAGTTACCTTCAAGTGATCTGTGAAAATAAGAATACTATGAAAAATAATAACTAACTTTCTACATCTGGGGCATCAAACTAAAAGTCCGTAAGCCACATCCAGTCCCTGATGCACTTCTATTTGGCCCTTGAAATAAGGACATTGTCTATTATCAATTGCCCTTCAGTTGGAATTGCTAGCACGCACCACAGAGACACCAAAGAAAATGCTCCATTTGAAAGAAAAATGCTTATTTTCATCACAAGCAATGTTTTCTAGGTAATAGCTATGCTGTCTTGTCTGAGAGCTATATTTTTACTTTCACTGCACTGCTTTCAACAGAAATTTCCTTTAATGTTAATACAATATGGCATTATTCATAAGTTTAAAATTGTGCTGGATGATGTATCAGACAAACAAAGACTCCTGAATCTCTGAAATAAAGACTACTGAATCTCTGAAGGCCACGAGGACTTTAACTAATAAAAATAACTATTGAAAACTAGCAATGATATGACTGCAAAAACAAAACGCAAAAATATAAAAGTTTTTTTCAATTAAACACACCAATATTAATTCCATGCTTTGAAAAATTTTTAAGATACATTTCTCCAAAGGAATCATCTCCAACCTGTACGAAAATAATTCCATAATTCATAACGATTTACAGAATTCAAGAACTCAAAAGATATGTGTTGGTAAAAGCAGGACCCTATAAGGAGGGCGTTCCTAATAGGAGAATCTCTGTGCCGGTGAAGTGTCAACTTCCGGGTAAAATACAAATGTTACAAAGAGCGTGATGACAGGGGCACAGGGAGCATCATAGCTTTCTGGTACAAGGGTCTATCGGAAAATCGATGCTGCTGTTGGCAAATCTAGCAAATCATCAATCGCCAGGAAGGCGTGGCCATGAAATTGGCGTCTGGCAAATAGATTAGCTAAGGAAAGCCTTCCTACAGAGGGTCCTATACAGAATGTCACTTTCTAAGCTCTTTAAGTATTCCAGTCTCTTGTCTTTTTGTTAAGAGTTGCTCGTAGCCTGGTTTTTAAACGACCACTCGCATTCTACCTAAGTGGCACCTGACATAAGCAAGTGTATATTACTGGTTACTCAGTGTTGTTGAGGTTACAGCCTCGTAAGCACACACATACATGAATAATGATCTCCGTCGCATATTCCGATGAATACATAAGGCAACCTTGTCTGCGTCCTCGATATTTGAAATGACAGGCCTCGGTGGGCCTTTGGTAGGCTTACATGTCACGTCTTTCTCCGCGCTCTCTTCAAAGTGATGACAAATCTTCTGCAGCAACTGCTCAATATTTCTTGCTTACTAGCAATCACCTCTAGCTCTCTATCTATCTAGCATTGCTGCATGCTTAAGTGATTCTCTTTCTATGGATTTTGCAAAACATGGCTCATTGTGGTACAAATCTTTTGTTGAAAACCTTTTTCGCTCTATTTCGTTCACTTTGTAATTTCCTTGAATTATGGCTGTATGATGAACTTTTCCTTCGCTTTTCATCTGCTATGGTCAACTTTGGCACAACGGCTGGATGAATGTGAAAGCCTTTGAAATAGCGGGCATAATCCCCATGGAGAGAATGGGAATTCCTAGTTTGAACTTCTTTGAACACTTTTGATTTCCTATGTTAAATCAAGTAAAGTATAGACTTAAAGGCAACCAATGCTGTTAACGAACTTACACGCCCTATCATAGATGCTTTTGCACCAAGTTTGGCAGCCATTACACATGCATTTGCTCCTTTACCTCCACATCCAATGGCAAACTTATGTCCAGTTAGTGTTTCACCGGCTCTTGGAAATCTTGGAACATAGCTAGAGATAAGGAGATTGTCATAAAAAGTCATTAACAAAATTGAAGCACTACAAGAACCTGAGGCTTGTTTAATTATGTTAAGTCTAGAGGGAGACATCTGTAAGATTAGGAGGGGGGGGGGGGTTCAACTTCTGTTTGGAAAGAAAGGATATATTTGCCATTCTGTTTGGAAAGAAAGGAGGCTTTTTGCGCCGATAAATTTCTATTGTATACTTGGAAATGTACCATGTCTTAGAAATTTATCTACTATGTTATCCACATGGAAAATATATCAAACAAACCTTATTAAATCAACATTGCACGACCCTACGACAACAACGTCATAATTCTCGGAAGCCATTTTCCAACTTCGGTTTCGAGTTGGGCCTCGATGTCAAAAGGAGACATAGAAGGAAGAAAATTTGTAGGAAAGGCAGTCAGAATACAAACAAATTTGATAAAGAAAAGATGTAGCTTTATTTTTTACCACGCAATGAAATTTTTGAAAACTAGCTCATTCTTTTGTGTCACGTTTATAGCATTTATTTTGCTTGTATCATGGCTCCTTTCAATGACACTGGAACACTTCTCTGGTCACCACAATATATTCTACCCAGGAAAGAAGGATACGATTCCATCTAAACACATTTTAGAAGATTCAGAACAAATCAGGGATAAGTTTGAAAATGTTTATACATTTGTTCAGGTAAGCACATAACATATAATAAATGTTACCATTTTGGTAAATTGACTGTTGGTTTAGTTTGATGATGTGTCAAGTATAAGCCAGTTATATGAATTCCATGGCAGCTGCATGCACTCCCGAGGAAATTTTTGTAAAATAACGGGTGTATTCTTGCACGCCCGAAAGATGGGCTTGTTTTGGACGCGTTTTTGGATGTGGCTCAAATTGAAAAGTTTTTCAATTACGGCAAAATGACTTTCTTAATTTGTTTACAACTGAGATTGGAAAAAAAGTGTGTGATTCTAAATTGACTGATCCACTTGAGATTAAGGCTGCCAAAAAGTTTCAGTGGGCCTTGGTCAAAACTGAAAAATAAAGCTCCTTGCAAGCGAAGTGAGCAGAAAATTTTTTCACCCCATTCTTTGTTTCAATTGTTTCTTTGTCACATTTTACTTTTATTTCCATTCTATAAACGGATTTCTATCATTTGACTATAAACAGGCTAATTCCATTCTTAAAATGGAATTCCTTTCTTTATGAGGTTCCCTAGACATGAAGGCCCTTAGGCAATTTGCCCCTTGTCCCCCTCTCAGTGGCCCTGCTTTAGATCATCCTTTTTTTAACATGTTATCGCAAACTTGACTAATAGATAGATTTCTTGTTTAAATCCCTAGATCTCTGATATTCACATTAGCAAATTCCGACTTGTGTCTGAAATTATACCACAGTTGAAATCACTTTGCAAAGAATACCTTCCACTCATACAGCCCAAAGTTGTTTTGGTGACGGGTAAAAGATCATTTTTTTAAAATCTTCCATAATTTTTAGTCATCTTACCTAGCTTAATGGCTCATCTTAGCAAATTCACTTTTGTGCTGTATCTAAAAAAGAGGTGACTTCCTGAAGAATTCAAAATTAACTGGTTATTCTCTGCCATTCCTATGGCTACATTTGTTTTGGTGAAATTTCATTCCAAAATAGAAAAAGAAATGATTCTGAAATAGAAATGTCATATAGAAGATATAGAAGATAGAAATGTCATTCTGAAATAGAAGATATCTGATGACATTGATAAAGAATATTAAAGGTATTTGCTTAATTGCTCAATTTGAAAAACAGTAACTTTAAGCTCTGAATTTGATAACAGTGATATTTCATCGACTCCAGAGTACAAAAGTATGTTGTTTTCAGGTGATATAACTGATGCCAAAGCAAAAGACAACTTAAAATCTGAACAATATATTGAAGAATGGAGGTCCTACAATGAGTTGGTCAGTTATTGTCAAAAACATGTTGACACTACTTGGCTGGATGTGAGAGGAAACCATGGTAAATAGTTATATTTACCATAAATCCTCAAATAAGCCACCATGCTTGAATAAGCCCCCCCCCCTTAAATAAGCCCCCACCTAAAAAAAGTCATTCTTGCATATAGGGGGAGGGGGGCTTGTTTGAGGGAAGCATAATTTCAGAATAACATCTTATTTCAAGAAAGCCCCTGCAGGACAATAGCTATACAGTATTGCTTCCTTTGACTAGAGACCAAAATTGAAAAAAGGGACTTTTGTGATGATAGAAAATTGTAATATTTGTTAGATCTTCACACATTTTGTAATTTTTGACCTTTCTACAAGTCGGCCTTTGTGGAAAATACTAAACTTCGAAATAAGCCCCCCCTTGAATAAGCCCCCCTCAAATAAGCCCCCACTCAAAGATTAGTTTTTGCCCTCTGGGCTTATTTGAGGATTTAGGGTATATAGCAAGTTACTAACTAATTTACAGCTGCTTTATAAGGTAGTTATTTCTTCCAATTAATCCTCATTCCAGTTTACTAAATGTCCCTGGAATTTTATTGCCATGGGTTTTTTTAATTTTTTTCATTGTTTTCAGAGCTTGACCCTTTACTAGTTTAAGCACCTAGAGACTAGTATAAAAATTTACGATTAAAACATGGTCTGGTTAGAGACATTCCTATTTTTTGCTTTTTTAAAAATGATGTCAGTGTATTTTGTCCTTATTATTGTGCTAAATGTCAGGTAGTCCTTCAACCATTTTTATGTCAAACTTTCGAATCATACCAAAAATACTCAAAAATGTATATATATGTATTAAGAAGCTCATAAGCCAACAACCTTTTCACCATTCTTAGATCATTTTCTTTTTTTTCTTAGATGACTTTGCTGTCCAAAGCAAAGATAGTCCAAATAACTTTTATCGCAAATTTGGATCATCTGGCAGGCTTTTTGGGAATTCATCATCCTTTCAGTTTGTCCTAAAATTACCATTTGGAAAGTATTCATTTAATGGCATTGATTTGGCACCTGAGCCTGGACCTAGAAGACCATTTAATTTCTTTGGAGTCGTCTCACAGGTGTATTTTTATTTATTTTGTTCTTGTTAAAGAATGATCTACTTCTGATCAAACAATTGATTTGATAAAACAATGATTTTTCCAGACTTTTCCAAATGATTGGCTCATGTTTATTTATTGAAACCATCATTTCAACTGTGTTCTCCTTACTGGACACATATAACAATTTTTTGTTTATTCTTAATCTGTAAAGACCAGCAATTTAAAACCCTTTGCTGCATAGATTTAGACGTGGATCTAGGCTTTTTGCCTGAGCCCTCCGTGTATTTGATTTATTAAACATCCACTCTCCAATAAATTCTCCTCTCCAATAGATGTTCTATAAACCAAATTTGTTAAATGAATAAAGACTCTCAAATAAAAGTCATGCAGATTATAAAAGTTTTAAAAACATTACATTGTGCAATGACAGCAAGAAAGAGGATCCATTTGAAATACCAGATTCATAAGAAGCATCCATCTACTGAATTTTATGCAGATAAAGAGGAGGATTTTTAAAAAAAATTATTAGATTCTGTAATTCTCAGGGTGTTTTATAGATCAAATTTGGTATCTATGCAAGTTTTAAAATGAAATGACAATTTTATGCCATGGATGATACATCAGGCAAACACATTGAAAAAGAATGTTTCTCAGAAATAATAATAAAAACTATTCAATTGATGATGTTATATGCTCATATAGACATATTTATTGAAAAGGGAATGCAAGGTATGGATAAATCTTTTACATGCACGGTAGAAGGGTTGAGAAATATCAGGAGATAAAAAGCCAGCACTCAATATTGCATGGATATGTGCTGTATTGGTAAAGCACAATCAAGGTGGCAAAATTTGGGTCAGCTAAGTAATTAAAATCAAAAGTAATAAAAGCAATTTTTTTTCAGCAAGACATTGATAAAATTGCTGCAATAGGTGAAAGTAGCAAGCGCTGCAACATGTCCTTTTGGTTTGGACATTATCCCCTGTCAGTTATCAATGCACCTTCGAAAGTGAGACATATCATTCAGTAAGTGTTGACAATTAATTTTGCAGCATTGAAAAAATCAGCATTGTTTCTCTTGATCATTTCCTGTGAAATAAAGCTTGAGACCTTTAAAATTCAAATCAAAGTTCTACCAAGCACACTGGCTTTAAACCATCTGAATCATGACCTTTTAAAAGCCAGCTCTTAATTGGTTAAGGTACACTTAATTTGATAGATAGCTATCTATCACACAGGCGCCAGAGAGTCACAATAAATGGGTCATATTGATTAAAGGGCAGAAACCAAAAAGGGGTACCACAGGAATCTGTACTTGGACCCCAACTCTTTAACATTTATTTAAACCACCTATTCTATGCAGTGAAGGGCACAGACATCTGCAACTTTCAGGATGAAACCACTCTGTACACAATGGACATGAAAATAGAAAGTGTCACAACACGCATTGAAACTGACACAAGAAATATCATAAGTTGGTTTGCTGACAACCACATGACACCAAACGAGGGTAAATGTCACTCAGTGACTTTTGGGAAAATACCTGAGAATATCTGAGTTACCATAAGAAATGTATGTATCATAGAGAGTGAAATTGAGACTTCACTGGGTGTTTTCCTTGATGGAGAAAATAAGTTTTAAGATCTTGTCAAAAACATTTGTAAAAAGCCAGTCAAAAGCTTCTTGTCTTCCAAGAGTTTAAAATAAGTGGACAAAAATAAGTTAAGGTTACAGATGAAATCTCGCATTTACTCATAATTTATTACTTTCCATTAGTGTAGATGTTCCACGACCGACATTTGATTTATCAAATAAATGAACTCGGTGAAAGGGCCTTAAAAAATTGCTTATATCTAGACTGAACTTCTAGATAGAGACCGTTCTACTACCATCCATGAAAAAACCTACAGCTACTTGCAATCGAAGTTTTCGAAACTAAGAATAACTTAAATTCATCTTTTATAAAGGAAGTTTTTGAAGAAAAGACCACAACAAACGATCTACGAAACAAACGAGCTCACCAGTTACCAAAAATAAGAGCAAATGCATATAGAACTGATACCGTTAGATTCATGGGACAGAGAATTTGGGGAAATTGCCAATCGAACTAATAACTGAAATGCTCATTCAAAAAGAGCATAAGGTCGCAGAAACATCTAAAATGCAACTGTGGATTCTGCAAGGACTATGTACCAGGGTTGGGGTTTTAAAGTGTTTCTTCATATTTTGATATTTAGTTTTGTACTTTACTGTAGAAATAGAATTGTTATTGACCTTGAAAAGTTATTTAGTTAAATGGTTTGCTTGAAGTAGCGAATTTTGCTATGTAGCAGCACCAATGGACGAATCTTGGAAGGCTAAAGGCAGAGAGGAAAGAGACTGGTTATCTCCCTTTGTAATGCTTTTCACCAGGAACAAAAATGCCTTCTCTAACGGGCGCTTCTTCTGTGTATGGATTGTATGCAGAGCGCATCTTTAATTAGACTGTTATAATTTCTCAAAAGTCTTTCAATTCAATAACAAAATTATTTGAAATTTTACAAGTTGTCATGTCTTGATATATATTATTTTCATTGATTTCCTGAAGTTCTTAATGTTTTCAGTGAAATCAAACTTTTGTGAAATTCAATGTTTCCAACTCAGAGCTTTAATAAAACGGAGTCCTTCAAAGCCATCATAGTTTAAAGACAAATTTTTTTCTGCCTAGAACTGGTGTGGCATATCTTTGTGGCCATCTTCACACTCTAGGCGGATTGGTTCCTCGTATGTATGCGCGACCAGTGGAAGGGCATCTTGAATTAGAGGCTGGCGACTGGAAAGAAAATCGAAGGTAGGAAACAGAAGGCTGAATATCCCTGTTTGGGTATAGCTTCTACTGACACTGGCAGAGTTAATGAGAGGTGGGGAACAACAACCCCTTCTTGATTTGATGACTCTGATAATTCCCAACAGCAACATCAGATATTTTGGCTTTATTCTCCAACTTTTAAGTTCTTACCGTTATTTCTTGTGTTCTAACTAATCTTGTTTAACGTGGCCAGCTGTCTGGTTTCTGCGAATTTAATAATTTGTGAAAATTAATTTGGCCAGGACTGAGAATGTATTGTGATGACAAAAATGGATTTTTACTCGTTTCTACACCTGATCGATGATTGGCCTTTACCTCAATTATTTCGATCCCATTTCAGAAGGAGATTGTTGCTGCAATCGCTATCCAAATCCCACAGAGTCTTCCATGGAAATTGCATAGGTGTAAAATCACTGTTTTCTTCCATCCTGCAGCAGAAGCAAGGAAATTCAATAGAAAAATCACACGAAGACAAAACTCAATCTCTCAACAAACTGGCAAACTTTTATGCTAGTCTGTCACCATTATATTTGGTGCCAAAACAATAATATCATTTATTTAAATTTACCATTTAGCAAAAATTTAGTCCCCCAGCGTCTTTACCAGTATACATGTTGTTGATATGCATTAGAGACAGCATTTTATCTGCATGCAGGTACAGAATAATGGCTGTTGACCACGACATATTCTCATTTGTTGATGCAACGTTTGGAGAGATGCCTGTTGTCTTGGTAACAAACCCAAAAGATGCCAGATTTGTGGCACCTAGTCATGAATCAGTAGAAGGAATTATCAAATCAACACATATCAGGTGCAATCAATCACTTGAAATTACCAAACTTAAAAAGATTACCATTTGTAACTTTTGCCAACATTTTGCACTTTATTGTAAGATATTTTACTATTCATGTTATTTCTTCGTTTGCATGCCTTTTCGCTCTGCTTTTTGCGCAATGAAAGCATTAAGAGAGTTGTGTGTGACCGCTAGTCATGAATATAATTTGGTTGAAATATTTTCTTTCTTAGGGCCTTTGAAATCAAACTGCCATTTTTTGCTTGTTAGAAACATTTCTATTCGCAATAATCGATCTCTTTTTGCTTTTCTTCTTTAGGTTATCAGTTTAACCACCGAGCATATCCTCTATAATTTTCTATTTTCTTTATTATGTCTTTAAATTATGTATTATCCTTGTGTCTTTGGATTTAGTTTTAATATGGTATTATTTTCTGTAGGTTCTTTGTTTTCAGTAAAGTGCAACCTTCCACTGTTAGTGTTTATATCGACAACCAACCGATATGCAAAAACGCAAAGCACTCTGGACCTTCTTTTTATGTGTGCCCATGGAAACCAAAGGAGCACGCTTCTGGACTTCATGAGATCCTAATATCTGTCACAGTAAGTTATTTGTCTTTTCTTTTCGTTGAGAACATATCATTATCAACGACTTTGCAACGAGCCTTTTTAGACAGCAGAAATCTCCAAAATATAACGAAGAACAGCTAGCAAAATCTAACATGCTGATGACAAAACTTAAAACAGTAACTGGGCAAGTATACGACTGCTTCAGGTAGTAACCCAACGTGATCGCAGCCTCCCTATGATTGATGTTTCTTTGAACCTGAATTTTCAGGGCTGAGAGAGCATAAAACAAGCATTTTCTTTGCTATCTTCTTTTTCTTATATCATTTCAAAAGCTTATAAGCTTTTAGCAAGCATGGAGATTTTGGAACAATTTGTAACAAGTTTAAGAACTGTAAAACAAGAACACTTATTTTTGAAGAAGAACTCAATCCTCCGAAGAAGAAGTTATTTTTCTGGTTTTGGCACTTCATAGATATTGTTTAAATATAGAAATTAAATTATAACTCTTTTTGGTCCCCTAAGCTGCTCAATAACTTTTGTTCCTGTGTTTAGTTTTCATTCATGTAAAGCATTCCGTAGCTACAAACTTCTAGCTTAAAATATACGTGATAAAAAGTTGAAAGAAAATATTTGATAAACAATATCATCAAGTGAAGCTTTTGGAGGGGGGGGGGGCTGGAGCTCCTCTCTCCCAACAGAGATCAAACACTGAGAGTCTGTGTAGGTGAATCACAGGGTAAAGTAGGTTTAATCAGAAAGCGATTTTGTGTATGATCTCTGTATCGAGAATACTTTGAAGTGGGTCTATTGTGGATCTTGAATGATTGCCTTGATAAATAGAAAAGAATCTATATCTTGTTGAGATTCATGTGTTGCAATGTTCATTTTGACTTTGTAAAGCGAATCGCACTTGTCAGTGGCCTTATAACGGGTCATTCACCTTTGCTTGGTTTGGTTTTATCACTCTTGTTCCATTCAGACGTTTAAGTTTACAATGCTTGAGAACCCAGAAACTTTATTCATTTGCATCAACTTAGAATATCTACTGTGTGGAGTATGGGGAAACTATTTCTTTATTATGTTTAAAGAGATCCTATCAAGATCCTAATTGAAAAGTAAAGCTGTTTTGCGGACTCGTTTCCCTTTGCCGAGAAGAAACGAACGAAGACAAATAAATTTGGTGATGCCGTGCCGTCAGAATCGGCCTTACAGGAGCTTCATAAAACATTAATGCGTCTTACCCTGTTAAGTTGGAAATAATTTTAATGAACAACACGCAATGATATATAAGTGCTTGCATATCCTTGATACCACGATTCTGATCTTTTGAATTGTGATCATTAAGTCACATTGAATTTGGCTTAGGGCTGACAACATTTCTTCGAGTTTGGCTCTAGTTCATAGGAAGCTCTTTGTGGACCTATCCAATATTGGAAAACAACCGAGAGTCTCTGATTCGAATTCTGAAAAGCTTGAACGTGTAATGTGAATTGATAGATCGGCAGCTGCTGTGACCGAATGTGCTCATCTTGTGAACTGCCAACGTTTGAACTCGTAGCTTCACGTACGAAGGCAAAGTCTTGCTTCATATATGAAGAATTAAAAATTGAAGCTAATGTACCAATTGAGCAAAAAATTACCAAAGCTGCAATTAAACTCTAAAAGACAAATGCTTCATACTATATAACTTATCAAATTATAAAAAAAAGAGAGGTGGAACGCTCTCTTTAAATATTCTGAATATTTGGCACGGAGAATCCAACGGTGGCACTGTCCACATTAGAAGTAATTCCCTTTTATCCTTGAAATATCAAGATAATGTGTAACAAAATTGAAGTAGATGAAGCTCTTTGAATATTTTTACTTGCTTTTTTGCAGTTTTTTCTTCAGTCGCCGCCAAGTGTTTTTTAATATAATTACGTCGCTTTGTTTTGATGCTAAATGCCTCTTTTTCCTTAACAGGATTCGTTACAAGGAGAGTCGACGTTCAGATTTCCTTTTGCATTGGATGGCTCCATTCCTTTGCTCGATATGATCCCGGCCTTTATTATGCTGGCCAATTTTTGCGTCTTGGTGTGTACCTTTTATTTGTCACTAGTCGTTTGGGTAGCAGTGATCTGTTTGGGCATCAGTGAATTGAATTGAGAATTACTTATAACGCGGGACAAGCGTCGGCAGAAACATATAGTGTTGCTATCCTGTAGAGCCCAGATCCCATTTTAACTTCCGTATGCATGATTTAACAAATTCTGCGTTTTGGAAGCAAGATCAAGATTAGAAAGAATTCAACGTATTTGATATTTTACGTTCAACAAGCATTCGTTCTATTTTCCAGTTATTTTTATAACGAGGCATTAAACAAATGGGTGCAAGCAGAGTTTAAGTAGGAGTAAATGCATATAAACCCTTTTTCACAGAAAAGAGCAAATGATTTCTAAATTCACTGCTGTTGGTAAAGACTTTGTGTTTGGCTGTTCTTTTTGTAACAATTAGTTTGTTTCGAAAGTTTTATATTTATAACGGGGTCTTAAATTAATTGATTATAAGATGTGATCGGGTGTACTTTTGTGGGGATATAGATCCCTTTTTTCAAAAAATTGCACGAATTTGCGTTTGGCTATTTACTAAAATAAAAATTAATGTTCAGTTTCCAGTTATATTATGGCAAGAAAGCTCACTTGACCGTTTCTGGTCCCTTGCCAGTTTGCAGCTTACTCCCACCCATCTTTCTCCAACGTCCAAGGATCATGCCTCCACTCTTTCTTTATTTCTTTTCCCAGGCCAAAATGATGTTCTGTATGACTTGGTTTGTCACTGTGTTGCTTCCACTTTACATGCGGAGGAAGGAATCAACTACATCACGTGGTATGACTTTTACTGAACAGGGTCTTGTTTTTTACGATAAACAACAAAAAGCTTTAGGCAGCTGATAGCGATTTCCCTTCTTAATTTTAGATCGTATGCATAATGACGTCATTTGACGATAATTTGCAATGCATTGTGGTAGTTGTATTAGCAGGCGCTTCAATTTGTTTACGTTTTCCTTGATATTCGCCAATCAAACTTCATATTCGCTTTTCAAAAATGGAAAATAGCAAAGAAAATGAAATTCCATGAAGACGATAACCCTCAATATTTTTGACGGGGCATCAGTAGTTCCAAACCAACAGCAGCCATTGAAGAAAGTAAATACTGGGAAGTTGGTACAGTTGTCTCCCAAGTCTGGTTGTAAACGGAGCTAAATTGAATAGCTTTGCATATTTGGGTCTAAATGTTATCTGACTTTAAGCAAGTGGTGTGTGTGTGTGACTTTAAGCAGAGTCGACTGTAATGACGAAGCTACTGGGCCTACTAAAACTTATTCGAGGGGAACACGTTTATGCGGCGGATTTTGTTTTTGCTTACAACATTTTACCAATAGCAAGAGAGACAGAAATCTTTTGTTTTATTCATTTCCAGATGGCGAAAGTTAGTGTTTTTTGTTACGAAAGGCCTTTGGTGCCATCAGGCAAAATGCTTTTGCTTTCAACAAGCTGGTCATCAATATGTGACATATAAAAACTTCGAAGATGCTTTCAAATCTTTCGTCCAGCCATGTTTTCTTGTTCGTGGACAATGATAGGCCCATCGCCTTGCTTTACAGCACAGAGTCACGGATTTCTCGCGGTATATAATGGCGTGCAAGAATATTGAAAAAGCTAGGGCTACCGTCTTCTTGGAAAATTTGCTCATTTTTCTTAAAATTTTTCCATTTCAAAAGCGAGTATGAAGATTGACTGGTGAATATCAAAGAAAGGCGAGGCGTCTGTTACTACAACTACCACAATGCATTGCGCGTTATTGTCAAATGACGTCATTATGCATACGGTCTATTAAGTTCTGGGGTTGTTAAAAATAAGCAGCTTGGCATCTTTGACTAATCAGGCACTGTAATGTGAAATTTCGGTGCACGGTGAAACTTTTTGGTATTCCCAAGATAATCATACTCTTTATCAAGACCTAAAGCTCTGGCAAAACCAATTTATTGGTGATCTCGTCTCACAGTCACTGCCTTCTATATTACTGCAAAAATGTTTGTTAGCCGTACACGTGATAAAATTAGTACTGTACAAAAAAGTTGTTGGTTCCTATCTCATTCACAAAATATTCTTCTTCGCTTATTCAGAATGTTTCATTCATTCTTTTATTTATCAACAAATTTTATTATTTGGTTCCTGAGTTGAAATTTTTGTTGGATTCCTGTTGCAAACAAATTCTTCTCCTTCCTTTGCTAAAGCCACAAATATCTGGCTCTTTCTGCGATTTCGTGCACAATTTCCGTGTCCATGTTTTTGCTCTAAACCCACAGATACAAATGTATTTGGATTTTCAAGTGAACTATTTACGACTTCGAATGTTTATTTACAATTTAAACTGAAGTCCGGTGACAACATTGTCAAAACTCAAAGAGTGTTTCCTGTCAAAAACTTTTGTTTCAGGTTCTCCATCTTCGTAGTCTTGTCCTTCTTTTTGTAAACAGTCGTATTCAAGCTCTGTCTCCGAATAAACAGAACTTTGGTCTTCTGAGCTGAACTCTGGCGACCTTTCTTCCATCTTTAGTCCATTATAAAATGTTGCTGTATTGTTTGGAGAAGATCTCGTTTCTGTTGTTTTCCTCTGATTATGGCAGGCACAACAGTTCTCCGTCTCGCCGCAGCACGTAAAAATCTGATTTTCAAACGCCAATTCACGCTGTAAAAGGCCGCTGAAGTTTGTCGCTCCATAAACGCCACTCACTCTAAGCAGCTCAAGGTTATACTTTGAATCGTTAAGTTCGCGATTGTGAAGGCCTTTTCTTCTTTCTGGTTCTCCTTCGTAGTTACCCGATACACCACTAGTGTTCTCTGAATCGACAGACCAGCTTTCAAACAAACTTTTTTCGTCTGTTAGGTTCAATTCAACTTCCAGTGCTCTAATGTACGCAACAGTGTCTTGCAAGATTTTTTGATGACTTCTTTTTCCACCATTTGCTTGTGGTAATAATTCTGCTAGCTTATTAAACTCTTTTCCAATCGCACGAATTCTGTTCTTCTCTCTGATCGTCGCCTTTTGTCGCATTTCTGCCGAGTATTTTCTTCTGCCACTCTCGCTTCCTCTTTTGCGATGTTCAGGATACTTTAACGAAGACAGTCGCAAGTCGCCAGGGTCGTGCAAAAATCGCAAAAAATTTCTCCTTCCCTCTGCTTCGTTTTTATCCATGGCCATCAGTCTAGATTGTCCTCACCTTAGTTCTGTAGCACCCATTCAGGTTACAACCTATCATGTGTTGTGTCAACAATGGGGATTTTCCGCTCATGTTTCTCTTATTACATTTCTTATCTGGTAGGTCACGAAGAAACAGAGAACAACATTTTATTTCACCTCACAACATTAATAAATGCTTTTCCTTTCTGAACTACTACCATCTTTTAATCGCAAATCATTATTTATACTATACTATGCTGTTTAATATAATATAATATAATATAATATAATATAATATAATATAATATAATATAATATAATATAATATAATATATAATATAATATAATATAATTTATAATATAATATATATGATATATATTATATAAAAATAATATAATATAATATTATATAATAAAATATATATAATATAATATGATATGGTATAATATAATAATTATATATAAAATAATATATATAATATAATATAATATAATATAATATAATATAATATAATATAATATAATATAATATAATATAATATAATAATGCATTTGACTGCACTTGATTCCAATATTTAGTTCAGTATAAAAAACTTATTTACAAGGATTATGCGATTCCAAAATTTGATGTGCTAAAGTTATAATTAAGTGACACTTGCCGCTTAAAGAATTCGAAGAAAACAAAATATTCCAATGATTTAGTGATAATAAAGAAGAAAGTACATACGTAAATTGAGTGCTGATTTCGAAAAAAAGGTTTTCCGAAAAGGAAATCGACCACATCGTTTATGACGCCATTGTCCCATCGAATTCGAGCTGACATTTGGTATTCAGATGTCATTGAGAAGGCAAATATTGTCGAAGCACTTTAGACATCTCCTATTTGAAGCTATAAAGCACTTAACCCAGAATTCTTGCTATGTCAAAATCCGTTGTACTTCTACTGAATTCTATTATCTATCTACTGAATTTGTAAACAGTGCAACAAGCCTGTCTTTTATCAAGCAATGAATCAAGAAAAAAAAATTTCCAGGATTTTTGCATCAGCACTCCTGTTTAAAAATTTCACGGATCTTTCAAAGATAGTTTACAAAAAATGTGTAAAAAAACTTACACGCGAATGGGAGATTCAAGTAACTGAAGAATAACATTAGTCCCTGGTCCCGAACAACCATTTATTTTGACAAAACACTATAGATTAATCTTATCTTTTGCAATTTATCCTCATCATTTAGCAGTATCCAGTTAGTTTAAAATCAGCTGAAGACAACCCTACAGTAGATTCATTTTGCTTACTACCTCTATCTAAACAACAGCTTCATTCAGGACACCTAAAAGATTCTCCACTTTGAGACAAACTTCGCCATCAGACTCTATGCTACAGCAATTTTTTTATGCTGTTCCCCTGTTTATTAAAACTATTTATAGCTATTCTTTCTTTGCTATTTTTATATCATCTTCAGCTGGTTTCCAGGTTTTCTTAACTTGCTTTTTACCTTACCAGGCTCTTGATCTCATAGTAAACATACTGCCCAACAGACTCGCATGTTTCTTCTGGCAGTTGACTCATTTCTTATTCTGATAACTTGGCATGTTGAATGTTTCTTTTTCCCTGCAATATCTGTGCTTTAGCTGCTGAAATTGTTGTTTTGACTTTTGCTTAAAATTTTTGGACTGCCTTCCTCAGCTCCTCGTCAAAGACGCCATCTTAGTAAACGTCTATCACACGGCTGCGTCAACAGCAATAATGATCTGAAGAACTTTCTCATTTTTATGACACCACCCCTTAACAAGAACCAAACAGTTTACAGTCGAATAAGTAAGATGGAAGTGCGCAGATTTGGAATGGTACTTCCAGGCTGCCATTTTATCCTGCTTTTTGCCAAAAAAGAACATGACCTTGGCAACATGGCCAGTTCGCTCGTTTGTAAAGACAGGTATTATGGATTTACATATAAGAGATCCCAAAACCCATTCTGTGCAAAACCAAACTCTGAATTTTTTCTTCTCCTTAGGCTCATTTCGTCGGATCATCATGTCTTTTGTTCCATATCAGATAATCTCGTTCTCGTCTAAAGACCATGTGTTCTGGCCTCTCTTTTATTACAACTGCTATCTCGTGATTGGTGAGTCTCACTTCAAGTTTTGCATTAATTAGTTTTAATATTTTTCCAGATAATCATACAAAAATCGTTAGCAAACAAGGGTAGGATGGCCCTCAGAATGTTTGACCATTGTCAATCATAAGGGTGAAGATGGCGTTCTCTCATCATTTGGACCATTTGTTTTTAAGGCTGTCGGTGCACCAATCGCAAAGACTGTCATTTATAAATCCGAAACCGTTTTATGGGGTTAAAAAGAAGAAACAATGACCTTCTTCCGCTGACTAGCAATACCTTGTTTATACAAAAATTGCAAGCCAAGAAATAGAAAGATAACATGCCAATAAAAGCCCGGAAATACTTTGAGATCCCGGAATAACATGGGTTGGTTGTGTAGGATTGCAAAAAAACGTTTCTCTTCATCATCCAGCTTCAGCATAGTCGTGAAAAACACTGTTTTCCATGCCTATGGTGTCAGATTGTTTTGCAATGTGTGAGGAAGAAACTATGCCAACAAATGTCCAAGGGGCGCCAAAAAGGCGTACCCTGTCACGTATCAAACGTGATTAAATTCCATGTAATCAAAAATATGAATCAATGTCATTGCCATGTAGATTTTACAGAAAGCAAAACATTTTGAGGACGCTTCGAAGCAGTTCTTTGGTTTTCTTGGAATAAATTTTGAGAGTAAAGTATGTAAGGCTTTCTTGGCAGATACTATAGCAAATTCAGGTAGTATTTCCTGTTTCAGGGTGTAGGTGCAGTCGCAATAAATGTCCTTGTCTTCAATGACAACGTGCCTCCATAACTTTGCGAAGAAGTTGTCTTCATATTTCCTAATCCGCATATTTTCCAAACCTTTTCAGGTATTCTTGTTTTCAAATTTATATGCTATTTCGCAGGTCCACTCTTCGTTGGCGAGCTCGTTCCAGGCTCCATCGGGTTCTGCTTTGTTCACGGTATTTTTACAAATGGCAACTGGATCCCAGGCTCCTTGACCTACATTTACGCAACATTGCAGGTTTGTTGATTTCCATAACGGTTTTGAGTAGTTAATGCATTGCCCTTGCTACGACTTTGCCTCCCATTATCCCTGCTCGCGCTGTTGCTTTGCATCATGATTTTCATTTTCTTTTTAGATTGTCACTTTCAGCATTCCCATGATGCTCTGGCTCGGCGATACAAACTCTTCAAATCGAACAAGAAAAATAATTTGCTCTATCATGAACACATCTTTTGTTGCTTTAGGGATTTTATTTCAAATTTATTTTTGTCGTACTATATATATTTGTTACGGAGTTATAGCGTTTGTCGTGAGCCCATCAGCTATGGGGGCAGTGTTGCTAGGAGGCTGGCTTGCTTACAAAGACTATGCACACACACAAAGAAAAAATACAGTTGTTTCATCGTAGCAGAACTTTGTGCTAGCTCTGTATTCGTTTAATGGATAACGTTAGTAGAGGATCACTGATGCGGGTAATAGAAAGAGACCCCGTTAATAAAGACACCGGCCTATTTTGGCTGCTTCACTGGGAGACTTTGCTCGAAGACAAAAGGAAGGGCAGTCATGAATAATCAGAAAAGTGTAAAATGTAAGGAACTTTTCGTATACATTATATATCCACGTGAATGTAGGCATCAAATGTGGTAATTATGTTCGTAAATCGTAATATACAAAACTGCTATAAATTTAACCTATTACTCAAAATATGAAATTACATCAGTTGAATTACTTCGGTTTCAAGCCCGTCATTTTCACTCGTCTACCTGGTTAGCCCAATCGACACCTTAAGATTTTCAAACTGTTAGCTCAAGATAATACAAAAGGTATTTCATCTGTAATTTCAAAAAATTCGTTACCGAAAAATGATTTGACGTTTTCTTTTTTGTTTGCCAACAAAGTCTGTTATTTTCTTGTTTTTTTTATTTGAAAAGAAACCTAATAACTTTTTTTCATTATTTTTAAGTTATTTTATCTGCAGCATGAGCAGTGCAAGAACATTAAAATCTCAACTGCTGGGTCTCATAACTCGCAGATTTTTTGACTGCGAATTTCGTTTGATGGTTTATGCAAATACGAGTACCCTAGTTTTCCGAAAATTTATTTTTCGAAATTATTTCTTTGGTTCCGTGAAAGGTCGAAAACACGAGACCAAAAAATTGTAAATTGAACAAGCGGATAAGAGTTGTTGATAAACTGACCCGCAAGGAACGGCAATGTCAGTTTCAATTTAGTCGACTAGTTACACGTCTGTTTACGTGTATTACTTTCTGTGATTGATACCTTTTCATTTTATTTTCATTTTAAAATTCTTTATGCACAAAGATCTCTTCAGCAGACAACCAAATACCAAACAAGAAAATAAACACCCTAATTACATTAATATGATTTATATGCAGTTAAAGCTAAGCTATGCACAGTAATCTATCTTATAGCAGCTGCTCTTCCAGGGAGTCGTGTTTTATGTTGTGACTTTTCAATTGCCTTTTGAATTTACTAAGTGTAGAGAGCTCTCTGATATTGATGGGAATATCGTTCTAGGCTTTCAGAACCGAATAGTGAAAGCCTTTCTTGACGTATTCGAGGTTATTTCTTGTGATTTGTAGGTCCCTGCAATTCCTCGTTCTGTAGTTGGAGTGCTGGGTCCTGTGATGATATTTATCCCAAAGGCTTTTGGGACATTGTCTGCTGATTTTTTTGTATGTCATAACTGATCGATCGAACTTCGTTGTTAGTTGCTCAACGGTCAGCCAGTTATGAGACCAGTTGTCTTTTAGTCTGGCCTTATCAATAATCGAGCGTGCTCTGTCCTGCAGACGTTGGAGTGTATTCAATTTTGATTTAGGAAGACTTAACCAAATAACATTAGCGTGTCTCAGATGGCTTTCGACAAGTGCACGGTACACATGGTCGAGCTGGGATTGTGAAATAAGATTTTTCAGTTTTTTTAAGCGACTTCAGACCGCCGTTAATCTTTCCTTTCACTTTGCTGAATTGGTCATCCCAGTTTAGCCCTTCGTCCACCATAACCCCTAATGATTTGGTCTTCGCAACTCGCTTTATTTCTGAATCATTAAGGTGCAGTGGTTTTGAGATTTCAACTTTATTTGTCCTTCGAGGATGGCCAATAATCATGTATTCAGTTTTTTTCGGGTTTGCGCTTAGTTTGTTTATCCGCATCCATTCCGAGATGTCTCTTAATTCTTTTTGGGCATTTGTAAGTAGATCCTCAATGTTACTAAATGTTTATGTAACATGTGTGTCGTCTGCATACATGCTAGCTTTAGAGAGTTCTAAGCATTTTTCAAAGTCATTTAGGCAGATGATAAACAGGAGTGGTCCCAAGCATGACCCTTGAGGTATACCACATGATCTAGCCCCCGACTGTTGTCCATTAACTGAGCAGAATTGTTTTCTATTACTATGCTCCAGAGATTCCCAGCACACTGAGTGCATTTAATTTTTTATCAGTATTGTATGATCTATGGTATCAAATGCCTTTTCCAAATCCAGAAAGATGGCCAAGTTGAGCTGTTTTTTGGCCATATTGTCATACCAATAGTCAGTACCATTTATCAGGGATGTTGTAATGGAATACAGTTTTCAAAAAGCAGATTTATTTGGCGTCGATACTTTGTTTGATATGAGATATTTAATAAGCTGATCGTGAACTATTTTTTCCAACATCCGAAAAAAAACTGAGATAACAGAGGTAGATCTATAATTGTTTCCATCCCTTTTTGTGCCTGATTCAAAAATCGGTGCGTCTTTTGCTAATTTTCAGATATCTGGGTAAGCACCATACTTTAATGATGAGTTGAAAACCATGGTAAGTGGTTTCCAAATGAAGTCTGCTGCATCTTTAGTTACCTTAGTGGAGATCTTGTCCGGGGCCGGTGCCTTACCATGTTTTGCCGTCACATAAAAATGAGCAAGACAACAATTTTTCTTGGACTGATGTCTTCCTTTTCAACAGAGTTAAAACATTTTTGTAAAACTTTCTCCTATAGAATGTGTCATAGAGAAAAACAATTAAATTTTCAGATTTCAAAATATGAAAAACAACCATATTTTCGAGGAGATTTTGCATTTATTTTCAAAATAATAACAAGAAAGGTCAGTTGATGGAGGGAAACGCCGCGGCAAAGTAGACGTGAGTCTTCGAGCAGTTAAATGAAGGTAACATGTAAAAAGCCGAAAGCGACGCGGCAGTCGCGACGAGACCGTCCGGATTTTCCTTCGTTGTTCTTTTGGATTGCCGTAACAGTTTGGGCTATTCATTTTGCCTTTCACCGCACATGTATGAAATTTTTCGATAATCTTCTCTTTGACTGCGGCAAGCATAGCTTGCATGTTTCTCTCATTAAAATTGTACCACCCCAGACGACATCTGAGGCACATTCAAAGAAATTTCCGCTGTGTCGTCGAAGGGCTTATCCATTTTTACGGAATGCGTATGGTTTTCCCCTTTGTCTTGTTTTTTATGAAATTTGTCTGTCCCTTCAAATATATTTAATTGGAAGGACATTCCTTCGCCTGTTCCATGCCCAGAGAGACAAGACTGTTTGTAATCAACCTTTAATCATAGTCTATGTACACATTTAAAAGCACGAATCGCCTTTCATCTGTTTGTTGTGCAAGGGCAACACCTTCTTCGTGATTATTCAATGAAAAATCCTTAAAAATAGCCGCCTCAATGAATTCTCCATCTTTTCGAGAGACTTTCCTCTGTTTTGCGCCTTTTATCAAGGGCCTCACTGTATAAATATTCCTTACCAACTGGTTATGGAAATGAATTTTACATATTTTACGCAAAATACATTTTTCTTTGAAAGCCGCATTCAGCATCGATTTGTGTTATGCTTTCTACGATATATTAATGCGTTTGAAGCACTTGCAACTCAGAAAATTGTTTTTAATATAAAGTCGAGTTTTTCAGTAGCATTTACTTCACCTCCAGCAAATTGAAAATTAATGGTCCGCAATGATAACATGAGGCCAGCAAGAAAACTTTGTGAAACCAGCAAGAAATTTTGCATGAAAATTCGCTTATAAACTAGACGGCGAACTAGACCTAACTAACCGAAATTGGGGTCTAGTTGTCAGGCTAGGAGCTAACGAGCCTTGACTGCAAAATTGATCCCTAAACAAACACCATGCAGCATCGCAAGGAATGTGAAAGATTTATGTGAGTGCTGATCGCAACGTCGGTATTTAAATTGATGTTGTTTAAGAGAACATTGAATCAATAATTATCTCATTTTCATGTTCTGCTTCTCTCAGATTGTGCTCATAAAGCAACATTTAGCTTATAAAGAGCAGAAATTCAGACAAAAGCGACAAATCATGTCTCATATTATAATATCTCGATCTATAGATAGAGAAAAAGCTTGCCTCTGCAAATTAGATATAGTTAGAATTACATCGCTGTTACTCTGGTGACTACCACTTAAATAGCAAAATAATTGATATAATAAAATACTTAAATACTTCATAATTTTGCTTGTATCGACTTCATACAATCTTTGAATCGCTTACCGGCAGTATCTCATACAAAGAGTGCTCTTAAAATTTGATTTAAGCCAGCGTTTGTTAAGCAGCAAATAAGGTTGCAATTACAACATCCCTGGTGACTATTTCGAAGCTCTCTTCCGGTCCTTCCTGGCACTTCTGTACTATACATGTGGTTTGTTTGTATTAAAACAGCAACCCTCCCATAAGCCATAAGTAAGGCGATAATGTTACAAACACGTTCACGCCAACTCAACTTTTTCTACATGAGAACTGAGTTGAACATCCCACCCTTGTGTTCCATGAAGGTGCGTGACTAGACAGAGTAGATGTCCATCATGGGGACAGTTTATCGAGTCAATGTTATGTTGCTTTACATACAAGCACCTTCTTAATGTATTTACGTCGAAGCAGTCCGGATTTTTTGCATAAGATGTATACTGGCTTGATCACAGATAAATAAGGTTTGCACTGACCGCAATTTGTTCGGTAGTCCCTCCTTGCAGACAAACTGTTTTGAAATACATCAGGCATACAGGTACTATAGCAGGCATTGGTCTGGTATTCGTAACTGCCGCACCCGGGAATCGTGGCATTTCTCATGATTGGTAGTGTTTGGCACTGGCGCTTGTCTGGGTTGACATCATGCACCACTCTGTCTTTCCAGGGAAGGCAAGCAGTATGATGGAAAAGCCAGTGAAAAGCCAAGATTGTTGCGAAATGTTTCAACATAACGAATCAGACTGAGCTGCAACAGAAGTCATTACATCAGCACAGTGACCAAGAAAAAGTTAGATGCATAGCTTCGCAAATGATTTAACCAAATTTAGACGTCAATTGCCTGCTTAATTGGCAGATTGTCCTAAGTCTAATCACTGTTTTGCTAACATTATCACTTAGAAAAAGTTAGAAATTGTTCGTCCATGTAATGTGCTGTTGCCCTATAAAATGTCAAAGATTACTCGCATAAAAGAAGGCAGTGAATTCCAACACGTCAATAACACAAATTTCAATTAGCGAAAAGTACTCAGCATACCTTAAAAACTTCTAAAACCTTTCCTTCTTCTTAAATCAATGATATTCCTATCAGCAACGAGATGGAAAATTAGCCTCAGAAATCCCCAACTCCTGAACATGCGTGCGACGAGGAGAACGTTGTCAAACTAGACATTATTGTAATGGCTGGTCTGTTTATAGATCAGTAGCAATTTGGGAGGGCATCAATGAATGAGCAGCGAACGCATACCCGCTGGTCTGGAGTGTTGCGAAATTGAAAAGGAATAAAAATTGGCGAGATTAGCGGATTATCTCGACCGAGTTTCACAAAAAATGAATCATCCATTTGCTGTTAATTCATGGCAGTCAAGAGTTTTTATTATCATCTAGCAATATTCCGAAGGGGACATATTTCCATTTCCGTTCACGATAATAAACCCAAGCATCTTATAAACAAAGTGCTTTCTCCGAGGGATAAAAATAGGAACGCGAAAATTGGTGACTGCTGAATGCGAGACAATCGTTGCAAAGGATTCATGGTTTCAACCTCTTACGTCATAGTCGAAATGCTAAGCTAAGCAAATTTTCTAGAATATATACAACAACAAGCAGATGCAAGTGGCAACGAGCTTTTTTGAACATCACAGCTTTCACTTTTATTCCTTTGCTTTTCCCCTCTTACCTGAACTGGTCTTAATAATAAAAGCATGATTATGAAAATAAAACATCAGTTGAAAAAATAACAAAATCTACTTGAATACCTTGCTACTTTCCTCTTTTAAAATGAAAACCGTCCTGTTTACTGCTCGGATGCCATGCTCAGTTTTTCAGCGAAATGAATCATTTTCCCTTCACTCCGGCCTCTTGACTTTTCTTTCCAGTGCAACACCCACAAATACAGGCACATAGGTTGAATGGACAAAGCTTTCCACCTTCGCTCAAATTTTTGGCAGTCACTTGGTATTGAAACAGGCAGCATAATATAGAAGAGCCCAGCCAAATGCTAAACATTATAATACCTAAAAGATAAATGCAAAAACTATTGCAAACAAGGGAAAAATCCCAAGAAGTTTTTTAGTTGATCAATTGCTTCTAAAAGTAACGCCTGTCTGTTCCGTTTAACTTGCCGGTTTTAAATGTGTGAGTATCAAAATTCAAAAGTAGGCATAGTTCTCAAAACACAAAGTGAAAGTTGCACGTAATAATGGATATTGTCCTAATAGAGTCCAGTTTAGTATGCCGAGCGAACAAAGAATCAACCTTCTAGACTCAACAAATCATGAATACCAAAGGGTGCAAATGTGAATATACACTTAATGAGCAAAAGTATTGCACAGGTTTGACAAATGCGTAATGGCGACCGCGTTGTAAACAACAAGGCGATCGATATTGAAACCACTTTTGTGAAGCCATTAGGGGTCTTTTTATAATTAAAAACCAGTCAAACCAATCTTTCTATACTGTTTGTAACACTTTTAATTTAAAGATTGAGAAAAGTTACTTTTTCAAAGGTAAAATTTAAACTTTTTTTGGACAGTCTCGCAGCTTTGAAACTTTTATGAGACTTGCTAGAAGTTTGTCAAAAAATTTGTAACAGGTACTGTTAATCGCGACATGATAAGTTCAGAAAAACATTTGCAAGATCACATTTAGATGTTGAAGTACCAAGTTGATCATAAATGGACTTGTATTTGGTGGAAAGTGGCATAATTTAAGCCATTTTATCAAGCCTACTCTTTTACAGCTTTTGAGGCACTCGAGTGAACCTGTTTATTGCGGAAAATTTTGTATTTTCATTTAATGAGAGGACGAAATGTTGTTTTACGCAATTTGCAGCATTATTTGTTGCCATTACAAAATGGAAATCGGTTGGAAAAGATGGCTTTTACCACAATTTGTGCCACATTTTATTGATTGAATTCTACTGCAACATATCACGAATCGGCCGCTGCGACTAGGCCCATTGCAGCTCAAAATTTTCTGACCAAAACATTTAGGATATTCCTCAACAAAAGTGAGGAAAATGAGCAGTTCTAGACACCCAAGCATATAGTAACTACCCCCGAGTTCATTGTAATAAGATATCGCAAACTGGAGCAAAAATGAACTTTTTTATTGCACATGTTTGACAGGTACTTCAATCATCATGGTAAAATTTTTGTGATTTTGCAAATGTCGATATTGTTTAGAAATAGGCAAAAATCAAGAATATTCTTGCATTTACAATTTTCAGCAGCAAACCTTGATAAATTTTCCAACATATTCCAGTTAAAAAGTCATCTTATAACTTTGATGACACTTGTTATGGCCACTTGTATTTTTGTTCGCTAAAATATTTTGCTGCAGTTCCGCCATTTCTGTTTCAGCCTGTGCAATACTTTTGCTCACTAAGTGTTTATATATAGATATATATAACACACAATGAATATATGCCAACCCTATAAGTTAAACAGTTTATTATTTGTCATGAGACGAAGAGTCTTCATTAAATCGAACTTTGTGAGACAGCGCGTTAAAAATCCATATTTTGTTTGCCTTTTAAGATTTCACGATATATAAATGTAATTCTTGTACATACTGTTTCTGGATGTCCAGCATTTTGAAAGGTGAAGTTGCAACGTCGGGTGTTTTTCTGAAAACCATTGAGAATGGTTGTCCAAACTGGCATTTTCTTTCATGAAGTTAATCAAAGCATACAGGGAAAAGGAGAAGGCACTCTTGACGAAAACATCAACACCTAGATAACATAAAAACATTACAATTACGCAATAATTGTGAAAAGGGTACCTTGTGATGGTTTATAATTAGGTGGCCTAAATAGGCAGATCGCATAGGTCTACATAGAACACAAAGTTGTTTACTCAGCTCAGTGATAATGGTCAAACGTGGACTAAACATGCTGACATAGAAAGAGATTTCGGTGTAATGTCCTTCGTATGCTTATTTATATACTCCATTTATCCTGCAAAAAGTTTTTTTCACCACTAAGAAGCCATGAATAAGGCTGCAACTCACCGCAGAGAGCGACGTACGTGCCAAAAAACGATGTAGACAATACTGCAAATGGCTTCTCGTAACGCAAAGTAAACGAGCCAGCTACAACTGCACTTAGAGTGAGAAACGAGCCAACTTCTGAAAAGCTGCGCAAAAATAAATAATACATTTGGTAAAAAAATATGGCAAACAGGCTCTTGAGAAGGATGTAGTCAAGACGAATGTTAGGTAAATTAAGGACCAAGGAACTAAGGTGACAGTTGCCGGGTCACCGCTATACTTTTTGATGTTTGTTCGTTAAAGTGATATGTTGAATGGGGTGATGCGATCTCTTAGCTCGTCTGGCCTTCATATTAGTGACAATATTACGCGAAAGACGAACCAATGTTCATAAAATCAAAATCTTTGTACACATCATGACATGTTTTTCACAACACAAAGTGTTATTCAGTCAACCATCGTCATGACAAAGACATAATTCTGCTCGGTCCTACTCAAGAATTCTATCAACATCAATGGCCGTCCGATTCACAGGCACAGCATTTGCAAAAACTGGGTTGCTTGTGCAGTGCACGTAAGACTGAGGCAAGGCTGATTTCCACGAGGCAAATTTCACTAAAATTATAATTCACCAAACTAAACCTTTCGGCGCCTAATTTGAGAATTGCGGGCATTGAGAATGTTCGTAGATGCGAAATATTTTGCCATGAAAATAAAACTCTTTCATACTGTCTTGCGAATTAAATGTGAAAATACAAATTAAAACTGGATATCTTTCAGGAAATTTCCCATCGAAGTCGCTGCAAACTTCGCTTGGTGGTAATCAGCCTTTACAAACCAACTTAGCAACGTTAGGAAATTTGTTGGAATTGAGTTTGGCTGTACGCTAAAGATGCAATTTAGGGTACAGCGAAATTGAATCTTTATAATCGACACAACCATTTTACATCTAAAAATTAAAGTTTCGTACCTTTTAAGGTACAAATTGATTGGAGTATGCAGCAACAGTAACGCAAACAACTGAAAAAAATGCACAAAATTTCAGATATCAAGGATCAACAAAATCACTGTTGGAATGTGGTTCGAATTCAAATGTGGACATTTATAGACCTCCTGAAAAAACATAATATAGCCACCTCTGCCTAATTCCAACTCGTGTAATTCAAACTTTTCGGGTTCCGTGAAAATCTACTGACAAACTCTTACAAAAAGCCCCTATAATTCGAAACTCTGTAATTCTGACTTGTCGTAATTGAATCAATTTCGTCTGCGCCCCCCCCCCCCCTTCAAGGAAAATAACCTTTTTTTCGAACCTTCTGCGAATTTGTCACAAAGCTGGTGACATAAATTTCCTTGTTTCATCAAATTTTCTTTGAATTGATGTTATTGTAATTTTTGGCTGTTTATTAAGTCATTTCCGACACTATTTTTTCGACAATTATTTGCGATCCAACATAATTCGAATTACACAGAGTTGACATAGGCTCAAAATTTCATAAAATGTGCTACTTTTCGAAGTTTTTCCGTTGAAAACGATCACTTGTTGGCATGAAAAGCCAACCAGTTTTCTCGAATGGACATAACATGTTCTCTTTGACACGGAATTCTTTCAATTTCTATTTGCTCTATAATTGCAAGATTTTGTAACTGACCAATCCAAGACATTTTCCAATGATGAAAACACCAATTCTGTAGAGTCTGGTCACAATTAATCCGGCCACTGTCCCAACCAGCACACTCGCTCCAACGTGAACTAAAAGAGACAAATATTCGCGTTGTCAAAAAAGAACTATTTCTAAAAAAGGACTAGCAACCAAAACAAGAGACAGAGCACGACGGAGGATCGTGTTTGCTAATACGGATTGAAAAGTTTTCCAAGCTGCCCGCTTGATTGGTCATTTAAAGACTTCATTTGAAAACCTGAATAAACCTGAGTACGTCCACAGTAAGATTTACACAATCAACGAATCGATGATCGCATCTTATCGAATAGATCTTCCTATTTCGATTCAGACATTCTGTCCCAACATTACGAAACGCGCAACGTACAAGCAGCGATTTCGATACTTTTCGATATTTTTTGCAATGACGAAAAAATGCATAGGTAAACTGCAATTTTTTGCAATGTTGTCATTATTTGTTGTGAAATGTGAATTATTTTTCTAACAACCGAAATAGATAAAGCTACACCCATTTTTCATTTATAAGAAATAGTTTATAAAAAGCTGCGGCCTCTTTTTGAAAATTAGAAAGCCTCCTTTAGAAGGGATCGAATGCCAATCGAGCAATTCCAGAGACTGTTTTTGTTCTGTTACTCCGACCATCTTTTACTGTAAGTTTCAAAATAAATAACAATCAATGATTTATAAAATCCAGTAAAGTAAAGAGTGAATAGCCGGAAATTCTTTGCCCGTTTAAAAGACAACACTGATTATACACGAAATGTGTGAATATTTTACAGCGCAAATGACAAACATGGCGATGAACAAAAGAGGAAAGAGTAGTGAGGGGTTGGCTAGAAGGAAAAATTTCGAAAGAAGTGTCTGTCCAAGCAATGCTGAATTTCATTAGATTTAATCCTCTCATGGCATATAAAAAGGTATCCTCCTAACCATCCCACAGAAAACCGATTCCATAGATAAAAATTTTTCAATTTCCTAAGGATAGATAAATAACGTTTAATAGAAGATTTCCTATAATACACAGACCCTCGGACAGTTTAAAACGTCTACAGATTTTATGTTGCTGATGGCATCAACAGTCACGTGACCACTGAAAACAAACCGTTCAGGGCACGTGCAAAAGAACAAACCGTGATCTATTAGACAATCGTAGTTTGAGCACAAATTTCGTGCCTCCATTTTACTGCTCTGAACTGCTCTTTCTGAACTTCAAAAACCTTTTCCGAACTTCAAAAGTATGATGCGTAAATTTTTCGTTTTTTAATACCATCAGTTTTTTATGCCTGTTCGGCAACAAGATAAATCAACGAAAAATCAAAACAAAAAACAAAGAAGTAATATCTACCTTGACTTAGCCCCCTGCGGGTACAGCAATATTTTGTGTCAATAAATGATGGGCTGAACACGTAAAATGCAGCAAACGCTAGAGTGAAGCCAGTGAAAAACATGGCGATCTGTGAAATATAGGAAAATAGTGAGAGAATGTTGAACGGGTAAGGGTGCTAGAAATCGTTGGTATTTGGTAAAAGTGTGAATGGATAAGAATTTGATAGAAATTAATCGAGTTTAAGGTATTTACCTTGATGAAGCGATAACCAGCGAGCGCCACCATTAGGCCGACCAATGCTGCAAGTTCAAGGAGGATTATATGACTTGTAGACCTATGAGAAAGCGAGAAGACGCATCTGAAGATGCTTTAACGTAGTGATGGGACCCTAGTTGCACTTAACATGCAAAAGAAAGTGAAAGATCACAAGTACAGTCACAAATACCACAATGTTCGTACGAGATTCGATAAAGAGGACATTTTTTGCTAAGAATAAGACCATAAAACAACAGCATTGGATCATTATTAGAAATAGATAATATTGTCCAAAGTGCTGCAATTCTGTGTCCTGATCTTTCATAAACCCTTCGCTTCATATCTAAAACCAAGCATGGACTCAAGCACTTGTGCAACTCACACCGATTTACCTTTTGATGAAGTAGTCGTTATAAAGCGAATAAAATGCCGAGCCTATCTCCCCAATGCAATTCAAATCTTCTTTTGATGAGTTCATTATTCAGCCTTTCTTCAGCAACAAATAAAATCCACGCTGCCAGTTAGCCGTTTCATGTGAACAGCAAGCAAACATTCAACATGATCTTTTGACCTTTCACTCCAGGCAGCTTAGCTGAGGCTAGAACGGCCTCCAATGACTTAATCATCAAGGTTTGCTATGGTGCGAAGAAGGCCGCTGTTCTGTCAGCAGATGTAGATCCGTTAGTCTCGTCATCTTAGGAAGGCTCTCTTTACCTAGCCAATATTTCCGAAGCCAAAGCAACAATCTCGAGTTTCATTAAACATCGAAAGAATCTCAACGTTGCTTGACAGGTGGTAATACTTTTATGACGTAATTTTTCATTTGTGCTTCCCTGGTGAAAAAACCTGTCTAAATGGCAAAGGAGATGTATCAATAAAGGAGTTCAAAACTTCATTGAATTTCACGAGATGCTATGCGATAAAATAAAGAAATTGGCGGGTTAAAACTCTGCGAAAGGCTCGAAAATCGATATTTAAGTCTGCATCTAAATCTTTATTCTGATCATGCTGTGTTAGTTTATTTTGTGTTGCTTTTAAGGGTCTGCAAATTCACAATTTGTTGAGTTCTTGAAACAAAAAATTTCACTTGAATAATCCTGCATCGTCTTCCGAAGTTTGGTGTCTCTAACCGCGAGCTTTTCTGGTGCATAACGATATACTGCCATTGAAAATTCGAAACTAAGTACTTTAACATACTTAAAATCTCAAATCTATGCACAAACGGAAACAAATAAGATACAAATCAAACTGGTGAATTTATCAATATACACTTTTTTGATTTATTTACATATCATCAAGATTCGATTTCATAAACATTTGTAGAGCACTAAGTCTAGCGTCTATATCCGCAATGTTCAGTGACTTATCTAGAGTCTCATTGGCATCCTCACGGCCAGCACCAGCCTCTTTGTCGTCTAAAAATGAGGTTGAATTCCGTTAATGACCGGGGGTTACTTTCAAAAATAGATAAATCAAATTGTTCTCAACTTAATAAAAAGTCGAAAAAATGAGACGTCTTTTTCTACAGCACACTCTACCCAAAAATCTTTTTGTCTTAGTTTTTGGTGCCGCCACAGAGGTAAGCATATATTAAGGTATTTGACGATGCAATGATAGTGCTTCAAAATACATGTCAAATCTTTCATGGAAATATATTCCCCGCATCACTTACCTTTATACTTGTGTTTCGATCCTGTTTTTGATTTGCTGTCTCTTCGTTTGAGCGCCCTGCTGTCTTTATTTCGGTAGGAGATTTCCTTTTTTAAAACGAAACAAACACTTCAAATCAGTTCTGAACTTAGAAGAGATGATTTAGGCAAAGAAACGGGAAGCAAGCAAAGGACAAACAATGAACATTTGAATGATCGATATGGTGTCATCACAAAGAGCAAAACGAAGATCTGAATCACCCAAAAAAGAACTGAACTTTTACTATATAACTAGCAATTGAAACCATCGGGTTGAAAACCAAGCACCTCATTGGAGTAAAAAAGTTGATTGGTTCAATCTCCCAAGGATCCAAGAATTAAAGCTTGTGTTTTTGATATGACGGCAAGACTAACTCACCGCTTCAGATTCACCAGAACTCAGGGCCGACCTCAAAACAGACTTCCTTGCTTCCTTTTTCGATAAACTTCGCTGTCGTTCCCTTAACATATAAGAGGAATGTTGTCACCATTCATTTTTTTTATTTTCATTTTATAATATTTATACAGGTTAAAGGTTCATACATATGTTTTTCAACCTGACCTGTTTAAAAGATTAAAATAAGAGCTAATAACAATGTTAAAATACTAGTAACAAAAGAAATTTACAATATTCAATAATACTAAGGCTATAAAAAGTGAACGTAAAGATGAAATAAAAGTTGTCCCCGACTATAGTTGTTCTTTGAAGGTTTTCAGGGAGGGGGCAATTTGGTAGCCCTTTCTAGACTGTTCCTCAGTTTTGACCGCGATAAGAAAAAGCCTTTTGGCCATTTATCGTTTTTAGCAGCGGTATCTTAAGATCAGTTTCTGATGAACGCAGAAACCGTTCTCTATCATCCGAACATTTTTCGAATAATTTTCTCAAGTAGTCTGGTGCAAGCATATTTAGAGATTTGTAAGTTAGCGTGGCTGTCTCCTTTCTTACAAGATTTCTGATGGTTAACCAGCCAAGATTCTGAATTTTCGGAGCAGCAGACGCATCGTATGGGCTGCTAGTTACAATTCTGGCAGCTCTATTTTGGATTTTTTGCAACACGTCAAGCATTAAAATGGAGAAAATTAATTCAATTTCAACTGTTTTGTACAAGCCAGTGCTTTATTTGGTAAATGATCTAGCAGAGCGCTAGAGATGTCTTTAAGCAATCTTGAACTTTAAAATCGGTTGTAAGTTGTGTGACGTAAGTAAACAGCCAGTAAACTGGCAGCAATGTAGGCTGGCGATTTATCAGAGATCGCATCAACGATTCAATAGAGTAGAAAAGGATCGTCTCATTTCATAATTGAAGAGGTTGCAGTAACTCAACACAGCTTGCCTGCTACTGAATGCACTTGGCGTTTTCCTTTTGGTAGCGGATGAAAATCTTCGAGTAGCACTGTCAGCCGACGAGTGGCGACTGCCAATACTTCCGATAGACGAGCTGTGACTCACAGCACGGCGAGGTTGATCTAGATAATAGACATTTGAACTGATCAGTTAAAATATTTCGCGTAAAGACATCCTGGAAAATTTTTATCGCTTTTACAACCACTATATAAAAAAGCTCCTTAGATAGTTTGAGCGTGAATTAGTTTTCCAATCTGATGAACACGGAGACATTGGGTGAAGTTTAATGCAGAAAGAGTGACGCACCTCTGGATGAAGAAGATCTCGTTTTTGTTGGCGGTCTTTCCCTGCTTTGAGATGACGTCACTCTTTCCAGTGACGCTGATCGAGAGCGATGGAGAGTACGTGAACCTGATCTACTTCTCCTCCTGAGTGAAAAACAAGAGCAAATGAAAAATAACAACAGCAACAGCAGCACCAGCACAAGCCTACAAACAGCAACAGCAACAATATGAACCACAGAAACAACAAATCAGGATGAGTACAGTAAACAGCAATGATTAATATAAGTGGCAAATCGCATCTCAATGATTCAAGGCAAAAATCACTGCATCACATTTGACTGATTCAAGCAAACTTGTTAGCATCATTTTCTAAAAGCACAGAAAGTATCATTTTTTTGCTTGTGGTATATACTGCAATCAAAAACACTGACCTTTCGCTTTCCTGTTGTCTCTGTTTCTTTTCTTGAATGTAACTTGGCGGGAATTAAGGAGCCAGACTGGAAACACTAATGACACCTTGATTCAATACATGAATTATTGAGATCTTATAATCATTTCATATTGTGAACTAAACATGTCTGACTTAAACATGAAACAATTTCTTTGAATTTGTACGTAACTGTTTAATTATATACGGAATAAGCAAACAATCATTTGGTGATACAAAATTTAGTTTTTGATCTATGTTCTGACGTTTTATACTCCGAAGAGTGTCAGAAGCTGAAGTATGACTCAAAATTTTTGCTTCATTTAAAGTCATTTTATAAGGAAACTAATTGCAAAAATGTGAATTTTGAACAAAAGAGGATACGCAGTGGGGTCGAATCTACCTGTAAAAAGAAGAGAATATCATGACAGGTTTCAAGGTGGGAAATTTATACATGGCAAAATAAGCAATCATGACATGGCCTTAAAGGACAACCATTCAACTGTATTAGTATGATACAAGAATAATCTTAGATTTCTATCATAAAAACATTAAATTTACCAGATGTGCAAGCATTTGCTATTCTCCGTAGACTGGTAACACGGTTTCTGCAAATCACATAAAATGGGATAGACAGCGGATAGCACAGATTTTGCATGTCAAAAATACCTACTCTGGGTGCATGGACGTTTGTGGTCTGGCATTTGTCAAACACCTGTTTGTGTCTATTTTTTGCTGCAGGTAATTTCAGCTTTCCGACAGGTTGGTTACTGTTTCGTAGCATGCCTTCAGGTACCCAGGGTAGCCATCAGGCCAATCAAATGCACTATCTGTAACCATTTTTTCTTGCGAAACACGTCCCAGATCACAGAGGCACACCAAGGTATTACAAGAAACGCAATGGTAAATAATTGCTGGGATTATCTTTAAAATATTCTATAGACATTTCAACTTGAGCTTGATAGAAGCCTTACCACTTGGAGATGGCGTAGTGTATTTCCTGTCTATTGAGGTATTTGAGACTCTTTCTTTAGAAGAGGACCGTTGCCTCAGTGGGTTTTTCGCCCATCGATTGGCATAAATTGGCAGTTTCATTTGCGGGGAACGGCTAGGTCTAATAAACAGAAGAAAGGAATAAGAAATGATCAAGTTTGAAAATCCTGCTTGCGCAGAAAGGGTCCATAGGGTACGATGCAATACGCTCAATCAGCAAAATCTCAACTGACGACGCGAAAGCAAAGTTAATCACAAAAAATCGCGAAAGCAAAGTTAATCACAAAAAATCGCGAAAGCAAAGTTAATCACAAAAAAATCGCGATTAACTCAGAGTCTCCTTAAACGTTTAATTTCAGTAATGAGTGAAGTTATTTCCCTGTTTTTGCTTAATCAAATCGACGTAAACGCAGGTGTAAGTGATAAAAAATCCCTTAAAATTCGGGCTAATCGCGGAAGTTTGCAAAAATAATGCCCAAGTTTAAAGTCAACAAAGCAATTCTAGGATCAACTAGAAGATTAATTCGAAGTTCAAGTATTTGAAGTTTAGTTGACAGGTTTTAAGCGTTTGATTTTCGTCAAACTAACTGATTTAGTTTATTCTAAAACTGCCGGATTCGCTAGTTCATTTCAAAAACTTGCTTAGTAGTAAGCATTTAATGAAAACAAACAGCTGGCTGACCAGGTCCTACTTGAAAACATCGCAAACACTTTACGAAAATGGGATGAAACTCACGTTTTTTTTAATATTGCTATTTCGTTTGTCAAGTTCTTCACACGGAATTGCAGGTTTCTTTCTCTACGTTTGACTTCTTCAAGCTGCATAAACCCAAAATGTACAATTATAAACAAATCTGACTTGACAAGGAGAAAGATTTCCGAAACCCTATAACTGCTATCAAAATGACATTCATACTTTCACAAAGAATTTTGTTAATTCCTTTGACAGGCAAGCGCTTGAATTAATTAACGGCAGTGGCTCCACAAATGCCAGTATTGTCTGAAAATGTCTTGGGGGTACAGTTTACTCATTGAATAAGAAATTTAGACAGTGCAAGAAAAGAGAATAGCTTCAAAACAAAGAAGGGAGGTGCTTTTAATGAAGGAAATATAATCGCAAATAGAGCGTATTAATAACAAACAGAAATAAGGGATTGTTTGTGGAAGCATCAGAAGAGACAAGCCAGGCTCATATGCATCATCAAGTATGAACTACAAATATAATCAAAGCCAGCCCACCTCCTCGGCAAGCCGCTTGCACTCGTCGTTCTTCTTGAAAATAACTCGCTGGTGTTTGCTGCGTTCTTTGAGAAGATCACTCTGGCAAAAAAGAACTTAATCAATAAGACAAACAAAGAGCGCCGTGAAATAAAATGAAATACACAAGGAAGAAGAAACAGTCTACAGTTAAGTCGTTGGAATTGGGTAGAAGAATGAAATAATGGACCAAAGGTGATTCGGCTAGTGAGGTTTGTTGTGAGAAAATCAATCAATTCAAATAAAGCAAGTTTTTAAGAATTCTTGTTACTAAGTCTTCATTTCTTTTGGATTGCAAGGACGACAACTCAATTTCAAGTATAATATTGCACGTATCAATTCAGTATAGAACATTGATGAGCAGGTTACAAACAGAATGATTTACTAACAAGTTTTTCGGTTGACTGGAAATATAAAGACATAATACTTATATACAATATTCTTTTGCAATTACCTCCAAGTTTGTTATGACTTTCTTCAAAATTCTTAATTCCTTTACTACACTGTTCTTTGATAAAAAATTTCTACACATCTCCAGCTCATTTTCCAACTCCTCTTTTTCTTGAATGAGTCTTTCAAAGCTGAATAATAAGACATCAATATACATTAAAATTCGCTCTAACAGTGCCGAATTTGATAAGAAAGCAGCTTTGTGTTGCAAGCTGAGAGCAGCTCACAGAAGAATTGCTGCAGTACCCATCAAATTCAACTGCAAGAACTTCTTCTTTCGAAACTCAAACAACTTTCCTTATGCTGAATATACTACACTACAAAAGCATTGTTTTAAATCCAACAAGTGAAGAATTCTAAGTGTGCCATCAAGTAGTCTTTATATGATCATGCCACGCGGCATTCATATACACAGAAAGCATTAATCATGTAATGAGATTAAGTTGCTAGGCATTTAAAGACAGTTTCTAATATGCAGCTACTTACGAAGCACTGCGGTCCCTTGAGATTCTCGGTGCTGAATGCAAATTTTGCAACTTAAATGGAAAGGCAAATGAAAATAAACTGCTGTTCATCATTAGAAAAACGACACACAATTGGGAATGATAAGCAGATTTAACATTCAAAGAAGGGTAGCACTGATTAGAAGAGATGACAGCTAGGTGAGATTGCAAGAGATTGTAGAAGAAAAATAGAAGCACTGATTACCTGTGATTTTAAATCTCTAATTTCTTCCTTTTGCTGTTTAAAAAGCTTTCGCATGGAGACAGGATCAAACTTTCCAACATAACTTAGAGACAACGGGTAATGAATTCTGAAAAAGACAATGTAAAAAGGAGATATATTTAACATTATAACCAGGCAAAGATTAGACAAAAGGCCAGCGGGCTCGGGTATTGATCAAGTGTAAGGAATTGATAATACTGTTGTCCCCACAGCTCTTACCCATCAATCAATTAGGTATTTTATCCCTCTGTATCGCGTTTTTTCTCGTAATCACTCTTCATAACTTAGTACACTTGCTATAAAAGCAGCTGATTAGCAGCAAGGTGTGAGGCATTTTGTCAATGATCAACAACATGCTTGGATGAAGATGTGTGAAAGGTAAAAATTTTGCATTAATAAAGGTTTCTTATATCCAAAATTCATTTGTTTGGAATTTTGAGGCAGTAGATTGAAAGTGTCTACAAAATGAAAAGGTCGAAATAGCCACAAAGGCCCCAGAGCCTTAAATGCCAAGCAAAGGTAGTGCTAACTATTGGGGGTAGGGGATGTGATGGCGAATTGCAGCTCCCCAACCCCAATCAGAAATCTTGCCTCTGTTATCTTCTTCTAAGCAGTGGAGACCTGTTTATAGGATCTAAAGTATCGGGGCAAAATCACTTTACAATGGATACTTATTATGACCTTAGAGTAACCACATACGAATTATTCTATATAACTGTTTTCATTACAAAAACATAACTTTTTGCAGTATTACCTTACATAATATTTTATGCCATATAGATTCAAATAAGGCGGGTCTTTACAAAGTGTACATATGCAAGGGGGACACTGGGAAAGTATGATTGCATACAAGGGGGAGGAGGGGTTAAGAACATCGATTTTTCTTCTTACATACTATGTGAATGACCTGAGCTAGATTTATTGTGACGTAAAACTAAGGACCTCTCCTTACTCTCCTAACATTGCCTTTAACAAATGTCCAGCTAGCTAGAGAAAAACAGTTTCTGCTTTCTGATGATTCAAATATATTATATCAAAGGATGCACCATAAGCCCTCTAACTATATAAAGCTAATCTTAATCACATGTCATCTCATGCTGTCTAAATAGCAAAAGAAGATAACAGAAAAACAAGTACATACCTATCAAATTCGACAGTGTATGTGATTATAAGGTATCTTTTGTTGCTCAATGCAGTATTAGGTGCTGCATCTTTCCTTTTAGCTGCAGCCTTTTTGGATCGAAGTGCTTCTAGGTCTGTGTATGTCATCAGTTTCAGGGTGATTGATTCACTTGTCTGTTAAATGACATTTAATTTTGATTAAACCTTAAAAGTTACTCTGAGATGATGAAAACTGTTGTCAAAAAAAGTTAATGATTCAGGTAACATTCAAGATAATTTGCACCTTGAATGGTTTTATTAAAGGCTAAGGAATGAAAAGAAAATAAAGTGAAAAAGAAAGTATAAATCTCTCATTTTCAGTAAGGCAATGCTAAATGAGCTCAAACACATGGTATTCAATCTATTATACATCCTCCTTTTATAATAACCTTTCTAATAAAACACAAGGGCATCTTTATTAGAATAAATTTGTGTCTCTTTTTAATTTTTATAAGCAACATCAAAAAGATATTACATAAAAAGACATTATCCTTGCTGATATGGCATTTACTTGGTCGAACAATAGTTCTGAAGATAAAGAAACATCATGTCTCAAAGAAAGAAATAAGCTGTGACATGCAGGTTATGAAGAAATTAAAAACCTTTAAACCTTGTGATGATAAATAAAGAGGGTTCCTTTATAAATATCAGATTCCAGACACAGAGTAGGATCTATTAACTTAAATTTATTCAGAAAAAGATGAGGATGGCCTTTCAACAATGAATTAAATTTTGCTCATTGTGAAACTTCTGTTTTTTCAATGATAAGCAACATTTATCAAATATTATCAAACTTTGTTTCCAACATCATAGTACATATCTTGCTAAAATATAAACTGTGTTCTTCACCCTTCTGCTTAGCTGAACCAGGGCAAGGCCTGATTACATACTTGAATATCTACAAAAATAGTTTTTTTCTATGAATTTATTTTACCTTACTGATTCCTGATTCAAGCATAGTACAGAAGATATTAAACTCTTTGAAATTTCCTGTCTTGTGTGTAAGCTCTTCAATATCTATAGAACAAATAAAAAATGTAAGTAACATCTAAAACAATAATTAAAGAAATTGAAGATAAAATAACTTCCTCTATCTTACAATTCTATTTTATCGTATTATTTAGAAATGAAAATGAGAACTGCAAAGCAAATAATAATACTTTCAATAAGAAGCATGAATATAACGAAAAAGATGTTATTGATGTTAGTTAAACAGTTTTTTAGTAAAAAGAATTTGGTAAATAAGATGAAGTATAGTCTGTCTGCTAAACTGTGTGTTAACTCATACATACCCCCCCCCCCCCAAGAATTCAGCATCATGCTATTAATCTATATATGCAGTAGAATTTAAAAGATAAGGTTAATATTATAAGACTGGTATAGAATAAATCAAAAAGAGTTTTTGCTGCAAAATACAAAAAATAAATCAACTAAACAAGCAAATAACTTACAGCTACTGTCAAAGTTACCATTCCATTGCTCTCCTGTTGCTATATCCTCAACATGAATTTTTAAAGTCTTAGACTTTTGTGTCACCATGGATAAAAAATATTCTCCATCTTTGAATTGGTGATGAGCTGATGCTTCAATGTCACTGAAATCATCCATCTTTCTCAATGAGTTATCGGCAATGAGGCATGTTTATCAGTGTATGGAACATTCCCGAGACAATGTCATATTGTGATTTGAAGATATGACCACCTGAACAGATACAGATTGTGTCAGAGACAATCATTACAAAACACAAGAAATATAATTGAGTGGAGGGGTTGGAATAATAGGAAAAATTTGTAATTTGCAGTATAGCTTTCTGGTGCACTACAGCGTTTGTGTGTAAACAGAGCCCCAAATCCAAAATGAAAACAGTAATAGGTAAACTGGCAAAAATGTGTTAACCATATCCTTGATAAGGCAAGCCATAAACTGCACTTCTTGGGGAAACAAGGAGGGTGCCAAGGTGTGCTTGTGCAATCACACATCTCTTCAATCTTTTTGTCAGATGATACCTTAATATCTCCACACAGACTTCCTTTTAACAAGACACATGGGAAGTTTGCTGCCCTTGTGAAAATTTATTTACAAAAAGGCCTGTCTTTAGCACTTTAAAGAAATGTGGGAAGCTATGGCTGGATTTCATACAACATACGGTTTCTGCATTTTACTTTTAGCATGAAATCAAACAACTTTGGGTAAAGCTTGTAGAGAAAACTTTTAGAGAAAAAAATTAATAAAGAATTAAAGAGTGATATATTCAATTTGTGATAAGTGATACAAGATATGTCAAGACACAGTGTGGTAAATTATGTGTTTTCGTACAAACAACTGCCTTGCCTAGCTTGTTTTGACATTTACTCACTTTAACTTTAAGCTTTTGGTTAGTTAATAGTGCACCTAGCTACTCCAAACTATACTGTGTATGCATTGGTCATATATTCCATAGTGGACTTAGCAAATCAATGGCTTACAAATAAATGACTTGACAAAGCCTTACGAGATTTTTTTAATTTACAACATTAAATCATCCTTGTTTCAAATGCTTTGACAAATGAAGTTTCTTGTTTTTGTTAAATTCTCGCAGCATTTTGTGAGAATTTGAAACTGCGACTAACTGTAAGTGCAGGCAAGATTTCCATTCTGGTAGCTTACTAACGAATATACGCAGCCTAGGCCTAACAACAACGCTCCTGCATAGGCAGGATAGACACGAGATGTGAATAAAATTGAGATCGTAGTTTATAAAGCAAACTCAAACCTTCCGCCAGTCTTGTTAATTCATCCCTGGTACGTTCTGGCAACAAATTAGCAATTTTCTTGGTGAAATCAAATATTTACCTCGTTACTCTGGTGGATTTGCAACGACCCTTCGATTTTAGCGCCAGCATCCCATCATGCATTGTATCTGAGATCGCCGTAGTTGCGAGCCTTGTTGTCAACCCATAGTTCTATGAACTATGGTCAACCCTAAAGACTCACCCAAGCGGCACAACTACCCATTTTTAGGGGCTACAACGCAAGTTAAGAAGTTGGAAGCAAGAACAAACTTAAGATAAATTTTCTTGTGCTAGATTTACTATTGTGTTAGAGCGTGCTCCGTTGGCCTGGGGCCCATGTTCCTTCTAGTCTGGTTCAGAGAAGATATCAATAGCTATAAAAATAGATAAAATTTGTTTGGGGATAATAAAACAACAAAAATCGCCTAGGAAATAAACAAAACAGGTTACCATTCAAAAAGAGTTGCTACTACTTGTAGCAATTCTTCTTGTCTATATAATAATAACGATGAAGGTAAGTAAATGTACCAGGAATAAATGATAGATTAATCAATAACGACGGTTCGAGCATATCCCGTTATCAAATGATCAATATTTATGAATATACTATCCAATGTTGCGTTAGAGCATAGTTAGAGTACACTTTCCAAAACGTTTTTTAACCTATTATTGCAAAAAGTTGAGGGGCTATAGCCCCTGCTAGCCCAATGGCTGCGCGGTGCCTAGCAAACATATGCGGTTTGCTCAACAATGCATACATGCGCAGTTGTCTCTAGCCTGCGCGCAGACTCGACTGGTTTTCCCAGGGATAAATCTAGACTCCCTTCTCTTATTTTCTTCTCCCTCCCTAGTTTTGTATGTGTCTGTTTTGCTCTGTATGTGAATGCATGTCGATGGACCAATTGCATAGGCATATGGATTTTCTTGTGGTCAACACAAAGTGAGGGTTATTCACACCGATGTTCACTCTGAACCAAAGGTATCCTTGCAAAACAAGATCATCTGCAAAACTAGGGTAAGGATACATGTCAGATTTTACATTTGAAAAGGAAGAAAATAACTCCTTGCCATTTCTTGATGTTTTGGTTGAAAAATCTGACACTGGATTTCTCACCAGTGTATACCGTAAACCCACATTTTCGGGGTTATACACTCGATGGAGTTCGTTTTGCCCAAAACAAAGAAAAATCAGCCTCATCAAAACGCTCACACATAGGGCACTGATGATTTGTTCCAAGTCTAAACTCGACTCGGAACTTGATAAACTAACTAAGATTTTTCTGGAGAACGGCTATCCAGAACATGTTATTTCAGTTTACATTAAGGAGAAGATAGGAAATTTTTCGGCTGACGTAAAATTTGGTCCTCAAAAGTGCCCGGTCTATCTAAAACTACCCTGGATCGGTAACAGCTCCCTACGTTTTGAAAGCCAAATAAAACAGGCCATAACAAATTGTTTCTTCGCGGTTAACCCACGTGTTGTTTACAGTACAAAAAAGGCCCTTCCGTCCATTCAAAAGGACTGCGTTCCTGCCACAAAAAAAGTTCTGTTGTGTATGAATTCACGTGCCAGTGTGATTCTGGCTACGTAGGACGCACCACCCAAAGATTGGAGGATAGGATAAAACAACACGTTCCATCTAATATTAGAAACAAAACACATCCCCAAAGAGAACAGCCACCTCGGTCTTGCAAATCCAAAATTACTACTAAAACCTGCGATTCTGCTTTCGGGCAGCATTTGCTAGAAAACCCAGATTGTGCAAAAAACTATAATGGCGACATGTTTCGGATTATTGGTAAAGCCCGATCGTCGTTCCACCTAGCAGTTTTAGAATCTATCTACATAAGCACGAAAAAACCGCTACTGTGTAGACAAAAGGAGTTCGTTTTCACCTTAGGACTCCATTGGTAACATTCTAATAGGCAAGCGGCACTGATTGGTCAACCTTTACAGTCATGTGCTCATGTTTCTGATTGGCCTATTTCGATCCACAACTGGGTATATATATTTCTTAGCCTAGAGTTTTCGATCTATGTTCTGACGTTTTAAACTCTGAAGAGTGTCAGACGAAAAGCTTTAGTTTACTAAATGTTTGCTTTTTTCAAAGCTATTTACAAGTTTTGTACCACCAAAAGATTGTTTACAATACGTTCTTAACGTCCTGTCTGTGGCAAGCTATTTTATTTGCAATTCAACTTATAACTCATAGTCATTTTGCTTTTGGTACATTAAAACCAGGAGTTTCGTAACAAAACAAAAATTATGACTTACTGAAGCCAAAAATCTTGTACAATTTTTAAAAAACTTTCCACAGAATTTGTTGAGGATTGATCTCATGTAAGAACCTTCTGTAAAACTTAATGGAAAATTAATCCAGCTGTTTGGAAATAATGGTTTCAAATTTACAACTGGAAATTAAATTATTCCAAGCCTTCTTCAAATTTTTGTCCAGAAATAGAAACTGTCATGTGCCTTTTGAAAGAAATTCTTTGTCCTTTTTACCATGTCAACACACAGTTGCTCAAGCAGAAGTAGCTGATCAATCTGCAAAATCGTCAATTTGCACAAAACGGATGGCAGCAGTATCTCTTCGAATCCATATGTCCATGATATGTTATTGCTATCAGATATCTTTCAGACAAGTCTACAGTTTTAAGCACATGTTTAATACCTGATCATAATTCCGCACGCTGATGTTCCGGCATCATGTCTTTTGTAAATGATTTGTAACTGTAGCATAGAGGCAGCAGCAACACAGTCATTAGACTAGCAGGTGCTGAGGCACACCTTTACTTTTTTCGAAGATATGCTGCAAAACTTTCAAAAATTTATATGTACCATTTGATGAAAATGAAGTCATATATTTCGTCTAATTTCTAAGGATTTAAAGATCGAGTTTAATCAAAAAGAATCTCGTTTCCTGGGCCAGAGAAGATGCTTTTCTTTGTAAAACATTGGAAGATAGTGTCTTGCTAATTGAAAAATGGGCTTTGGGCTTTAGTCCAACTTTCAAAATCTATCATTTGATATCATCATTTGATGTTTAAAATTGAGGGCAATAGATCATTTGATACCTAAATATTTTACCAGCTGTGTAGACGTTCCAAATACATTCAATTTTCTTCATGCCAATGGTGAATAAAAAACTTTGATTTTCAACATGGGGCATGCTCCGACATTCTAAATAAGGTGCTTTTCAAACATTTTCCAGGGACAAGCCCCGTTTCATTTCAAACCTAATCCCCTCATTCTGTTGTCCATCGCAAAGGATTTTAAGGATAAGTTAATGACAATTTTTGCAATAGATTGATTCTCAGCCAAGGCAAAGTTCTTCCGGGCCCGTTTTACAAGTCCCTAATTAAAGCAACTTTCACACCTATTGGCACCATATTGGTTGCTTTTCCCAGTGGGTAAAATGGTAGCCACACACTGGGGTCACAAAAGTATGGAAACAGTGCTAAGAATTGCGGCTCGCAGAAGCAAAGGATCTAAGCTGACAGGTCTTTAAAACAAAAGTTCAGTGCTAAGGGGTTTTTGTAACAAATGCTTTCTCCACGAAATTTTTCGAGTAATTTCAATTGTTTTTGAATGAAACTAAATTTGAAGACTACTTACTGTTTTGTAGGTGAAAAGTCAGGGATAGTTGGACCGGTGCTTCAGAAAATATCCAGAAATTATTTTTGAAGGATTCATAAAAAATGTCTCCAAGTACAGACAATACTTAATAGGTATAAAATAAATTAATTAAAGCTTTAACTAACTACGTGCACCTTTGTTCTGACTTTAAATATATTACCGAGAAGATCACTTTGGCTGAGATATCAGGCTTTAGGTTATTAAAAGTGATATCAGTTGAACAATTTCTAAAACTGGCATTTAGTGATCAAAATAGTTTCCTTGCTAAATAACATAGACGCTTTCGGTGTAGATGATTTTTATCATTAATTTCAAAAGCCGACTAAACATTGAACATTTTGCTTTAATTTTTTGATTGTCATATGCTTAGATAATGAGTAAATCAGAATTTAAGATAAACAAGTCACTAGCATCAAATGTAGAGCAACTTTGTGTCAGTATTGAAACTTTAAAATCAAAGTGCACTGCTAACATCACTATCTCAGTTAAATTTTTTCATGAAAAACAAGCTTCAAGCAGTTTGCTTCGAATTTCAACATTTTTCGTACACGTTTCTTCAATAAAGTGAAACTTTGTGGTCATCTTTCATGAATACTCAAAGAATCTTTTACATAATTGTTTTGAGGCAATGCTTCAAAGTTTTGCTGAATTTTTCCCCTCAAAACAGCAAACTAATCATTAAATTTTCTTTAAACCAAATACTGAAGGAATGGCAAATGCATTTTCCCGCCATAACATATCGTTTCCAAGCACCTTCACCTCATAATTCTGGTTTTGAAATTGGTCGGCTTAGGCCTGTGGTCACTGTAAGCCGCCATTGAGACCCAACCGTTTCCATACTTTTGCGACCCAAGTGTAGATGTTTGCCATTCCGTTTCTAGCATTTTCTTACGGATTGACTTGCAAATAAAGCAGACTCACTACCAAGGTTAAGCATAGTGTCAGTAATGATATATTTAACACCACACTTCATTGTAGCGCAGGCTGGAACCCATGCAAAGTTCAAGCCAGATATGCGCCAACAAATAATAGAAATGCGACGGGAAATCGTTAGTCCATTCCCGATGTCTTTGGCCTAGGCTATATAGATTCCACACTGGATTGTACCCATATTGGTACACTTGGAAACCTTACCTAGTTGCCCTAACACTTGAACCAAAATATAGATTCCTTGCTAGTTCCGCTACATTCTTATGCATATTTTCGCATGAAAATTACCATTTTGCTATTTTTATCTAAATGGAAATTTATTTTCAGGGTATTTAGTTCATGTAATTTTAAGGTTGTGTGGTTTCCTTTAGATATTATTATTACTGAGCACATGCAGGTAGAGGCATATGCATACAGTTAATACTGCACTGTACCTCTAAAGATACTTTTTCACAGCCTTGTGTTTCTATCTAATTGCAAAGCAGTGACAAACACCTGGGGGCAAGGGGGCAGTCACCCCCAATATTTTGAAGGAAAATGGTGTT